TCCCACACGCCCCCCCTTGATGAGCATGCGTGGTGTTGAAATGCTCCCAACCTCGGGCGACTAGGTCTGGGGGGGAGGAGATGGGCTGTGGGGGGAAGGAGGAGTAGTAAAGAAAGCCAGAGACGATTGACGGATGGTTCTCATGAGAGCATCTGATGTACATGATTCAAACGGAATTGCTGCTAGGACCCTGTCTTTTCGGCCGTCAAATAAGACGATATCCTCCTCCACCACAACCCCTCCAAGCCCGCGCCCAATCCTTACCTACATTAATACTACAGTACAGTACAGTACCACAGGCCACTTCGTGCTTCTCCTGCTGTTCGCCACGATCTTCGCTTGCACCGTGCATTTGATCAGCTCCCAGTGCCGAGAGAGTGTCGATGACTTGCCCAACCTGATACTAGCACCATCAACAACTCAACCACACTTCCTGCCTGTCGGGCCTCCACACGTCTGGAGATTCCGCGCCGCCTACAAACGAGAGAAGAGAAGAGCCACGACACCAGCAGAGGAAAAAAAAAAGAGGAGAAAGACCAGAGACAAGACGAGGGGGGGAGAATAGCTTCTATCACATCTGATCGTCGTCTGATTTTCGCTTTCCCGAGACTTCTCCTCTCTTTGCCTCCTCTCCCGCGCCTCTCCTTCTCGCAGCTTTAACTCGACGTGCCGTTCCAGCTCTGATTGGGCATGTGCTTGCTATTAACGTGTAATGGAACGTACGCTCGCCATCTTGACGAACGAACAAGACTTTACCCGGCCAGACGATAACAGCATGTCCCCGGACGAGGGATCCTACGACGGCATGGTGCTGCCTTCACCTTCTCCCACCGACACCGCGTGGAGACCTGGCGTTTCCGCGGCGCCTCTCCAGACGGGCCAGCTCTCGCCCGTCAGCTCCAACACAGACGCCAACATGGACAACGGGCCGTCGACCATGCCCATGATGCACCACTGCTCCTCCTCCTCCTCCTCGTCATGCGTGGACTCGTGGAATGCGGGCTACGGCAACCCAGACGAGGGCGAGGAGGACAACCAGTGGGAGCAGTGGGAGCAGGGCTCGGACGAGGCCCTCGCCATCCCGAAGCTCGAGCCGATCGACGACGACATCAACCTGGAGGACGTGAGCGCCGCGCCTCTGTCACAGACGCCACCAAACGAGCTGCTGGGCGGCGCCCCGATCAAGCAGAAGAGGCCACGAGGACGGCCGAGGAAACATCCCCTGACGCCCATTGTCAACGCCAACAAGGTGACCAAGGGCCGGTCCAAGACCGGGTGCATTACGTGCAGGAAGCGCAAGAAGAAGTGCGATGAGGCAAAGCCGAGATGTATGCCAGCCATTTTCTTTATGTTTATCTCCACTGGCCTCCTTTATGCTCTTCCCTCGTGTTGCGTTGCCACGCATGATGAACTTGTGTGCATTTTCAAAAGCTAATATGTGAGATTCTGAACCTCGATAGGTATGAACTGTGAGAAGAATGCCGTCGTCTGCGAGGGATATCACGAGAAGCAAGTCTGGAAGAGTGGCAGGGAACGGGCTGAAGAGGGTATGTCGGACAGAAAAGACATGACAAGACTAGAAGTAGATGGACAAGGGACAAGAGAACGGCTTGTGGCTAACCCATCAGCAGAGCGACAGCGGTGGGAAAATCTCCCCATCATCACCATGCAGCCCATCTTCCACGGCGTGGAGACGGCCGAGGACAAGATCTTCTGGAAGCACTACGTCAACCACTTCAGCAACGTGCTGACCGTCGAGGGAGAGGCCAAGAACGCCTTCAAGGACATCATCCTGCAGCTCGCCAACCGGCACCAGGGCCTGATGCACTCGATCCTCGCCGCCAGCAGCAAGCACATCGACTGGGACACGCCCTACGGCATCAAGATCCTGCAGAGCAACCCGACCACGAGCAAGGAGGCGCTGCAGCAGCGCTCCGAGTATCACCACGACGAGGGCATGAAGCGCATGTACGCCGAGATGAACCAGGAGATGGACAAGAGTAACCCCGAGTACAAGACGGTCCTCGCCGCGCGGTACGGCCAGATGATGTGCCTCCTGCTGCAGACGCGAGCAGAGGGCAATCCACGGGGCGACCACCGGGTCCATCTGCAGGCGTACAAGCACCTGGTGCAGCACTCGCCGCCCGAGGACTCCAACTTCCTGACCTTCATCACCGAGTTCTTCCAGTACCACATCTACGCCGACGACCTCTTCTGGTACCCCGAGAAGCGGACGGAGCGCCTCGCCTCCGAGGACTGGGAGCCGTCGGCGCCCATCCATCCTCCGCGTCTGCTGGGCGTCGCCGACGGCCTCTTCCGCCACCTCTCCGAGATCACCAGCATCCGCAACGCCATCCGCGTCAACATGGCCGGCGCCGTCGACCCCCTGGTGGACTACACGAGCCTCTACAAGGCCGCCGAGATCGACGCCGCCATCCGGGAGTGGACGCCTCGCTGGCCCTCGGGCGACAGCCGCGACCGCGTCGGCCTGCTGTACAAGCAGATGCTCTGGGTCTACCTCTTCCGCACGATATACCCGCCCTCGGCGCTCCCCGGCCGTCGCAGCACCATTGGCTCGCTGCCCACGGCCATGTTCTCCTCGATGCCGACGAATCCTCACCCCCGACGGGCCTCGATGGCCGCGGCCATTGGCACTGCCACGGCTGGCTCCCCGCTCATGGGGGCTGTCAATCCCTTTTCCCGGTCGACGACGAAAACGACGCACAGCTGCCCGTCCACGCGCCAACCCTCACGGACCAACTCCATGCATGAGGGCGACCTGCACGCAACCACCACCTCTGCCTCTGCCTCTGCCTCCGCCTCCGAGTCACACAGCCAACAACGGCCCCCCTCGTCTCCGCCACCCGCCCGCCGACCTGCCCAGGACGATAAGCGCATCACGCTGGCCGTCGACGAATCGCTGGGCCTCCTCGAGTCCTTCAAGCCGTCCGATCCCTCGCAGACGCTCCTCCTGATCCCGTGCCTGGTCATCGGCACGGCGTGCTTCGAGCCCGACCAGCGGTACCGCATCCGCGCCGCCGTCCGGGCCGTGCGAGGGTACACCGGCCTGAAGAACTGCGACCGAGTCCTGGAGCTGCTCGAAGAGGTGTGGGCACTCATGGAGCAGGGCGACTGGGTGGCGGTATGGGACTGGCAGAGGGTCGCGAGACGAATGGGCCTCGACTTTCCCTGCACTTGATCACGTTTGATTATGCCTGTTGCTTTCTACCTATGCCAGTTTTGCATTTTCTTCATTCTCGGCAATTTTTTGACACTTCTTTTTCGTGCCTGCGGCGGAATTTGTCTAGCTTTTCTTCGGGGAGTTTTTGACTTCATGTTCCTACGAGAGCAACATATGACCAGTCTGCTATTCTAGAGCTTCCAGTAATTGGTTCTCTTCTATACAAAACAAACCCCTTTTCTGAGAGACAAGGACAGAAAAAAAAAGCAGAGAATTACTCGGTCATTACACACAAAATCTTCGACAATAGCATACAGCAGGCGCAGCTTTTCGCCCAATCCCACCTCTCAAGCTGGGCTCATACATTTTACACACACATTTTGTCACAGCAACCGTCTAAAATGCTCCAGAGAACTGCCACCCATCTATCAAGATAGATATCCTAGGCGGAAATGAACCGGGACCGGTCTCCATGTTCTAACAAACAACATTTCACGCTTAGATGCTACACCCAGTATCAACTCTCAATCCAAGGGAAGAAAAGAACGATGAATTTCGGTTCTGGGGAGAGAGAGAAAACTGAAAAGGGGGCATTCTTTTTTTCCTTGACGGCTGGAGAATTCCTTATTCATGGAAGGTGGCTTTTGACTCTCTGGTCGAAAGAATTGGCTTCTTCTTCTACTTCTTCATCTTTTTCCTTCTTCTTATTTCGTATCTTCTTTTCCTATGTCTTTCTTGTTTGGAGTTTCACGGAAACGGTGGCAGCATGCCCAGCCATGCGGACTGAAAGTGCTTCAATTTATCGCACATGGCTGGACGATTCTTACCTTTTTAAAAGGAGGGAGTGGAGGAAAAGGGAAGGCGAAGATCAGGAGGGAGCGGTGCAAAAGAAAAGGAGAGGGGGGGAAGGTCTCAAGTCATGGATCCTGTCGTTTCTGCTCATATATCATATCTGGTTTCCCTTTTGCTTCGATCACTGCGTCTTCTCATCGTTTGTTTCCTTGTTTTGCCCGGGCGTTTTTGACTCCAAAATGTTGACAGTACAGTACAGATATCTATCCCCCTTTTGAGTTTTACGGTTCCTTTAGTTTCGCTTGTCCTTTTCTGCTCGCTTTTTTGGTTGTTTTTGGGTCGTGCTTTTGTAGTTTTTGAGCCAGGAATCGCTTATTAGAGCTGCTTTTCGTACCTTATCTTTAGACAATGGTGGTGGTATGGTGTGATAGAATACGTTCTTGACTCGGTAATCCTTTCGTTTGGGTATCTCCTTTTCATGCCATGATTATTGCTTTCGGCTGTGCAAATCTATTGCCTTTCATCTATGAATCTGCTTTATATGTCTTGTGAGTTGCTTCAAGTTGTGCAAATCTGTTTCCATACGCCCCTACGTCTTACAATGTAGTGAGCCTGAAATCACCCAGACTCTCAACACAAGCCGTTTAAACGAGTCAAGCATAAGGTACTTGTTATTGCGTACTACCTTACTTCATGCGTGTCACGCAGATCGTCTCAGCTTAATCGAAGCCTTTGTCAATCTTTACCCCCATGCACACGGAGGCCCATAGTCCCCTCCCAGGCGCAGAATCAAACGGAGGAGAAGAATACAATTACACGAATGAGCAGAGGCAAAGAGAGAAAAGAACGGAAGAAAACAGAGGTACAACGCCCCCCCGCCAATGTGAATTCCCGCCGTAGACCGATTACCCGGGGTTGGTATGCCCATATGCCGTTTGCCCGCCGTACTTTCCAGGTTCCAAAAACAAAAGGAATAAACAGAAATGAGAATGAAGTAAAACGATGGCCTCTCCAGTTGATGGCCTTCTCAATCTTCGCGTTTGTCGCTTTCAAAGTAGAATCTGCCAAGCTTATCGCCTGCCCTGCCTGGGCTTCCCATCCCTGAGGGTCCGGCCCTCGACTCCCCGCTGTCCAGGCGCTGCACGATGCTCTCGGCCGTTTCCCTAGACGGCTGGCGTCCTACAGGAACTGGTCCGCGAAAGGTCGTGTCGACAAAGACGTCCTGGTCAGGGGAGATGGGGTTCGTGGGCGGCCCGTCCGTGGCCACGCCGTCCATCATGCGGGCGTACTGGCGCTCCTGGATGGCGGCCGCGCTCATAGGCGTGTCTCCGCCCCCCGAAGCGTATGAATCCCGCTCCCGCCTGGCCTCGCTCAGGCCAGAGTTGGTCCTCTCGAGCCCCCACTGGAACGCGGCACCGGGGACTGGCCGGCGGTGGTAGATGGGGCCCGAGACGGTGCTACCGGCGCCCTCACCAAAGCCGACAAGAGACACGGAGCCGTCGTCGCTCATGCGATCGTCGAAGCCAGTGCCGGTGGAGCGGTTGCCCTCAAGGTCGTCCATGGCATCGTGGTCGACGCCGGTGCTCGTGACGGACTCGGCCTCGCGGTAGTTGGTATCCGTGCTGCTCAGCATGTCCTCGTCGCGGTCGCCAGCGGTTCGGCGGTCCTCGCTGTCGCCGGGATGGCTCTCGGTTGCACTAGCGGTCCCGACGGTGCTCATCTTGGTCACGGCGACGGGCTGGCCATTGCTGTCGAAGTAGGCGGGCGTCAGGTGCTGCGTCGACGGATAGTTGGGCGGGAAGCCGGCCGTGGACGTGGGCGTGGTCTGGGGCGACATGGACGAGGCGCGGCCGGTGCTGGTGGGCGTCTGCGGCGGTCGCAGCGTCGACACTCGCTCGAGGCCGGCGAGGCGCGAGATGCGGTCGGCGCGCTCGGCCTCGAGGCTCGTGGCGGACGGGTTGTGCTGGTGGCCGCGGTTGAACAGGCCGCCGTGCAAATGGCCGCGGTGGCCGTCCTTGATGGCGGTCGTCGACAGAGCCGACAGCGACGTCGTTGTGCTCGTGGGCGTGCCACTGGGTTTCACGGAGCTTGTCAGCGATTGTGCGAGCAGCCACCAGACGTTGTCATGATCATGGTCATGGCCATGTTCATGGTCATGCCCATGCTCAACTCGCGCGCAACGTACGGCATTTCTGACGGAGTCTCTGGGTTGGACTCGGGAGGCGGCAGATTGGCCAGTGTCGGATGCGAGACCTGAGCGTCTGCCATGTTTGTGTGTGCTTGTCGTGTGCCCGCAATCTGTCGACGGCAGAGATGAAGAAGAAGAGGAGAAGGAGGAGGAGGACTGGAGATTTGAATCACCAGAGCTGAGAATATGGTGCGAACCTGTCGCGGGAGGGAGACAGAGGGTGGGAGCGGAGCGTGGCGTCAAATCGTGAGTCGTTCGTTAATCGTGCAAACTGCAGATATGAATTGCGGCTCGTGTCGCGGAACAGAAGAGAAGAGAAGAATAGTAACAAGACGAGATGAGACGAGCCTGTTGTTTCGCGGGTGGTAAATGTCAAAGGTGAAGGTGATGATGAAGAGTACTGGTATAACGCAAGATGGGAAGAAGTGCAAAGGAACAATAAAAGGTCCAAGGTTGATCGATGTGCATGTCACTTCTTTGTTTCTTCTGGCTTGGCTTGAGTGGACCAGGGCGTCGGATCTGGTGGGAAGCTTCCACTCAAGTTCCTTTCAGGCTGCTGCAGCCTTGGGAGCACATGTCACTCCACGCAGGGGTACATAGGCCTGACGTTTGATTGCAGGTACTAAGGCACAAGGCCGTATGTTTTTCTGGCCATGATGTAGGTAGGTAGGTATAGTTGAATGCCGATACTGTATTGAATAAGCTTCATGGCTCGAATGCTTTAGGAGTCCCATTCTGAGGGTACAGAGACAAGATCTCTTCTGCTGCCAGAATGGGGATGCTTCTTCATTGCGGTTCTTGCTCGTCTCTTATCGGTACTTGTTCGTCTATGGTACCAACTGTACATATATATACCTTAGGGACTGTGCGCCATGACGTAGCTTCGCCAATTGGCAATCTCAGGTCTGATGCTTGGCTTGCGCCAGCAGCGACTAAAGTGACACAAGTTCAATTGCATGTCTGTCCCTCTTCTCCATCGAACCGAGGGGGATACAATCACCTTACCTCGTGTATTCCTCGAGGGCTGTCTCGAGTTATCTTGTCCTAGGGATTCTGTCTTGATTACCTAGTTGAAGTTGTGTTTTTGCTGGTACAAATAACGCAGCATGTGCCGATGTTACATGCATGCATGCATGGAGCCCCTGACAGGACTGGCAGATCCCGGGTAATCGATGCGTCAACGGAGGAAAAGGATGCTCAACTTCCCATGATATCATATAGCAATCAAATAGAGAACCAAATTGAAATTCGAGCATGAAGTGGCATCTGCATATCTTTTCAGTTGCGAACAGGGAGGGCACAGATCAGGGGCTTTGTCTAAGGAGCGAAGACGCGTACTTCTGCTTGAAATTGTGATCACATACCCAGTAGTATTGAAGATCAACGTACATCGAATAATCAACAGCCACACATAATCAAATGCACCAATAACGACATCCCTACCCTATTTTTTTAAGAGATGAAGTGAGCTTTTCCATAGCCAATGTGAGTTGTACCCATGTTATCCCAAAACCGCCAAACGCTAATGTCAAACACCTAAAGAAGCCCATTTGCTGCTGCTAAGACGAATCATATACAAGAAAGCAAACAGCCGGAACAGCAAAGAAACACAGACGAAGAATACAAAGGACCGTGCCCAGTGCCTAGAGAACCACCATGCCCCCGCTGATGAAGATAAACGACAGGCTGAGGAGCACAAAGCCGGGCTCTTGCATGATCATGTTGGTCAACTCGGCCTTGAATCGGCTCCTGTCCGTCTTAGGAGACGGCGAGTCGAGCGAAGCGGACGGCGATGCGGCTGTGATATTGCCTAACGAGGATGAATTGTCGTGATATGTCCAGCGGCCGACTTGTTCGCTGTGCATCGACAACGCCACCACTTCAAGTGGGACGATGCCCTTGTCGGCCAGAGCCAGTCCGAGTAGGACGAAAAGTAAAGTGAGGCGCTTGAGCAGATGGAAGGCCATGTTGTGTGACTGAGGGAAGAGTGGTGTTCCTGATAGTAACCCTTATTTGAAACGGGTGGTCTATTTTGAGCCTGTGTAGGGAGGCAATAACACGGAGCGATGAGGTACTGTTAGCAGTTGAAACCTCAATGGAGAAGCGACACGGTGGAAAAGATATTTACAAGATGGGGGCATAGGGATGCCTTGTCCTTTTATGCTCTCCGGCCAACAGGCAGTCTGACTTTTTGCCGTCGTTCTAGAGATAAGCATGGAGTGGGAGAGGATGGCGTCAATCTGGTCAAGGGAGGATGCGATCCCGCCATGGAGACGACTTACACCCTCGGAATCAGGGATACGTATTGGTAGTAGGTAGGTAGTAAATGATCAAAGATACGACTGGACTACTACTAGCAATGCAGCCGTCCAACCCATCTATAGGTAGATACTAATGTCTGAAGAGGGGAAGCTGGCTTCCCGTTATCATGGGGGAGAGAAAAGTCAATCGAGCCAATCTCAGGCACGGCGTGTTAGTCGGTCTCATGCATACCAAAAGTAAAATGCAGGCCATTCCTTGGCTAATGCACATCAAAACAAGCATCCGCACCCGTCTTTGCGTCTGTAATAGTAGTATATCGCTCTTTGGATTTGTCTAAAGCTGAAGTTCTTGACCAGGATTACACTCTGCTCTCTTTAGCCCCGTCGAGCCGTCGGTTCCGGGCCAATTGTTGCATTGCGCGTTAGTCAAGCAAACACAACACCACCTTTGCCACCATCACCACCTAAGAGTCGTACGGACTAGTGACGAGGCAGCTTTGCGTGTCTTTTCCATCCGTCAACTGTAGAATCGTCATCATTCACCATATGCTACCGCTGTATGGCGCAGTAGCAGTAGAATCCAATGATGGCTGCACGTCGACTCTGTTCGGCTGGGAGACATCGCGGCCGTTAGAAGAAGATGGCTTCAAGTCTGTCCGTACAGTATCAGAGAGCATCACCTTGAAACCACACAGCTGCAGGCCAGGCGGGGTTTGGACGGGATCTCTGCTCCCTCTCTGGCAAGATTCAAAAGCCCGCACCTGCAGCTCCTAGGCGTTAGGTAGCTTCATCACCTCGATAGACTTTGCGTCTCCCAGCGTCACATCGATGCAGCTCCCGTCACAATGCATCATTCCAGCGGATGCTGATAGAGTTGAGACTGTTTCTTCAAGGTTCAGTCAGGGTCGAGGTCCTCGTCAGTTCTCGCCAGCATCAACCCCTGGCCACCCAGCCGTTAGTATAGTAATAGGTCTGGTGCATAGCGGGCTTTGCAGCGACTCTCCCTGGAGGGCCTCCAGCAGTCTCGGCCACTAACTTGCCGTCCCAGCCCTCCCTGAGACCGCTGAACCCCTCGCTACTAGCTGCAGTGGATGCGGATCCCGCGTGCCGATTGTCTCGCCTCCATCTCGCTCCGTTCCATCCTGGTGTCTCGTATCGCCGGCTGTCGCTCGTCCGTCAATCCACAACTCAAGTCTCCAGGTCTCCATGGCTTGCTCCCCCCTTGGCACCACCAGGACTGGAACCCGCAGAAGCCCCTCAGATAAGGCTGATGGCTGTTTGAACCTCATCCACCTTTCTCGAACCGTTCACTTCATGGCCATGCATCAGGCCTACATGTACCTTCGTTATCAATATGGGAATCACCCTCCTCCTCCTCCTCCTTCTCGCTGGTGACTCGACGACGTCCATTCTTCCGAACATCATCCCTCCGCTTCAATCCTCTTCATGCATGGATGCCTTTCACTGCCTTCGACGCTCTCCAGGCTGCAACGCTTACAAGCAGCTAGTCCACACATTCATCATGCACCTGCAGCCAATGAAAAAGGCCAAACAGCCTCCTGGTCCTACCAATCCTTTTTCCTGGTGAGGCTCTGCCCGCCATGGCTGCCATGAATGCCTGTGAATTGGCCCCGAACAAAACAATATGACTGGCAAGCGGCTCTTCCTACTACTAGCTTGTAGAACGGTTTGTGCAAGGCCACAGCGTCTCGCCTCGCCTCGCCTCACCTGAAGCATCGCTTCTACATTCCTTGCCTCCAGTCGACGTCTTCGTCCACCTACAATACTAGCACCGGTGTCGTTTCCGTCATTCCAGTCGCCATACGCCTTTCGACAGGCTCAGCAACATCTCCAGTGCCCGCTTACTCGGATATAAGTAATGTTCAACCTGGAACTCATATGGCTGTCCCACGCAACCCCCCACGTCGAGTGAGTTCTGCCTCTGACCCTGTCCCGTGTGAAACACCGCAGCATCATGACTGACCGTATGGCACAGCCTCGTCTTCGTCCATGGCTATGGCGGCAACCCCGAAACCACATGGCATGATGAATCCACGGGCAAGATCTGGATCAAAGACGAAGAGTTCATCACCCGCATCAAGAGGCCTATGCGCATCTTCTCTTTCAGCTACAACGGCGACGTAGGCGCGAACCTGTCATCGTCCAGCCCGGCGTTTCATGCAAACGATCTGCTATGCTGCCTGGAGCAGGCTCTTGGAGAATCTTCTGTATGACTTAACCCACCACCCACACTCGATATCGTGAACCAACTTCATCAATCGCTTGTTCTTACACTTTCCACTAGGGAAGGCCGTTGATATTCATTGCCCATGGCTTTGGGGGCATCATCGTGAAAAAGGTTTGTAAAACATGATGATCCGAATGCCGCAGGCCAGTCAAATCGTTAACTCGCAGCACAACCCCAGGCAATCCAGTTGTGCTTCTTGTCACCCTCATATTCATGTACCAAGAATGCGCTGGCCGGCGTCGTCTTCTTTGGCACCCCCCACGCCGACACAGATTCTGAGGCACTTTTGCAAGCCGTCAGAGGGACTGTCGATGCTTTCGGCTCAGGAGTTGGAGTCATGAATCAGGATGTTCGCGAGTTTGTTTCCATCGTCAGCCGCATCAACAGCGCCTTCATCGCTTGTAAACCTAGCTATCTGAGGCTGCTCTCCTTTTGGGAGAAACTTCCATCAAGGGCCAGTACTTCGAGTGCCGACTCTCACAAGTCTCTCGTGAGTATACTGATCTGTCTCTTCACGAATAGTGGAATGTTGCTGATACTGTACTCTCATAGGTCATCCCTCTCCAATGCCGGAAAGAAGAACTTCAGGGCAATACAGACCATATCATAGACTGCAGCCACGAGGAGTTGCCACGGTTTTCGAGCATATTTAGCGAAAGGTTCATGCAGTTCATGCAGATCTTTTCTCAATTCCTCGTCGATACGCTGTCAGAACGCACCGTGGCAACTATTGCGATGCCCGTTACCCGGGCATCATCACTGAGTCCGGAACGGCCTTTGCCGATCGAAGAAATCTCCGCCATCGAGAAGCATGACTTTCCAATAATCAAGCCTCGGCGAAGGACGTGGAGACTCGACAATGATAACCGGAGCCGGGAACGCAATAACAAGGACAACAAAGATGCCACTGCCAGAAATAACTTTCTTCGCTCGCTGAAAGGCTGGTCCGAGGCCAATTACGGGAATGAGATCTATGTTGCTGCCGGAACATGCGAATGGTTCAAGGATGGCTCCATATACAAGAACTGGCTCACCGACCCAAAATGTGGCACCATCTTCTATATAGGGGCGCCCGGACATGGGAAATCGCACCTCGCCCGCGCCGTTCATACCCATCTCAAGTCTTCCAAGCCGGACGACATTGTCATGAGCTACTTTTGCCAAAGGGGGGAAGAGAAACCCGCGATCTGGGAATACTTTACTTGGCAGCTGATCAAAGAGTGGCCAGATTGGTTTTTCCATATTCCGATTCAGTTTCGACGCAGCGTTCATGAGACGTCTCCTTCTCCCCTGGACCCTTCCGCATATGCAGAAATATGGACCTCTTTCCGAAGAGTCTGCTCGCCTCGAACAATATATCTCATAGTGGATGGGCTAGAACAAACGCCTTCGGCCAACTTTGCAGATTTCTTCGCCTTGGTAGAGCAGTTGAGGCAGCCCATTGCTTTGGAGCCGGACAAACGATCTAGCAAGCTGATGGAGATACCGACCAAGTTAAAGCTGGTAATCACGAGCCGATGGACGAATGCCACCTTCACAGCCTCAAGCACGACCTCATGCTGCTCTCTACCAGAAGACGACCTCAAGAAAGACATCGCGCTGTACTTGGACAAGAAGTTCTTGGCTATATCCAACGCAAGGCCAAAGTCAGAGCATGACCTGGTTCAGAAAATCAAGCAACAAGTCAATGAGAAGGCGGCGGGCTATTGGCGCTATGCTAAACTCGCGCTCGACGAGATCGAGGGACTGTCTGGCCAGAACTCCATCCACGAACTTCAGAACGACTACATTCCAGCGAAGTTGGCTGAACTGTACGAGCACAAGATGCTGCCGTTACTGCAATCCGTCAACAACAGCGAGAGGCACTTGCGTACCGTTTTCACGCTAATTGCTTCCGAAGACATTGGCCTTGCCTTTTCTCTCAAGCAGCTCGAGGACTTTCTCGAGTGCTTGTATGGTCCAGACGATATGCCTGCTGGAAGTCTTGCCGAATCCATACAATCATACTGCGGAGACTTGTTCTGGGTCAGCCCAACAGACTCACTCGTGTTTTCCGTCCACGCTTCTGTCCGTGACCATCTAAACGGCTACCTTTCGATAGAGCACAGGCAGACCAACATCATCTTCATCTGTCTTACATATCTCCTTGAGGACCGCTTTCGCAGCCGCTTGCCTCTGACTAGTAGAGAGAGCACAGTGGAGAAATTGGCCAACGCTGCGCCCTTTTATGGCTTCGCGGCCCAGGGCTGGCTCAGCTATCTTGCCAAGTTGAAGACGCTCAGTCCCCAGCTGATACCGCTGCTGGAGAGATTTTTGTCTATCGACTGCCCGCAGTACCGGACATGGCTCCATTGGAGGTCATGGCTCGTCAACGAAAAGGCTCAAGAACTGCCTCTGGAAATTGAGAATCCTATGATGGCCATAGTTCGAGAAGGTTGCGTCGCTGTCATCCAGCATTTTTCCCCGTCTTCAGCATCCCCTCTTGATGCTTGGAAGGCAGAACCCGAGGGTTGGTACCGGAATCTGCCGTTCATCAACAAACGACCATGTGGTGGCCAACTTGCAAGACAGTGGCCCGATATCACGGGCTTGCATGGTCACACGCTCCTCATGGCAGCAGCGCTGAGTGGAAGCCGTACCATGGTTGAGCACATATTACAGTGGAATGTCGACAGAACCGCGCGAGACGAAGGTGGCAGGACTGCTCTCTTGCTCTGCCTCACTTCAGAGCGACTGATGAGCCCTAAATCTCAAGCTCAAAAGGCAAAAGTATATGGTATCGTCGAAACCCTGCTACTCAATGGCAGTAGTCCGAACATAAGTGACTACCACGGGATCACTCCTTTGCACGTAGCTTGCGTGCGAGGTAGACTGGACCTTGTCCGGCTTCTGCTCGGGTTCCATGCCTTGGTCAACGTCACGGATTCATGGGGCTATACTCCTCTCGAAAGGGCATACTCTACTGGTAACGTTGCTTTGGTTGAGATGCTGCTCATCAGAGGCGGTGCCGACGCAGAGGCGTGGATGTTGGGCGGAGAGCCACCGCTGGCCAGGTGCATATACGACGGCAAGCTCGACATGTTCAAGGCGTTTCTCCCATTTGCGGACATCAACCAGACTACCGTGCTCGGATTCGCGCCCATCCACTTAGCCAGCGATGGAGCTGACAGGATAGAGTTTCTTCGGGCTTTGCTACCCTGGTCTGGACTGGATGTAGATGCCGTCAGCTCATCGCCCGAGAGATTCAAGGTCAAAGGCAGCACTGCCCTTGGGTTTGCCATCAACAGCCGTAACCACGCAGCACTGCATTTGCTCTTGGAAGCTGGAGCATACCCAGGGCTTCTGCCGGGGGTCAGCGTACCGCCGCTTCACGATGCCGTTACCACTCAGGATCGATCCATGGTGGAGCTGCTGCTGTTATATAGAGCGCCCGTAAACGGCTTCGTCCGTGGCTATTTCCCCTTCACCGCGTTAGGCCATGCTGTGGATTTAGGCCTTGAGGCCATCGTGGAGTTGCTCCTCCAAAACGGTGCAGATGCGTCTACGGAGGAAGGCTACGGCGTCACAGCTTTGATCGAGACAGCGGTGACGAAGGAGGGCCCCCCTATTCCCAAAATTTTACGGCGACTGCTGGAGTCACGTCATCCTCCGAATGTCAACTACATCCGAGACGGAGAAGATCACTGCATTGCAGGGGCCGTTGAGCAAGGCGATGTCGAAACTGTTTCTCTTCTACTGGAGCATGGAGCGGATCTGAGCATGTATTTCGAATCTGGAAAGAGAGTATCACCACTCCACACGGCTGCTGGACAAGGAAATGTCGAAATATGCGATATTCTGCTGAAGCACGAACCCCGGCTCCTGGATCTGCAGATGGAAAAGGGATTTATGATTGAATCCCCCTTATTTGAGGCGTGTCATCGGAAACAGAAAGAGACTGTCCGCTTTCTATTGGATAAGGGAGCAAAAGCAGACCAGGTCAGCTACTACTATCAGGAATCTCCGTTGTTTACGGCCTGTGATGTGGGAAATTTGGAAGTCGTCAAGATGGTCTTGGCAGCAACGCCTCACATGGTCAACGTCCCTTCGGCTTTCTACTGCACTCCTCTTGCATATGCCTGCGCCCATGGGGACCTAGAAATGGTCAAGCTGCTGATTGACGCCGGGGCGGAGATCTATCACTACAAAGGCTCTGACACTACAAGCGCCTTCAGCCGGATTTTCGAAGCCAAGGGGGACAAGCCGTTCAAGACGCTTCAACTATTACTGAGCAGCGGTCTGGACCTCCACGCCGTTGACAACGAGACTGGGCTCACCGTTCTCGGTCAAGCTATCGTAGATGCCGAAGCGAGGCACGTCAGATGGCTTCTCGAGCATGGTGCTGATCCGCTCCGTGCACAGAGAGGCCCTGGAGCCGAAGGGAAGTGGCGGACGGCCCTTCAGGTGGCTGCCCATACAAGCAATAAGAATATCATGGCGATTGTGGACTTGCTGCTGGAGCCGCGCTGGGGTCTATGGAATCACTTGACGCACAAGGACTACCATGGAGGCACTCTGTTGCCCGTAATGGGTCGATCGCGGAAGAATCTGCCAGTCATCTCCCGCCTAGTGTCCGCATGCGATACCATCTTTCAGGAGACAGGCAAGGATGTTTTCTCTGCCATTGTGGGCGAACCGAATCTCATCGGCCTCACTCCAGTTGACTGCGCCATGGACCAACTGGATGCGAAGCCCGAGGCATTGCCCGAGCTGGACAAGCTTATCGTCTTTCAAATCGATGAGCTCCTCGCCGGGCCGCGGACCATGGAGAAACACCTCCTCGCGCTAGATTACGTCGTCGGTCTCCTTTTTACACGCGGAGGGTACGAGAATGAAACAGCCGTTCTGGCCGAGTACATTCTCACGAGACCTCGAGTTCGATGGGATGATGACAGCTATTACATGGGAAGAGTTGCCCTACAGTCGTGCTTTGTCTGCGACGAGTCTATCTACGACCCTTACGTCTACTGCATTCTCTGCGAGAGCTCGTGGTGTGCGGAGTGCAAGGACAACCAGGACACGACCAGTCTACACGAGCACAAGTGGTTCCCCATGAACCTTCGCAAGGATCTCGATATCAACGCGCCAGACATTCAAAAAACTCTGGAAAGGCTCCGCGCACAATTAACTCCTACATCAGATGGCGCCACCGATGAACAACCAACCGAGGAACCACTCACCGTCAACGGAAGCTCCTCCAGCAACAGCCAGGCGAACGAGGAACAAGTCAATTCACCTCCTACAAACCCCCAAAGCTCCCTCCCGCTCGCCACGCTGCACGCCTTCAACTTCCTAGCCATCAGCAGGCCCATCTGGACGCCCTTCCTCCCCCTCTCCCCAGCAACCCAAGCCCTCGTCGACCCCTGGCTCGCCCAGTGGTCCGGGTCAGACGAATATCGCCGCTGGAAAGAAAAAATGGACCGAAGGACCATGGACTTTGAAATCTCCCCATGGAGACGCTTTCAGGAGATGCAATATCTGAAGCGAGGGTTCACGAGAGCGTATATGGATTATGAAGCCCTGAAGCGTGATTTTGTGCTCTCTGATGTTCGTCGGCTGTTTGCTGGTGAAGAAGATGGTGGCGTTGATGCGAGATCTGCGGTGCCAAAGGATCGGTTGGTCAAGGTGGTGAGGAGGAGAGACTTCTGATGACGATACACATGATTATGAGAAATGAATCATTGCCTACCTCTGTGGGCGGTTGGTTTTAGCATAGCTTTCTTTTCGAATTTTTGTTCCAGGCCAAATTTCATGATGCTACAGCTTATGGTCGTCATTGTTGTCTCACCAAGATAAAGATAGATGAGAAGCGATGCTGGATTCTATCATAAAGGAAGGGTCGATGTGTCATAGGAAGGCCAACAAGAGGACACAACCCTGCTAAACCGGGATCAGGTAATATATCCATCTAATTATTATGTATCAACCGTCTATCCAAACGTCATCACGTAGGATGTGCAATCCGCAAGACTACACCCCATGACCTTTCCTTCGTGACATTCATCAAATCGTGTATCGGTAGTGAGGGCTGTCATCTCCCAGCTCCTTCAGCTCATCATCCTCCAGTCCCTGATGCTCCTCGCTCAGCTCGCCAGCATCGCGGCTCTTGTTCGCTCTCCAAAACCAGAACCAGAGGAAGCCGTAAATGGCAGTGCCCACGCCGACCATGCTGAGAGAAACGGCATGCCCGCGGATGAAACGTGGTTTATCAGGGGCAGGGCTAGACGAACAATACAGTCAGCCAATAAAGCAATGGCTACCAAGGCCGAAGGAGAACTTACTATATAAAGGCGGACATGATTCCAGACATGTTGCCAAAGGTGAGCTGCAGACCTGTAGCAGTCGTCCTCTTGCCATATCGAGGGGTGTTGTTGGGTAACTGTTTGGACATGTCAGACTGCCGCTTCAAATATCATGAAAAAAACGCAGAAGATGAAGCTTACCCAGGCGATTGGAAGCCCGACAACGACATATAGCCCACCCGCAACGAGGAAGCACCCAAAGTAATGTACCCCAGGTGACGAATCGGATAGCAAGACGGCATATCCAACAACACTGATGAGGCCAAAGATGACGCAAAACACTCCTCTCATCTGCAGCCGATCAGAGAGCACGGCAATGCTCATGTATGCCACTGCCCCCAGGAAGTAGCACGGGATCGTGAGCAGCTGGACTTGAGCAACACTCCATTCGCCAAGAGCATCGATAATTGTGGGCAAAAAGGTGGAAAATCCTGCAGAGTGAAGAAAGAAAAGCGCATAATAGATTAGTTTCTTGAACCCCTCTGTCATAGTTCCCAAGGCAAAGGCACCTACCGTAGAGCATGGTATCAACGCCAAACTGCGCGATAGAAAACGCCCAGACCTTCCAGTCCGCAAAGGCCCTCATCATGTCGTGCCGACTAAACTCACGGCTTGAGGCCGTGTTCCCATAGTCCCGCTTGTGCCTCTCCTCCATCAGCAGCTTCTCTTCTTCGGTGAGAAAATACGCCGACGAGCCATCATTCGGCAGCGCAAACAAGGTAACAACACCAAGCAACACGCTCGGCATACCCTCAATAATGAGGATCCACCGCCAGCCCTTCATTCCGCACACACCGTCCATGTGTCCAATGCCGTAGGCCAGTAGCCCTCCCAAAGCGCCCGCGATCGCAGCGCTGACGAAAAGATAGCCTATCCGCAGGGCAAGTTCATGCTTGGTGTAGAAGAAGGTAAGATAGACGCTCAGGCCCGGGAACAGGCCAGCCTCAACGATTCCCAAGAGCAGGCGACAGGCGATGAGCGCGCCGTACGACTCGACGAGTCCGGTGAGGGTCGCAATGATGCCCCAGGCTGTGACTATGAAGGCTATCCACCGCCGGGGAGTAAAGAGCTTGAGGACAAGGTTTGACGGCACCTCGAAGATGAGGTAGGTGACGAAGAGGATGGAGACGGCGACCTGAAACTGCTCGGATGAGAGGTTGAGGTCTTCCTCGAGGCCGTATAATCGAGCATTTCCAATGTTGACTCTATAGGGTGTCAGTCAGCCACTTCCTCTTCTCCTCTCACAATCGAGCCCAAGACAAGGCAGCCGACGGAGAAAGAAGAAAGCCTCACCTGTCGAGGAAACTAAACAGATACAACGCCATGACCAGCGGAATGATGTAGAGATCCAGCTTTCGCAGCAACTTCTTTTCATCGGCGCCTTGAAGCAGCGTCTCGACATCTGATTCCACAGCGGCAGGGTCCTGGATTTGTGTCCTCTTGTCGTCCTCACTGGGGACAAACCCCGTGGCTGTGTCTGTTGTCGCCATTTTCGAGTGGTTCCCTTTTGCCAGTGCTGCTCTCAACTGCGCTTCAACTTGACGCCGAAGCAACTGAACTCGACAACTCGCCGTCTCTCCCACCAGAAGCACAGGAACCTTGGTTACAGCCTCTGAGAAGGAAAAGGCGCGCGAGGCTCTCCTCTTATCTCAGTCCCGGTCCTCTCGTTCGGCCACTCGCACGGGCCGATTTGTCTCAGAAAGAAGAGCCGTCAACTCAGTTCGACATGGTATATGACAAACAATCACAATGTCTCAGATATGTTAGTGGTGTACCCGGAAACTGTTCCGTGGATAAAGCAACTTGAAAAGAAACTCCGAGAAACACGAAGAGAGGATTTCGAGGCTCGAGGCAAAAGCCAACGGTGACACAAGCAAAAGAGTCACGGATATACATATGACACTATCGAGGGGGAAGGAAAAAAATATGCTACCAAAATGCATTGAAGAGTGGCGTGGTCCGTCCAATGGCAAATCAGCTAGCGTGCCCGGATATCGGACCCTTGAAAAGAGAATCTTGAGATCAAATAGGTACAAACTCGGACTCGATCAAAGGGAAATTACCAAAGGTTAGGCAGGTACCTAGGTAGGTAATGATTAGATTGATAACAGGCCTCTCTTTCCTCGGCTCTTTCCCTGGCTATTTCCCTAGTATAACGATGTGGGTGAGATACGCCTTTGCTCTTGCCGCGCTTCAGGTTTTTTTCCCCCTGTAGCTACCCGTTGATAGGCTTATCAATCGAGACGTGGGACTCGTTTCATCGTCCCTTCCTATTGTGATATTATGACGGAATGTCCTCTGCCCAGATAGTCAATCACCCACCGGCAGTTCCTTCTGCTGCTCGTTCCACAGATCTCGTCATGAGCGAGCACGTGTAACCAAATAGCACAATGTGGCAGGCATCTTGCCCCTTTTTCAACGGCTTGTACAACCAGGAACCTACATCTGTAGTATCGGGTATTTCGGAGAAAAGCCTCTTGAACAGAAGAATCGAAACGGTCCATTATTAAAGGTACATAAAGCGGCTACGCAAGACAGCGCAAAACGAAAAACAAAACAGGCATCCATGTGCTCTCCAGTCATCGTTACATGTGTCCGGTAACATCTTCAAGGTTCCTCCCCAGCGTCGTCATTGTGCACATGGCCTCTCCTCTAGCGTCAGATATCGTACGTCACATCAAATCAGAAATATCGTCCCTCCTCCAAGTTGCGTCCAGGATTGTTAGAAAAATCGCCAAGCCGCTCTCTCCTATTCATTAAAGCCCACTTCAAGGTGAGCACGCCGGGGTATAGACAAGTATATACAAAAGACACATGCCTTGTATGTTCCCGTCGCAGCCGTAGATGTGAAGTCTCTCCCAACGACTATACCAAGTAGTTGGTGGTTGGGGTGGATGCCATCTCTTCTGCCGGTCCTACGTAGCCTCAACACTCCAACGACGAATTGCCCACATCTCGCTCTCCTTTATCGGTAGTTTTGCGTGGGCATTTCGTAGACGGGGCCGCTCTGGTGGCTCATGACAGCGTGGCCGTCAATCTCAGCGGCGTTGGGATCGTGCCATTTCGCAGCGTTTGGGTTGTCGTTGGGCAGCTCGGCAGCGTCGGCATGATGAGGAGTAACCAGATTGGCCCTCTCGAACGAGGCAGGGCTGACGGTCTGGGCCATGGTGGTGGTCGGACTGGGAGAGGTGTAGGCCGAGCCGTATGGCTCTGGCTTAGCATATCCAGCACGTCCATCTCCGAGAGCGGTTCCACGGTAGCCTTCGCGGGCGACGGGAGCGCGACCTGGGGCCAAGAAAGCGGCTGCCGAGGGGGTGTGAGAGGACATGGGAGGCTGGCTACCGCTGCTTCCACCATTGAGGCCGCTGCCGCCGCCGCCGCCAGCACCGCCAACGGGGACCTCAGAAGCGCCAACGAGGTCGTCGTGCTCAGGTCGGGGGCCGCGGTTGCGACGCCTCAGGATGAGGAAGAGGAGGGCTCCAAGGATGAGAAGACCGCCGACACCGACACCGACACCGATGCCAGCCTTGGCTCCCGTAGACAAGCCGGAGCTGGACGAATGGCTGCCGTTGCTATCCGGAACACCCGTACCAGAGTCAGAGGCCTGAGGAGGCAGCGTGGTGGTCTCTTCGACACCGGTGGTGACGACGGTGGACGTGACAGTCAAGTGGCTGGTCGAAGTAATGGTCGTGCTCGCGCCGACCTGGTCGGTCGTCGTGACGGTGCTAGTAATGGTAGTGCGAGAAGTAGCCGTGTTCTTGACCGTCCGGGTAGTCGTCTCGACAACAGTCGAGCCACCACCGCCTCCAACGGTGACCGTTACGACCTCGGTGAAGATGGCGCGCGCCTCCAGGTCGCGCAAGGCCAGAGACCGGGCCAGATAGTCGGCATCGGGGGCACCGGTAGGAGCGGCAGCGACTCCAGTCCTAGGCGCAATCTCGCCAGCGCGCTTCTGGGCGGCCGGGCTGTCGGTGGGCGTCGCGAAGACGGTGGTGGTGTCGTAGACGACCTTGGTGGCTGTCTCGCCGCCGCTGCTAGTAACAGTGGTGGTGACAAAGACGGTGGCTGTCACGACAACCGTGGTGCCGCTCGTCGCCGTCAGAGTGCGGGTGCTGGTGACGGTCTTGCCGCCCGCGCCCGTGACGGTCTCGGTCTCGAAGACGGTGGTGTCGCTGTCGGCCGGGCTGGTGCTGCTGCTGGACGAGGACGAGGACGTCGAGCTCGGGGGCGGCGTGGTCTGAGGAGGCGGCGCAGAGGTCGACGAGTCGTCAGCTCCGGCGGTCGGGGCGGGAGCCGTGGAGGAATCTGGGCCGGCGTTGTCCTGTCGGACGACGACAGATGCCTGGGCGGCCCCAAGCAGCGCGCCGAGGACGAGAGCCACCGGCAGGCGCATCGTGAAGGGGGCGGATAGATGGAGAGTCGGCCAAAGCTATGAGTCGCTAGAGAGGAGATGCCATGCAATACCTGATAGTAGACGAAATCCTGCGGGTTGCTGGGACAAAGGAAAAAAAAAACGAGGCCGCAAAACGAGGTCGACGGCGAGTGTAGGTGAGTGAAACAAGCGAGTGGAAGGGGTCGGATAGGGTGGAAGTGCAGGTAGCAGGTTCAAGGGCCCTGGGCGCTCTTGACAGAAAAAAGAGGGTGCCAGAGACCCGACAGCTCACAAAGGGCAGGACCCGATTGTTTGGACGGGGCCAAGGTTTTGGTGGCAGCAGATCAATCCCGTCTGGTGGCTCACGCGGACTCCGGAGAAGCCACGCATGTCCGGGCGGTATCAGGTACCGCCACCCGCAGCAGTTTGAGTGCCTGGGGGCTTTGGGGGCCCAGCCCGCGGGGTAGCGGTACCTGTAGCGGTGCGTGTACCGGCAACCTGCTGCAGCATGCCAGTGGCCGGGCGCAGCACTCAAGTGAGGTGCGCTACAGGCGGGTTGCTACTCGTACAGGCTCGCCGCCCACTAAACTGAAGCTCGCTAGAGGTCCGTCTGGAGCCCTTTAGGTTGAGGCCGCCAGAAAGCACGGGCTATTGACTGAGCACCTTATGGGGAGACATTGCAAGAGATTTTCAGATACAGCCACGGGCAGCCAAATACAGGAAACCTCGTGACGCCACAGCAAAGGCTTCTAATAGGTACTCGTATTTCTCACAATCAGTGAAGCAGCGCAAGCCAAGCTTGCAGCACTTTTTGCGCTGCCCAAGCAGAAGCAGGAAAGAGAGAGAGACAGAGAGAGAGAGAGAGAGAGAGAGAGAGAGCAACTCTGTTGGGCTAGTCCGGGATTGCTCTTGCCCGCGGGACCTCAGGAGACAAGAGTGGACTAGACGCAAGACGCTTTGCCCTTGTTGGGCTTAGCGCTCTCAAGTGGCGATGCCAGGGGGGACCCCAGAATACGAACAAGGGACAAAAAGTGGGAGAGCGTCTTTTTTTTGTGTGTGTTTTTTCTGCGATACGGCGAGAGAGCGAGAGAAAATGGTCAAAGAGGAAAGTGTGAATGGATAAAAGAGGCCGAGAATGAGTGGAGGGGAATTTCAAAGCAGGGCCCACAGTCCCTTCTTGCAGTCTGCAGACACCGGACAGAGGAAGGAGCCAAGTCGAGTCGATGAGTGCATACGAGCTGATGCAGGCACAGCATGTCCAAAGTGTCTCATCAGCATGTACTGCTACGTAACGGATCGGTCTGATGCTACCTAAGGTACCTTACCTCAGACCTGGCAGTCCCGGTATCAGTCTGTGGTCATCGCTCTGTCTCAACACACTAATAAATACGTCTCTTAGCACAGTCCGAGGCACCTCAGGGCGACGATGCCCTCTGCTTCTCGTGCTCCATCCCAGATCAATAAGGTACTCCGACTGTACCCGTCTCTCCCAAGTGATCAGCAAGTACCGGTACATATCCGATCATCCGTCTCTCCTTGTTCGCTCTTTTGATGCCCCAGAATGCGTAAGCTGGAACCTTCAGACGAGTCGTTATGCGAAATGACGTGCCAAGCTCTGGCTCTGCACTAACACCATTCGCACCATCAAAAGCTAGCCATTCGTTAGTCGTCCCTCGGTCTAAACCATTGAATTGAATGGACGAGATTGCACCTTGGCACGAATCTGTTCGTAAACATTCAAAGTCCAACAAAGTCTCATGATCTCACAATTTTTTCTATACAGCAGGACTCAAAGCAACAACAAAGGCCTGACATCCAACAGCTGCATGCCAGCAGCAGCAATGTCTCAGTTCAATTCCACCCAATCCGTCGTCATCCATTCCTCCTCCGCAAAACATCCCAAAATAACATCATGAGAGCCACAGACCAGACGGGCAAAGCCACCAAAACAGATCAGCGGCACTGCTGCAGGGCAACTACTCTTCCATCTGACCAACCGGCGCCGCTCGAGAAATTGCGCCTGTTGAGCCACGAGGCTGGTGGCGGGCTAATGATGATGATGCTGGCTGAGCTGAGAATTCTATTCCTTCCAATCCTCCCTTGGCCTCCAGGCTCTGTTACTAGGCATCTCTGAGGCGGGTAATAACCAATCTGCCGATGCCAATATATCTGTATGCGTGCACGTCCGAGTTCCAAGTCGGTATGACGGAGCTATCAGACACTTGCCTTCTTCTTGGTAGGTTAGTTCTATGCTTGTATTGTACGAATCATCACGACAATAACTCTGGGGACAAAAAAGGATCAATGAAAACTGCTGCTGATGGATGGTGAGATCTTGTCCCCGTGATGACCCGCGATGACGGATCGGGTTGCCCGAGGTTCTCGTTGAAACCCGGCTACCCATCCATCCACCCTCGGAACAGTCGATAATATTCCCCTAGACTTCCAATAGGGAGCTAGAGATATAGCAAATCACATGTGAGAAAGCTTAACTTTCATGATACCTTGCCCACCTCAAGGGCGTAATACCCTGCATTTGGTAATGGGCACCATATCTTGACACCCATCACACATGCGTGTATCTGGCGCTTGAAGTATCAAGATTCGCTCCCCGCCAATAATCGAGATCGCAATCTCAATTCAAAGTCTAAACAACTCCATACTTACTCCAGTCACAATGCGGGACGAATCATCATCACTAGAAATTCCTTGTATAAATCATCCTTCATCGACATGCAACACTCACAAGCCCATTTCCTTTGCATCCCTGTCCTGTCTCTGCTCCTCATCAACTTGGCCACTTGCCACACAGCTACCAGCAAGCACATGCGTCCAGCGCAAACGACCTCATCGTAATATTATCGCTTCTTCCAGCTGCAGGGGAGCCTTCTTCCACTCGACCACCGCGGAGGAGCCCTAGTATCATGATAGGGGTAGGCTCAACAAAAGTACAAGCAAGATGGTGATCAAAAAGGCAAGGAGAGGTAATGCTGCGGCGTGTGAAAATATCGATTCATTTTCGCGCTGAGGTGAGAAAACAAGGAGACAAAGAATGAAGATAGAGAGAGAGAGAAAAAAAAAGGAAAACAACATGCCAGGCCGTCCAAACAAGCAAAAGATCGTATACACACTCCCTGTTCTTTTCCCCCTTCTCTCCCCCCCCCCCCCCCCTCTAAAAGTTTTCTTTGCCCCAGACAAACGAAAAGCTAAAGAAAGAAGCATCAATTAGTCAAACCGGATCAGAAAAGGAATATATATATATATATGTGTGTGTGTGTGTGTGTGTATCGTGTCAACTTACTCAGGATCCGTATACTTGTTGCAGTACACATGCAGCGAACTGCCCAGCCCCTTTGGTCCGCAAAAGAAGACACCCGCCTCGCAGGGCGTGTGCAGCTTGCGGATGCCGCGGAAGATCATGTCCCAGTTGGGGCGGCCAAAGTTGGTCGGGCTCCGGAGGCCCGTGATGGCGTCCTTGTCGGCGTTTGCGTCGTTGATCATGATGTTGGTGGCATCGTCGGCCTTGATCTTGGCCGTCAGGTACGTGTGGATCTCGATGCGGTTGTCCACGTCCTGCGCCTCGACGGCCAGCAGCAGCGAGCGGAACCACTCAAAGGAGCCAAAGTCGCGGCAGATCCAGAAGAAGTAGACCTTGCGCAGCCGCGTCTTCTGCTGCGGGTAGTTCATGCGGTACCAGATGGACTTGAGGATCGAGGCAAAAGGGGTGACGCCGATGCCCGCGCCGACCAGGACGGCCACCTCGTACTTGAAGACGTCCTCGGAGGCGGAGCCAAAGGGCCCGTCGACGTAGACGCGCGGCAGCACGCGCTTGAGGGCCGGGTCGTTTGTCTCGTCGCCCGACACGCCGACGACCTTGCTGAAGCCGCCCTTCTTGTCCCACTCGCAGCCCAGCATCGTCGACACGGCCATGGTGAAGTCGCCCTGGCAGCGCATGTGGATGGAGATGTAGTCCTCCTCGGGGGCGCTCGTCAGCGTAAAGGGGTGGTACTGCCACAGCGACACCGCCGGGCAGCAGAAGAAGATGTACTGGCCGGCCCGCGTCTTGGTGTTCTCCTTCTTGATCTGGATCTCGCACACGTTGCTCGGGTGCTGGATCACCTTGGAGATGTACGTCTTGTGCCGGCCGCGGATCTCGCGCGCGATGCGCTCCGCCAGGTAGATGAAGCCGCCGTACATCCAGTACTGCCAGAAGACGCCAATGGCCGCGGGGCCGACGCTGGTGCAGAAGGGCGCGACGTCGGGCTGGATCATGCAGAAGGCGCCGTGGATGGCCCAGAAGAGGAAGAAGACGATGAACATGTGGTGCGTGTACCAGAAGCGCTCGTAGTTGGCCCGCCGCGGCTTCTCAATCGACGTAAACACCATGCCCATGAGCGCAATCAGCATCACGTAGCCCGTCCAGCCGGGGCCCGACGCGAAGTTGGCCAGCAGCCAGCCGTAGATGCCCAGGTTGTTCTTGACCGCCACCTGCGCAAAGTTGTTCCAGTGCGCAATCGTGTGCACCCAGGAGAAGAAGACAATGGACCAGGCCGTCGTGATGTGGAACGTGATGTTCTTGTCGAACTGGATGACGCCGTTCAGGGGCGTCTGCCGGAGCAGCGAGATGAGCGTTCGGCACACGGGCAGGAGGATGATGCCGACGTCGACGTGGAGCACCAGGGCCGCCGCTCGGGCAATGACAAAGGTGAAGCCAAAGGTGCTTCGGGACGATGCCAAGCTGTCCTTGACGCCGTAGTGGACGCAGGCAAAGGCAAAGATGAGGGCATGCGCCAGGATGAAGACGAAGACGAACCTGCTCGCAAAAATAGAAAAGGGGGGGTGGTTAGCCAACCGAGTTTCTCAGATTTATTTTCCTTTTCTCCTCTTTGAAACGAATGCTTCCCACTTTGATCAAGGTCCGAAAACGTACACTCTTCTGTATCCTTCATTGATCATCCATCGGTCAAACTTTTCTCGTGCCGTCAACTCCTGCTGCTTTTCCTGTGTCATTTCGCCCGAGAGCAACATGCGCGTCAGGGGAGTCCATCTGGACCTCTCCGACGGCCGCTCGTAGCTCTCATACTCCTCGTAGCCCATCTTGGAAGCGAGTCGGGTGGTTGTCGATCGTCGCAATAGCAGCTTGGCCGGCGCAAGGTATCTTCTCTGCTCCCTCGATGCCTTTCCGTAGCACGTTCGGCCGGTTCGCTATACTGTAGACAATGTATGATTATACTTCGATTTAGAAGCGCAAGGCAGAGTCGTCGGTTCAGATCCCGCTGAACGAGCAGCAGCCTGTGGAATGGGGGGTTAAGGACGAATGAGTGGACGAAGAGAAAGAAGAGAAACGAAAGAGATATCCCGAGATCTATGCCACACATCGAAAATGTCAGCAACAAGAGCGTCGAAGAGCAGACCTTGACGACCACGATCGAAGCATTTCTGATATCAAGGATCAAAACACTGTGGGAATAGGACAACCATACCAGAAGACTACACTTCGACCTGCTTTGCGATCAACGCAACCCACGGGAATATCCAAGCAACACAAAAGAGGAACAAAACTAGAGACAAAAGGAGAATTAAAAGAGCTTCCCGAGCCAAGTAGGAGAAATGGCAGGATGCGACAAGGGGAGAATATTATTACTTCCAACCGCCAAACTAAAGAAGAAACAAGGGAAAAGAGAAAAGAGGGAAAAGGAATTAGACGATAGTCATGCCGCTGCTTCGACAGCTAATACCTGCTAACAAGTACATAGAGTTAGTAATGAAGAAGAAGCAGAGGGAAAAAAGCACGGCCGGGGATTCGCTGCCGCGTCCGTGTTACAGGATGCGGAAACTCGTCCATGCAGCGAAGCCAGAAAAACTGGCGAACCACACGATCGAGTCGGCTCCCGGTCCCTCGTCGCGGCCAATCAGCGGCCGTTCTGGCAACGTCTCGAAACAGACCATTGACGGGCTGGTTTGATGCCAAGGGCGCCTTGTCGCTTCGGTTCGCAGTTTCTCTTCGGTCGCGAGAGGCTTGAGAGGATTCCGAGTCTCTAGCTGTCTAAGTCTCAACATGGTATCTTGATGAAAGTATCATTCTCAGAGGATCTTATTCTCTCGGGAGTAGGGTCTCTGTTTGCTCTGTCCATCTACCATTGTCATGGACCGTTCAGCATCTTTGTCTGCAGACCGGACATGGCCCTGGAGATGCTAACCAACACAAGGCTAGACGGAGATTTTTCCCATATGAACACGGAGGTGCTAGACCAGGGCCACTTTCTCCACCGGCCCCAAGCGAGAAAACAATGAACCCCCTTCGTCTTCCCAGCGGCAGTCGATTTGTCGAATGTGGCAAGCAGTCCAGTATCAGGAGAAGGATCACGACAAGTTGCTCCTCAGAGGAAGCACGTTGGGAACAAATCAAATCCGAGAGTCTCTACACGCAAGAAACTCCTCACTTGTTGCAACAACAGCCCAAGAGCAGTAGATTTCCAAACTACCGCTTACCACAATAGAAGAATGACGAAGCTCATGAGGCAAAGCAAAGAAGCAAAGAAGACGCGCCAGCATCCAAGTTTCACCTCCATCGCAAACATGTGGAAAATCGTTCGATTTCTTCGTCCCTTGCCGTTTTACTTCTCTCATCCCACACCCCCCGCATCGCATGAATGGCCCCTTCTATTAGTACATACTACCTCTATTGCTCTCTATCATCAGCATTGGCTCACTTAGCCAGAGAGAGAGATAGTAGAGAGAGAAAAGGAGGCTGAGCCACAAGGCTACATGAAACAAGATGCGACAAAAGGTGTGACGGCTTCCTGACCCTTGGCGCTTCCCGCTTCGCCGCCCGAGCCGGACTTGTCCGCTTCTTCTCTGCCGACACTGTTTGTTTCGTTATCTTTGTTTGCAACCAGCTTCATCGTCGTCTTGCAAAAGTCGAGTATCAATACCCTTTATAGTGATATCTGCTGGTAGCAACGTACATATCAAGATCAATTTCCCTTCTTGTAGAACCATTATTCCTTTCCACCGCTTTTATGGGCACGCTAATCGTGGATTCTCCTGTGCAAGAATCTTTGGCTTGCCCATATCATTACCTCGGTGTAACCCGGCAGTTTGCAACCAAGGACATCAAGTCAACGCCTCTTACCTTCCTTTAAACGACTTTACAATGAGCGTTTCTTCGTTATCCATCATGAATTAGCGCCGGGACTGTTGCATTTGCCACCTTTTAGGTTATACCACTCCCTTACTGCGTAATAACTGCCTTGTCCCAGACAGACGTAATCCTTGCTTTTCTCTAGATTATTCTACCAAGTTGCCCAATGACATTCTTGTGACAAGTCGAGGAGCATTCATACCTAATAAGCTACGAGACTCTCTAACAGTTGTTGGCCGGCATCGTCTGTCGTTACTTTCTCGCCCCAATCTAAGCTTTACGTCAAGACGGACTCTTGAGGATTTGAGCAATCTTCTTCAACCCCATCAATACTACAGCTACTTGACCGGTCGAGAGAAGATGACGTCCAAGGCTGGTTTATCCGATAATTATCTGGTAGGCATATATATGGAGTCCTACGCCCCGTACGCTCAAGCATTTCTACGCAACGAGATACACGTCATGGATGCTCTTTCTTGTAGTCGTCACAAGCGATGCCCTTCCTTTCACTCGTCACCAGTAATACCCTTCCTTCTGCTCGTTCCAGGTGATGCCTTTCGTCTACTCGTCACAAGTGCCAAAAGTCATTCACAGCAAACATCACAAATGCTACAAGCGCGAATCTGCGTGGAACTTGGAAATTGCCATTCACATCCCTCACATCACCTGCCAGTAAAACAATCTCGGAGACGCATAAAATCAGTTGCCTGTTTGTTGGATGCAGAGTATAACGTCGTTGTGCAAGCCCAAAGTCAAGTCCAGCCGCATAAGCCCTTGAATAGCGGATATATCTGTCTAGTCTGCCACCTTGTCCGCCGGCCATGCGTCTCACCTCCAGCATCATAGCGCGGTACATGTGAAAGAAGATGATGATGGAACAGCACAAGATGTTTGCAGAACTGCCCATGCTCGAAATCTCATCCCCTCTCAGCCCCGGCCATGGCGCGTGGAAGCTCGTCAAACATGCCGCACCGTCATTGCGTGATAGAGGACGTCAAACACCCAGCGCCTTCAAACCCCCAAAAAGAAAACCGGTTGGTATAGCCTAGACGGCGTACTTGCGGGTCCACTCCCGAGCAGTCGCCTCGTACCGGGGTCGATCGGTCTTGTACACGTGCGCGATCTCGGGCACAAGAGGATCATCGGGGTTCGGGTCCGTCAGCATGGAGCAGATAGAGAGGAGGACTATGTGTGTCGTGTCAGTTTGCTCGCTCGTTTTGATATTGCCGTGCTGCGGGTGGAGGGTTACCTTTGGAGATGGTCAGAGCAGGGCTCCACTGGTCTCGAAGAATATCGAGACAAATGCTACCATTACTATTGATATTAGGGTGGTAGATTCTAGTAGAGAAGTTGACCTTCGGAGGCTTGAATGGGTAGTCCGTGGGGAACTGGATCTTCAGGAAGAAGACGCCTCCTGAGTAAGGTGAATCACCCTGCGCGCGTTGTTAGTTTCTCCCATCTCATCAAAAGGAGCGTTGTTGGATGGTGTGCCAGCCAACTAGGTGTCAAGGTGAACTCACGGGTCCCATGATGGTAGCCTGCCAGTGAAACTGCAAAGCGGGTTAGTATTCTATTGCTTTTGTCTTCCGTGTATGCAGCATCGCCGTCGCCATCGCCGTCGTCTGATCGAAGAGCAGCCATCCGTCGATGGACTTGATGCCGGCGTGCAGGGAAAAGGACACTCCCAACTTACCAGATCCTCGCCAACAGGACCAGCAGAGCAGGAGGATGGCGGGTCACTAAATCGTTGTCAGCTTCTTTATACAGCAGAGAATTTGATGCTTAAAAGCAGAACAAGATGCGACTTGATGCCAGACCCTCTAGACTCGCCAGGAGCTGAGCGTCCAACCCAAAAGCCGCGGTTTGTGAGACCCCCGCTCAGCAAACCCCACCTCACACAACGGCTCTGGGCTGCAGACGACGACGCTGCTGATGGGCGTAGCCAGAGACAGCCCCTAGCGATGATCAAGAGACGTGGCGGAGGGGAGGGTGGGAAGGCAGTATCCCGGGGAGAAGGCACAGAAGGGATGAGGGTAGAGAGTCCGTCAGAGGAGACGAGGGGGAAAGTGGAAGGAAGAGACAAGAGAGACTTACGTGCCAAGGTCCTTGAGCTCCTTGTTGATGCGCTTCAGAGCCATTGTGATGAGGGTATGTGGTATCTAAAGAGAGGTCGAGATGATCTCGGATCGTGGCTGGCAGAAAGCGGGCGTCAGTATTTTGCGTCCGGACAGGTCGGGTCACGATGCGGAGGCGGCGCCAGACTCACGGTCACGACGAGAAGGATTCAAGGCGACGCCTACGAGGACGATGGAGACGATGCAAGGCGACCGTCTGCAAGTCCAGAAGACTAGGAGGAAATGCTTTTCGTCTGCGAGCGGGAGTTGCGAGTCCCTGTGATGTTCGGATGGTGGTTTGGATTTGGTAGTATGTCCAAGTCCAAGTGGAGGGGTTGGAAAGGAAGAGAAGAGAAAGAGGCACAGTTGGGCAAAATTAGTACAGGAAGTCTTAGCAGGAGGTGCTAGGTTCCGGTTAGTATGTGTAGTAGTAATCCTCGCTGTAGCCACTGGCTGGCTACGTACAGGAGGTACATGGATGGACGGGGAGAGTGGGAGGGAAAAAAAAGAGCGGACCGTTCAGGTTGGCTCGACACACACACACACACACACACACACACAAGCCTCTTTGTGAACAGCCACTCTTTGTACCCCAGCCCGTCTTCTTGTCATCTTCTCTTCACTTCTATTTCACCTTCTGTACCTGCTAGCAAAGTACCTCTCTCCCCTTCCGTACCGTGCGTGGCCCCCCCGAGAAAGACACCGCCACTGCAAAAAGCTGTGCTTCCTCCCGGGGGGGGGGGAATGGGAATCGTGTGACCCGGACCACTAACGGGCCTGCACCGGATTTGCACGCACCCAGCGATAGCGGCGAAGGGACTTTCTGGCCCTGTGGCTCACTGGGGGCCTTGTGGCTCCCTCGTCACGGCCCAAAACTGATTTTGCCATTTGACTGGATCCATCCACGTCCTTCCCTGGCTTTCGACGGGCCGGTGCAGGCATATCGTGACTCTGATAAGCCACAAGTACATACATACCATGCACACCGCGGCAACTTTGAAAGACTACCTTGCCTTTTGCCACGAGATGCACCGTGATGGCCTGTCCAGTACATTAATAACCCCTGACAGCTGGCATTCAGGTTGCCTTTCTGTTCGTGTCAGAATGGCCGCACCAGAGATGGCTGACCTCGTGATTCCAAGCACAGCCCACAATATCTATACCTGCTGTTGCCTCACATCCAATAATACCTATTTCTAATCGATATTGCCATCGAACACTTCATTATCCAGACGACCCTGCTCCTGTATTTGATACAGACGGGGACGCAAAAAAACAAGTGACACTTGGTTCACCTTGCTGGATGCATCCGGCATCTCAAGGCACCCCGCGGCGGGGTTTTTGTTTGGCTCTCACGAGGCTTCACATGGTCACCAACAGATGATGGCCAAAAAAGACATACTCGGGTCTTGTGAGCGTTGACAGACAGGAAACACAGACTCGAAGATTGTGATGGTGTTGCCGTGGGTGACACTGGGCATCGGCAAACATCCACCTCATCATCAACACCAACCTAAGACACCAAGATTCAAGCATGTATCTCGTTTCATCACGTTCATCTTCATCATCTTTATCTACAGGGAGCATATCGTCTACACAAAAGCTTGGATGCCGGTAATTGCCCTGCCCAAAATCAAACCTAGATACAACCCCCCTCCGTTAGCAACACGTCGAGAGATGGAATGCGTGCAAAAGGGAAATTAAAGAAAGAATGAAAGACTCACTGTGAATATCGCTCTGTCCCTCGTACGTCTGCGTCACAAACAGATTGGCCACATGCCTTCCAATGTGATACTCGTCGCTCACGGCGTTGCCCCCGAAAATCTCCTGCAGCACGCGGACGTTGCGCAGCGCCGAGTCGCAGTTCTGCCGCTTGACCATGCTGATCATCTCCGGCGTCACCTTGCCCTCGTCCTTGAGCCTGCCCACCTGCACCGCCGCCAGCGTGCCGTACGCGGCGTCCGTGACGGCGTCGGCAAGCTTCTTCTGGATCAGCTGGTACCGCGCCAGGGGGTTGCCCTTGAACTGCTTGCGCTCCAGCGCGTACGTGCGCGCCCTGGCGATGGCGTCCTCGAGGGCGCCCATGACGCCCAGCGAGATGCCGTACCGCGCGCTGTTGAGGCAGCTAAAGGGCCCCTTGAGGCCCTCGACGTCGGGGAACATGTTGGCCTCGGGCACCGGCACCTCGTCCATCTGGATCATGCCCGTGATGGACGCCCGCAGCCCGTTCTTGTCCTTGATGGCGGGCGTCTGCAGCGTGCCCGGCGGGCAGTCCTTCCTCTCGACCAGGAAGCCCTTGATCTTGCCCGTCTCCTGCAGCTTGGCCCAGACCAGCAGCACGTCGGCAATGGGGCTGTTGGTGATCCACGTCTTGGCCCCGCTGAGCGAGTAGTATCCCTTCTTGGTCGGGTGCGGCTTCGCGACGCTCTCCATGCTGCCCGGGTCGCTGCCGTGGTTGGGCTCCGTCAGGCCAAAGGCGCCGATGAGCTTGCCCCTGGCCATCTCCGGGAGGAACCTCTCCTTCTGCTCCTCGGTGCCGAACTCGTAGATGCCGCCCATGACGAGCGACGACTGCACCGACATGCCCGACCGGTAGCCGCTATCGACTCGCTCGACCGCTCGCGTGATGAGGCCGCCGGCCACCGAGGACACGCCGGCGCACCCGTAGCCCTTGATGCTGGAGCCCAGCAGGCCCAGCTCGCCCATTTCCTCGAGGATCTTGGCATCGTAGTGTTCGTCGCGGTAGGCCTCTGTAAAAAGCAAGCAAGCAAGCAAGGAGACACAAGTCAGCGAGTCAAGTTGGGGCTTTGATCATGTCAGGACGAAGAGGAAGAAGCCATACGCAGGACCCTAGGCTGCAGCCGCTCCTGGCAGTACCGCTCTGCGGTTTCTGCTATGGCCAGCTCGTCCTCGGTAAACAGGTTCTTCGCATTGAGAGGATCCTCCCAGTTGAACGTGGCGTAGCTCCTCGCAGCAGCAGCCCGTCTGACTGACGCCGTGCGGGCAAAGGCCCTGAAGGACTGTCGCAGCATCTTTCAATTGCTCAGGTCCGTCGAGGTGGGAGAAGAGGATGGAGCATTGGCATGATGATGTCGAAGTCAAAAAGAGGCACGAGCTGCGTGTTATGTACTAGCAGCAGCAGCAGCAGCAGGAACAACAGCAGCCGCCATCGTCCCAGGCACGCTTCGGCTGACCGTCGGCAACTTGGAGTCGATTCAGAGACAAATCTCGGAACGTCGAATGGAGCTTCCCCAGACTTGTTCGTGCCTTGCAACCACTAGAACCGAGGCGCTAATCCGATGAAACCCGGTCCAATCGCAAATGCTCTCCAGCCTCTTGTTTCTCCTCGTTGAGCTGACCTTGAATCTCCACTAAGAAATCTCCACTGCCGCCACGGCACATGATGCGCCGCTTTAGGGGGGGCTCCAAGGGATTGCCTTAGTAGGTACTAGTAAGAACGTGATCGATTACATGCTGAAAGTGGAAGATGTTGGGAGAAAAGGATGGCATGGTGTAACGAGGAGACAATCTCAATATCAATGGGAGTTGCTGCTAGAATTATTGCCTAGCAGGTGAAGACGGGTAGGAAAGGGAGGCAGAAGATTAGCTAACAGAACTGAGAGCCATCTCCAACTCGTAGAAGTCAAGGCACGGAAATGGTACTGTTTACTTCGATGCCGTCAAAGCTATACTCTACTCTTACATGTAATCATACTAAGCTGTCTTCACAATCAGCATCCATAATCGTAACATGTCTGTATCCCCCCTATCAGTCCAAGGCTCGACCATCTTTCCATAAGCAGACTTCTCCCCCCTCTTCCCTCCCTCCACCGCGACTCAACCTGTCCAGCTCAACCGTGGCCAACATGATTCCCGCCGCAACCAACGGGCTTGCCGTCTTGGCTCCCGCGGCAGGACTCTGGTGAGGACTCACGATATCAGAGGGGCTGTGTCTCTCCAGTGATCCCCGCGCTCTTCGTCTTCGCTCTCTCCCGTCTTGGAATCTCGGAATGTCGAGCTCTCCAGCCGTCAAGCCTCGAAACGTTTTGGGGGATTCCCACGGACGGCGGCGACGGAACCGGACGGCCATGCGTTCGCGAAAACTAGGTGGTGTTGTAGGCTGAGAGCGAGAACAGCGACGTTGCCAACCTCCCATTTGGCGTGCATTGCCCTGTGTTCAATACCTGTAGTCAGCTTCTGCGGCTACTATAAGCTATTGAAGAGTGCAAAACAGAGTGCCGTTTACCCAACGTTGCCCTGCAGGATGGTTCAAGTCCGGACACGATATTATGCAGTCATGGACAAGGGCAGCCGAGCCATCCTGGCTGGGTGGCCACAACTGCGAAGCTTGAAGAGAATCTGACCTCGGCAGTCCTCGATCTCCGGAGAAGAGCTTGCCGCTCGGTGACGGGCTCACATCGTCTTGGCTACCAACTGATAGGGCTTGATTCGGCAAAGGATATAGCTGACTGGATGATGGAGCCGGCGACTCAGGGGATTCGATCGAGTTGTTATTCATCTTCGAGGGGTATGATGAGGGTTGATTGGTCAGGTCGGTAGGTATCATATACAAATAAGAAACAGGCGATCATGGATAGCTGCCCTTGAGCAGACTCGATTTGATGTTGAGCTGTACTAGGTAACGTGGTTAGTCAGTCGAAAGTCAGTAGGATTATTCAGGGTTCAGGAAACGATTGAGGCCACGTGCAACTCCCGCGAGGCAGCCACTCACTTGAAGCTCGTGCCTTCTTAAGCTGTTCTTTACAAAGCGGAAAGTACCTAGGTATCTTGATGCCGAAGACTTTCATCTTGATCCTTAGCAGTGGCTTCGAAGCAAGTATCACCTGTAGAGACCTGTCAAATGAACTGCCTCTGCCGTTGATCAACATGTCAATGCAAAACGGCCGCGCCAGTTGGCATACAGCGTTGCTGCCTCTTGTTGCTGCACAGGATTCAACGCATATCGAGACACCAGATTTGCTACGGCCGTCACTTGCAGCCCAACGTTGAACGGCAGGAACGGTTGGTCCATCAATTGTTTGGACTCTGAAAGGATGGCCATTGATAGACTTTCCTGTCTTTTAGGATCATCATCGACAGTGCAAGCCGATGCGAGCTCTCCCACGCTCCTGAGCAGTCGAATCATGCGCGTCTGATCGGCGAGTTGGTTCTGACGGGGGGACTTGTATCCCTCTTGTCCTTGGCGTGAACTCTCATCGAGTGTTTGCCTTCTGATAGGCCCAGTGTCCGACAAATCTTCTGTTTTATGTTGGTCATCATGGAGGAGTAGACCGTCAATGACACAGTCAAATTCGGTTTTGCCGCGGCGTTGAAAGGGTATCTCCCTCCAGGATCGCGACCCAAGGAACGTCATTTTGCGGGTAGACAGTGTCACGTAGGACTGTCAAGATCGTGAGCTTATATACTGCCATCCGGGTCTTCAGCAAACTACACAGGACTCACCATGAAGAAGCGCAACTGCCAGAAGATTTCGAAGAAAGGCGACTCCTGGCAGCCCGCGGGCGTAACATGTTCCAAAAGGCTCAACGCTCCATAAGCGTGTGGGAACCAGGAATCGATAGCAAGAGGAGCCATCATCTCAAACTCCAGAAGCGCCATTGACATAAGGAGGTCGTTAAGAATGGAAGCAAGAAGCTGGCGCCTCTGCGTTATGGCGAACTGGTGAAGCTGAGCCCGGTGACGCTCCAAGCCTCGGGAGTAGTATTGATACGCTTCTGCTCTCAACTTCGAATCACGCTCAGAAAGAGCCCTGAAAGCCACTGTTATGGCCTGGAGCGGTAGCAGTAATTTGGAGTAAACATCTGACGGAAGCGCAAGCTGGGGAACTGATAAGAACCATGGGTGAGGCGTCCATGGAGATAGATGATGGGATCCGATCTCAACAGCGAGGCGAGAGATGACTCCGTGCACGCCACCGCCAATATCCGGCAGCATGTCAGGTGTTTGTGTCTGCAACATCTTGGCCTCCCATTTATTCGTGCGTTTCAGCCCCATAGAAGGGGAGCTTGTTGCTTCATCAATTCGAAGGTGGCAAGCAAGCTGCTGGTGCCGTTGGGGGACTTTGCGAGTTGTTAGCATGGAGACACATGCGCCCCATCATTGTGGTTGACCTGCCATTGACACTATGGATGAATATCAGTCCTTGAGTAGATCCGGGACACTTTTTCCTCAATTTCGTGCATTGAGTGCAGTCTGGTAGTTTGTTGTCACACTAGAATCCAGTTCAGTCATTTATTGCTTTCCGTCTGTCTCTTCATCAGGCTTGGGTGGTTTTCTTGCCTTTATTTTTCGTCTTCGACACGTCTGGCAAGCATGAACTCGCTGGGAGCCCGGCTTCATCGTTCTTCGAGTAGGAATGAGGTTTGTCTTCACTCGTGAGCGGGAGACAAGATCCATCGACATTGACATGCGAGTGGTGGAGAAGAGTCGCGATGCATGGCCAAGCGCTTTTCTGACCTTGGGATCTCGAATAAGAGGATGAGTAAGCGATATGATCTCGAAGGCCGTGCATGTATGACTTCACGTGGGCATAGAAAAGTAATGCTGGACTCGGTTTGTATGCGCATGTAGTATTCTAATCGCAACTCTCTCTCCGGAGGCCCTTTGGCTGAAGCAGGTAGATTGGGAATTTAGTGACTTTCTGGTGGCCTAACAATGACTTGGTCTCCGGTTCATATATATGCAATAGCTGCCAGCACCAGCGTTCCGCCGTATGAGGGAAGTTCGTCCAAATTCGCGACACTTTTCTAGCCTGTATCTGATGCTCTTGAAGCAGTTGTAGGTACTCTAGCATCGAATCCTAGAATGTGAGAGATTCGAAATCTGTGGCATGTCTAGACGTTTCAACAATACTCAATATTTCACCTTGTCCCTCAGTCTCAACGATTCAAGCTGCTGTACTTGCATATCTTCCCCTTATAACCCACCCCGGAGGCAGCGGAATGTCTATTGCGATGCTCAACCGGCCAAGGGAAGAATATGTTCCCCTTAGTCCCATCGCCTCATTTTTGTGTGGGGCGAAAAGGGGCATGGCGAAGGCGAAGGCGAAGGCGAGCAGCGAGCGAAGAAGCGAAGAAGCGAAGAATCTGCCAGCTCCGCCTAGGAGTACCGAACAGCGTTGATAAAGTACAACTGCAGCTGCAGCATGTTGGATGTCACGCCAAAGCTGAACTATGAATGATCAGATGGTGGGCAGCATCCAGTGCTTGCGTGTCTAAGGTGGTCAGCCAACTCAGAAGGGACCCATGGGGAGGGCAACAGAACCGAGGAGCATTTCGGCTCCTCAAGACCTCCTCCTATACAGTATCAAACTAGCTGGGCCAGGATAGACCCCATATGAGTCGCCAAGCATCGTCGGGAATGTCGTGCTGGAACTTCTCGTGAGAAGCACCAAAAGTCGTACACTTGCTTCTCTGAGAATCCGTCGATGGAGCGTACAACTTTGTCGGCCCCTCGCCTACTAGAGGTCTGCCTTTTTCTTTTCACAGTTCCGGACAATATCCCTTATGTGAGCCAGCAAGAAAGGTCCTCTGTAATCTGGACGGTGACTCGATTGGAGCCAGCCCTCCAGAAGACAACTCGAGAGGAGAGCAAGCGTGTTGTGCGATGCTTTGGCGGTGTAGTCGACTGTCTTTGACTCGAGCCGCATATATTAAAAATCAGAGGTCTCTGCAATCAGTGTCGACGGCGTGCTGGTTGCAACTTTCTCAGCGTCAGGGATCTTGGTGATGGCGGTTCTGCTGGATCTTTCCTGAGGCGGTTCCTGAGGAGGTAGTCTTTATTGAGGAGGCGGGTTTTGGCATTGGTAGCCATCGTGAAGCGGATGGTCCAGGAAATAGTCAGCTTCGGGCTGAGGAGACAGTTGTCAACTGCTTGTTGCTCTGATTTGGAGAAGAAGAATGGACCAAGAAGAAGGTAAGGTATGGAATTGTTCATGTTATCAATCACTGGCTGATGACATCAAATGGGGATCGGGCAGCAGCTCGGGAGTCTAGCCAGATTCGGATACTAGCAGTGAACAGACGACGTCGAGAACCAGCATCGAGTCTCAAACTGGAGATAATGCCATATAATTTGTAAGATGGCAAAACGTCCGTGTAATGATCCAAAGCGGTCTGGCATAAGAGGCTTTAGTTGGAGCGTGACATATTGAGGTCTTCAGACTTTCGATTGTTTGCTGTTTTCTAGGGTAGATGCGAAGCACTCGAGCATCGCGAGTGAAAACTGGAAGCATGAGGCAATATGAACAGAAAGCTACAGACAGACATTCTTCGTCAATTCGTACGATTGTCTTCGAAGACAGTGCCTGTGAGCTTGGGATCGCATTCTTGGGCGTTACTGTATTGGTATCCGCACTTTTGCAATATCGATCCCCAGTCTTTATTACGAGCTGCGACTTGCATTATCTCGGTACATGTACCTATTTTTGCGATTCTTCGAGCTACTATATGAAGCTTACCTAATATTGGGCCGCCAAACACTGTTTCCATCAAGCAACGAAATATGATGGCAGGTCATCCATGGCTTTCTTCTCGCCTTGAATTACACGATGGGCGATCAAGACATTGCTTTTCGCTTCAACATCTGTGAGATGAGGAGCTTTCATTTTGCCGTGGGCTATGTTGATACGATCGACATGGACGATGATGACGATGATGACGCATGGTGCTCAGAAATACGTGCGTCCCCTCTCCAAAGGGATACATATTCAGGGTAATATCTTACCGCTGTTCCTTGACGAAGAAGCTCGTTTGTTTCAAGAGAAGATTTGATGTTTTGGAAGCACCTGACACGCAGTCCGTGACGACTCTACTCTACCCAAAAATTACGACTTGCTCGTCTGAGCCGAAGTCGAGGAACTTGGCGATCCACTCGATCAGGATCCACGTGTCGTACTTGTGAATACACGCGTAAAGGGGTTATGAGACATGCTTTCGGTGGTGGTGGTGTGGCCTACGAGCACTTCTCTACACGCACCCAGCTGCCGCACAAGCTGCTCGACGTGAGGCCTCAGGAGCGTGTGCTACAGGAGAATCAAACATCACCATCCTCCGTGTACGCGGAAGAGGTACCCTTTCTTGAAGGAGGCATTTTTGACATGGGTTCGTCGCGGCTACGGCCTAAAGAAGAAGCTTCAATTCTGCTCTCTTTTAAGCACAATTCTCTCCCTCCCTTGCTGCAGATTTCTTTTAGCTGGGGGCCATTTTGCTCTCTTCATATTACTGCGCTTATCTCTTGTGTTTGTTCTTCTCTGGGCGTTTGACGGGTTCCCCAGTTCTTCTAGAAGTCAGTATTAGCAGGGAGATGAAAATCACAGCAAGGATTGCACCCAGTCGCGAAAGTAGATGCTGTATACATGTACCAAGCTATGGTAAGATTGGGAGCGCTCGCCCTATCGCTGGAGACGGAGAAAGACTTGGGTGATCCGATGCGCGGGCAAAGATCGGAGAGAGAGAGAGAGGGAATATTGCAGAGGGGGCTGAGCGCGGGTGTGCACAGGTCTGCCAAGATATTGGCAGTCGAGCGTTTATGCGCTGGTCCCGGCATGTTTCGGCCGGCAAGGGTTCTTTAATATGACGGGGGAGAGGCAGTGCTGACAGGCCGCGCACCTATTTTTACCCTCTCTGGATGTCTGTCGAGAGGCGGCCGGAATTAAGAAACGATGGAGAGGCTGGATGGTTGGGCGGACGAGACTGTGGCCGTATTTTCCGACAGAATCCTTTTGCTACCATACATACCTAGGTACGACCGTTTGGGCGCCAAGCAACGACGCTCAGGGGAAGCTTTAGGGAGAGTCAAACGCCCAGCTGCGGAGAAGTTGCGCGTAGGGACATGAGCATGAGATTTTCGTGATAGAGAACCAAGAAGACATGGCAGACGGCATCTCGGCTGGGATGGAAGCCTCTGGAGTTCACAGTCGGTCGTCCACAGCTCGAAGCGTGTTGCATGCATGCATGCATGTGATGGATGTGATGTGACTCTTCACACTCAGCTCGTCGATTTATTTCCTCAGCTTTCTGTCAAGCTTCCTTTTCCCGTTGACCGGCTGAACTGATTCTTAGTCAGCCGGTTTCACCCGCGTAATACTGCAGGCACTTGGCGTACAGTACTCGATACGAAGTACAAGATGGTACCCTTCCGTGGAGTGTTTCTTCATCAAGAATCGACCGTTTTGGTGTCTTTGTCGTGTTCCAAGGTTGTTTGCTTGCCACCGGTCGGGGTGGAACGGTTTGATGTCATTGTATGTACTTGCATGAACGGGAACGGTGCCGGTATCAACAAGGGCTAGGAGTAAATCAGTTAGGAACGGAGGCTCTAAGGTACATGTGCGAGTACCTTGGGAGACCCGCGAACGCCGGCAACAGAGTCTCCTGTCAATCATTGTCCCTGCGAGTCAACGACACAATTCAACATGCTCTCGCTTCCGCCGGGCTGCTTCCAGGGGCTGTCGGTACCGCTGCCGGACCTTTGATCTGTACAAGTAGCAGTACTAGCTCCTAGTACTCACAGAACATATCTGGAGGACGGAGTGCATGCTTTGGTGCTGCACGTCTGCCGTGGCACGCAGGCTGGGGGGCCACGATGGAGTCGAATCGTCCCATCCATCACAAGTTCGAGCACTGCCTCGGGTCGAGCCAGCTGAACCAGGGCTCCGCATCGATCTGCTCGGTCGCACCCATTGCTCGGGGTTGTCGATTGGTCGGTTTGGCGTGCTGGAGTAGCGCAGTGGTGCCTGTTGTCATCAACCTCCAGGCGCTCCGTCCGTCCAAGTCCTTCAAAAGTCGTGTTCTGCCGCATCAAATCAAATCTCCACCTGGGTACCGAGCGGCCGCCCACTGTATTCATGTTAACATCAAATCTAATATCGTAGCAGCAAGGGAGAAGCAGCAGCATCAGTACTAGCAGCAGCATCAGGGCACAACAGAGCCCCCGTGCCTCCGAGATCAAGACACTCGACGTATGCACGTACGTAGTACCAACAATCATGGTCATCCAAGCCGTGTTGATCCAGGTCGTGCTGTGCTTGCTGTGCTTGCTGTGTGCTGGTGCAATTGCATCAAGGCTGTTCCCAGGTTTCATTGATTCCCGTTGCTGATCCATTCTGTGGTCCAATCTTGTCGCCCATTTCCGCTGCCAACCCCCTTGTGGCCCCCCCATTAGCGCAGCCCGGAGACAACGACGAACCCGCCACTGTCATTTCGAAATTTGCACGAGGTTGCAAGTCCGACGGAACGTTGGCTTGATGTGCGTGAACGTTGGTTGCTGTCAAGTTTTTCTTTTCTTCTTCTTTCTTGGTCTTCTGAAGTTGACGGGTTGTACGGAGAAGTCGCCGTTCATTCCTGCCTGCATTTGATCCCGGCCCCTTGATCATCCATCACATAAGCATTGAACCCACCGCCTACCCATTCAGAGAGGCCCTCAACGCACCCACCAACCCGCCCAGACACCCACTGACCACCTGCAGCAAACAGCGGCCCAGGGCCCTGAACCTCCCTGCGCTTCCAGGTGTCTCTGCCCGCTGCAGCGTCCCTCGTGCCCCCCGGCCCGGGGCCATTCGTCATCCCCCAGCGTCTGCTCTCAGTGGGTCGGACTGCCAGGCCCCAGCGTGCTTCCCTCAGTCCTGCCCTGTGCTGTGCTGTCCAGCGTCTCTGCCCAATTTCCTGCACCAAACCTGCAAACCATTCAGTCCAGTCCAGTCCCGTCCAGCCAGCACTGCCCATCACTGCACTGCACTGCACTGCACTCTGCTCTGCTCTCAGCCAGACCAGACCAGACCAAACCACCCCAAATCTCTGTCCACCATCGATCCAACAGCAACCCGCCCAGCATCGCTCAATTGGTAGCTCTTACACCGCAGCCGGCGCCTGTCTGCCCTGCTCGCTGCTCGCTGCCGCTGCCGTTGTCGCTCGCTCGCGTCCGCCCCGTCGCAGCGAAATGCCCTCGTTCCTGACCCAAGACCACTCGACAGTCTTCCCCAGCGGCAACGGCTCCGTCATCAACCTCGACCACTTCAGCGCAAAGGACCAGGCGAATGAGGCCTCCATAACCGACGCCCGGTCCTACGCCGTCCATGAGCGCTTCGACGAGAGCTCGACACTGTCCACGCGCGCCTCGGACCTTTCGGACTCGCCTGTGCCCTTGGGCGACCTCGACCAGTGGCACGACGACGCCAGCGCCAACGAGACACGTCCGACCAGCATGAGCTCGCTCTCCAACGGCAAGAGCCTGCCCGGCGGCTACGGCGCCCACGACGTGACCTTGGACGTGCACGATGTCGACCGCGCCCTGGCCAATGGCGCCGCCGTGTCCCCTTCCCAGCGCTCCTCCGACCAATCTCGCATGCAGACGACGTCCGCCAGCCAGAGCCAGAGCCAGAGCCAGAGCCAGAACCAGAACGACGAGCAGAACCAGAACCAGAATCAGAACCACAAGGCTACGGCCCAGAGGAGCGCTCCCGACGGCGTCTCTGCCTCTGCCTCTCTGGGACGCCCGACGCCGCCCCCCACAGACACCGACTCGCACAGCCCGCCCCAGCCTTGGACGCCGTCCCTGACGCCTGCATCGCCCATGGCCTCCGACCCGGCCCTGCCACAGCAGTCGAACGGCAACGCCAACTTCAACACCAGCAGCGTCAACCCCCAGCGCTTCTCCTCTCCCGCGTCCTACCAGCCCGGCGGCTCCAACTCGGCACCGTCCCTGTCTGCACATTTGCAGCCACCGGGACCCGGCATGGGCATCAAACAGAGACATACGCTCGAGGTTCCCAAGCCGCCGTCAGGTAGGAACTCAAGGGAGCTTGACAGCGCCCAGGCCAGCGGGCGCTTCTCGCCCACTGTCGCCAACCCTGCAGGCGGTCGTGCCGCCTCCTTCAGCCTGGCCCGCCGGACGACGAGATCCATGCAGTCGGACGCTCCCCGGGACGAGATTGCGCACGATGAAGATGCCCAGCGATGGGCTGAAGTGTACCGACAGAAGCGCGCCAGCAAGAAGAAGCGCAAGGAGGAAGAGGACGATGACCGCGTCCTTGTCGGCACCAAGGTCGACGAGAGCCACGCCAACTGGGTAACGGCCTACAACATGCTGACGGGCATTCGTGTATCCGTCTCGAGGACAAACGCAAAGTTGGACCGCGAGTTGACCGATGCCGACTTTCATGTTAAGCAGAAGTCCACGTTCGACATGTACGTATACTCATTCTCCCCTTGAGTTTCAGGCTTGCTGTTCAACCTCTCCCTTTCTACCTTGTTCTCGTGCTTTACTGACACTAGTTCTCTCTCCTCCATAGCACCGGCAACGAACTCGTCCCCTCGGCCAAGTACGACTTCAAGTTTAAAGACTATGCCCCTTGGGTCTTCCGTCACCTTCGACAAGCCTTCCGCCTGGACCCGGCCGACTATCTCATGTCCCTGACCGGCAAGTATATTCTTTCGGAGCTGGGCTCCCCTGGTAAGAGCGGCAGCTTTTTCTACTTCTCTAGAGATTACAAGTACATCATCAAGACTATCCACCACGCCGAGCATAAGTTCCTGCGCAAAATCCTCAAGGACTACTACCAACACGTCATCAACAACCCGAATACCCTACTGTCTCAATTCTACGGCCTTCATCGAGTCAAGATGCCATATGGAAAGAAGATTCACTTCGTCGTCATGAACAATCTGTTCCCGCCGCACCGAGACGTTCACACTACCTTCGACCTCAAGGGCTCGACTATTGGGCGAGATTACAGGGAGGAAGACTTGGAGAAGAATCCCCGCGCGACTCTCAAGGACTTGAACTGGCTCCGACGAAAGCAGAACCTCGAACTGGGCATCCAGAAGAAGAAGCTGTTCCTCGAGCAGCTTCAGCGAGACGTGGCCCTCCTCAAGCGCCTTCACATCATGGACTATTCCTTGCTGGTCGGCATCCACGATTTATCCCGCGGTAACGAAGAGAACCTGCGCGGAAAGACCCTGCAAGTGTTCAACCCGGGAGGCGAGAAGAACAACGAAGACGACCTGCAGGCTTCGCTTCTCCGAACGCCCTCAAAGCTGGAGAACTACCGCAAGGCCAAGGAACTGCGGCAGATGGTTCAGAAAGAACGTCCGGTACCCATGGGCCAGGCTGACGACCAGATGCCCGACGACGTGGGTGAGGATCGCCGGGGGCTCATCTTCAACCAAGACGACGGTGGTTTCAGGGCGACTCACGAGGACAATGAGCCAGCAGAAGAGATCTACTACCTGGGTGTCATTGATTGCCTGACGCACGTAAGTGGACGAATGATGACTTGTCGTTGAGAGCCATGTAAGCTAATCCTCAACAGTACGGAATGATCAAGAAGATTGAGCATTTCTGGAAGGGCCTTTCGCACGACAAGAGCAAGATCTCGGCCCTGCCGCCGGACCAATACGGAGACCGCTTCTATCACTTCATCCAGGGCATCACCATGTCTGCCGAGGAAGCGAAGCGAGAGCGAGCCCGCAGAGACCAGGAAATGCAGGCTCAAGCACAAAAGTCAAGGCAGAGCACCATCCCTCCGATGCCTATGCACCAACCCCCACCGCCCCCCGAGTCCAACGACCGAGCCCCCAAATCGCCCGAACCGGGGATTCCTGAGCGAACGCTCAAGACCAGTGCCACCATGCCAGGCGCCCGTGACTCTCAGCATGAGGCTGTCCTCCCAGTTGTCGAAGAAGCCGGAGAGAGCCGAGACGATACGGAACGATGGATTCGGGGCACCTCCTGGCACAGCATACCCGAACCCGGCCGGGCGCCTCCGCCGACTCCCCCTCAGGATCAACCCTACCTTAAGCCCGACAGCTCCGACAGTGGCTACGGCGACAACAGCAACGGCACCGTCAGCAGAGACAACTCCCTCAAGGTAGCCCGACCCGTGAGCCAAGGTAGTCTCAACAAGCGCCTGCCAGCGCTCCCCAAGAAGGAGAACTCGCAGCAAGGCAATTTTCGAATGGTCAAGTAGATGGGCCACAGCACTCCGGGACTTGAGCAACCCCGTCGCTGGTGGATTTGGAAATTGATTGGCATTACGACAAAGCACGGCGTGGCGCATAAAAGAAGATCAGCGATGTTCACCACTATACTCACAGGGTCCCAACTTTCATCAACCCACCATTTTTCTCCTCTCTGATGATTCCGCATGAAGCACAAGAAAACGGGTTGGGCGGGATTGCTGGACTCGACGATTTTAAACACTGTTTTGCAACATAATCAGCACCTCGCATTTCTTTTCTTGGTCTTCTTCTTGTTACTTTTTTCTTCATCCTTTGCCAGCCCCCCTGCGTAACGGCCAGTGCGTTCTTCTCGTCATCTGATTGTTTATTGTTGGCCAGCCTCTCTTCTATCCTTTTTCCCCCCCGGTTTGGTTCATGCTCCTTGTTTTTTCTTTTGTACTCAGAGGAAATGGCATGTTTTCGCTCTCATCCTCGCAACGCGCGTCTCCCGTTCTCCTTTTTATTCTCTTGGTCTGGTTCATTTCTGATATGTGTGCGTGCGGCTTTGGAGCGAAGCGAGTCAGAGACGGAACAGAGTGCAATTTTTTTTTGGCAGGCAAAAAGAAAGAAAAACACCAGAAAACGAAAACAAGAGAGAGAGAGACAGAAGAGAGACGAGGGAAATTTGTTTCTGTGCGGGCTGTGTGAGCAAAAGTGTGCTAATATTGGCTTTTATTACAAGACGTGGATGATACCATTGACCCGCATTCGACATACATACAGACAGTTATTTTCTTTTTCTTTAAAGTAGATTCGGTTGTCCTTATTTACCTGCATCTTCCATGCTGTCGAGAATCATCTGCTTCGTCTGTTGCTGGTGATGTGCTTTGTATGTATATCTCTGGGTTGTGATGTGGTCGAGGTTGGGAGCAACTTGTCTTTTGCTGACGGCTCATAGGGACGTTTTTGACCGATTCAGCCATCGCATAGCATGGGCGGATGGTTTAGTGGTATAATTTTCCCTTAGCATCGTGGAGCCTCCTGGTTCTCACAGACCGCATGGGAAAGGTCCGGGGTTCGATTCCCCGTTCGTCCAGCGTTTCTTTTTGTCTTTTTTGTTCTATATACATTACATTACACACTCCTTTTCGATGGCTTCTTCTGTGACTCTTTTTTTTTTGTTCATGCGGGCGGCTGTTTGTTTGTATGGCGAACTTGTAGATATCGGATGGAAGGATGGATGGATGGTGGGTTTGCTAGACTGTTGAATAAAATGTGAGCATCTAAGTCGACGATATAGATATACAAAAATGGAGGTGAGCTGAATTGTTGCAAATGTCATGGCGGGCCAAACGGCTTGGTTGAGTATGGAATTGTGAAACTAATTGGTGGACAACCGGTGTCCTTAACACGAGACTGTTGGCTTCTTTAGAAGGACGCAAAAGCGATATGCATTAGAAGATTTATAAACTCAACGACGGTATCCTAATAATCCACAAATGAATCCTAACGACAATCTTCCTCAACCCTTTGATTAAGAAGCCTCATTGAACGGAAACTGCAGCCCTCTTTTAAAGCCATTACGCACCCTCAACCCTCGTTTTCTGCTACCTTAATCATCCCAAGTAACCTTCATCGACATGGGAAACGGCGTAAGCTTCCCCCAGTTCTCAGTCAAATACTCGCAATGGCCTCCTTGTCTCGGGACCTTTCTCAGCTCGCCCTGCGGCCCAGCCGCCCTCCTGAGCCCCTGCTTCCGGAACACGGCGCGGAAGAGCTCCGTGAGCGCAATCTGGCTGACTTCCCTGCCGAGGTTGCTGTGCGTGCCGGCGCCGAACTGGATGTACGAGTCGAGCGGGCGCCGGGGGTCGACGGTCTCCGGGTTCGGGAACTGAGCGGGATCGCGGGCGGCCGAGGCAAACGAGGCAAAGACCCTGTCGCCCTGGCTGACGTTGAGGCGGCGGCCGTCATCCTCGACGATGGTGTCGGTGTCGGTGGAGACGGTGTGCAGGCCAAAGGCGCCGGCCATGCGGATGCCTTCCATGGCGAAGCCGAGAAGGAGGGCGTCGGTTTCCGGGCTGGGCTCTTGGGCGGCGAGGATGTGAAGGTCGTCGGTGTAGGGGGCGCCTTCGGGGGAGAGATACCAGTCGAGGGCTTGCGCGAACTGTATCATGACTGGGTTAGCTTTCTCATCTTTGGTAAATAGAAAAGGGGGGTTATCATGGGAAAGGAGGTGTACGTACCAGGCGGCCTTCGGAGGGGACAGTGGCTGCGGCGATGGGCAGGATCAAGCCCCAGGCGATATCATGGGGGCTCAAACCGGACTTGGCCAATGCCTTGACGGCGTTGACGCCCGCGGTCGAGAGGGCGTGGCTGTTGGTGTTGCCGGTGAAGAGGCGGAGGCCAAACGACTTTGTGTACTTGACGGTCGTCTTGATGGACGCGCCCAGAACGGCGGCAGTCTCCTTGGTCTTCTGCCGCAGCGGGAAAGACTCGACGGGGTCAATATCGAGGAAGATGGTGGCGAAGACGGCTGCTAGAGAAGTGTACAGCTCATGCTCGGAGAAGACGCCCTTGGGATTCTCGCGCGTCTTGAGCGGGATGTTGAAGACGTGAGCGGCGTATCGCGTGTGAGCTGCATTGCCAAAGTCGCGGACGACGTCAACGTGCTTCCTGCCCATGATGGTGTACGACTTCTCCGCCAGCAGCGTCTCGGCCGTCTTTGCGTAGAAGCCCCTGACGGCGTTGCGCCAGTCGTCCTTGTATAGCAGCGACTCGAGCGTCTTGCGGTCGCTGGCTTGCATGTAGCGGCCTGGGCGTCCCGAGAGCATCTCGAGGCCTTCCTGCCACTGGACGCGGTACTTGTCCTGGCTGGCGAGGACCTGCTTGAAGCCGCCAAAGGTGGTGACGTCGACGCGGGGCGCAGCTGCGCGAGGTCGCTCGAAGCTGAAGCGGTGGACGCGGTGCAGGCTGGAGAGGATCTTGCGGTTCTCCTGGGGGATGACCATGGGGTAGTGGGCGTAGACGGAGTCGTGCTTGAAGTGGTTGGGGAACGCGCGGATGAAGAGCTTGTAGAAGACGCAGCCGTGGTTGACCTTGAGGTCGTACTCGACCTCCTTGTAGCCCCAGTTGGTGAGGTAGATGGGGTTGTAGTCGGTGGTGTAGTGCCTGTCGCCGCGGACGAGGGACACGGCGTCGGACAGGATGACGCGGGAGATGGTGTAGGTCGGGGTGATGCCGACGCCGGGGACCATGGGCGTCTTGGCCTCCTCGGCGACGATGCCCGGGTACAGCTCGACGTGGTCCGGGTGCTGGTACAGGTTGCGCAGGGCGTCGGCGACCTGGGGGTCCGAGTTGATGTCCTCAAAGGTCTCGTAGCCCCTGAGGCCAAAGTGCTTGCGGAACTCGTTGAGGCCGGCGAGGTGCCACTTGCGGCCGCGGATGATGCCGAGCATCTCGACGGGCTTCATGATGCGCGGGACGTTGCGCGCGCCAAACGAGCCGCCGGGCTGCTCAATGGCCGTGGCGATGCAGTTGACGAGGTCGTCGTCGTCGAAGCGCCCGTCGGGCCCGCGCGCGAAGCCGCCAAAGACGCAGTCGGCCGGGTCCCTGGGCAGGCCCTTTGCGAACTTGTGGACGGCGATCATGAGCGTGCGCAGGTCCATGGTGCCGTAGTTGTCGCCCAGCAGGTCGTCGTAGAAGGCGTGGATCCAGGCCTCGTCCATCTCGGAGATGCACGAGTGCCAGCGGTAGCACAGGTTGAACTCGGCCGACACGCAGTTGCCCACGCCTCGCTCGGAGCCCTTGGCCGTGCCCACGTCGACGCCCGCCTCCTGCCGCGGGTCCAGCGTCCACTCCGTGTCGACCCGGTTGAGGTTGATGATGTTGCGCACGTAGTCGACCAGCGTGATGTTGATGTACAGGCCCGACGTCACCAGCCGCGCCGTCTGGAAGAGCTCCTCGTCGTACTTCTTCCAGGCCGCGGCCGCGGCGTCTCCCTGGAGGGACGGGGCCGGCTTGGTGAACCTGTTGGCTTCGTTGATGGCGGCCAGGTTGGCCGCGACGTGGTTGTGGACGCGGTTGAACATGACGAGGAGGGTGCAGACGCCGGGGGGCATGCCTAGGAGGCGCTTGTCGGCAAAGGTGTCGGGCTTGAGCATGCCGTCCTTGAATGTGCGGACTGTGTTTTGAGACTCTTGGCTGTGGCCGTACAGAGGCGAGAGGTCGAGATACGAAGACGAGTCGTTGATGTTGGAGTCCTTTTCGTTGGTCCAGAACAAATCTGCGTCCACAATATCAGCTTCTGGAAGAGATGATGCGAGTAGATTGCCTGTGGTCTTACCGTGGATGATAATGGTTGCCCAGTACCACAAGATGCTCGACACGTTGTTGGGATTCTTGATGAACTTATCACGGGCCATGATGCCTTCGAAGATGGCTTCTGGGTCCGGCATAGCCCCCAGCGGCATGACTCCTGGCCGGCATGAACGAGAATAGGGGGTACCACCTGCACCGAGCTTAGGCATAAGCGGGTTCTGGCAACTTGTGTAAGCTCCTCTTCATGGGATATAGGTTCGATTCCATCAAGAACAAGAGTTAACTTACGTTGTTGGATCCATCAGGCTGGCGGAAGCGGAACTGGTCTCCCATGTACAGCAGCGGAGGGTGATCCAGCGAGTACCACAGCTCGTCAATGAACATGTTGGTGAGCTTCTCCTGCCTCTTGGAGCTCCCGGGCAGCCTGGCAACGAGCTGGATCGTCTTTTCCATAATCATTGTCTTGTCATCGGCTTGCATCTCGCCCTTGAGCTTCGAGATGATGATTGCCTTGAGCGTTTTGAGGTCTATAGCACATGTGAGCATTTGCCTGTTGTCAGTCCCATGGTAGCGGCGTGAACAACTTACCTGATAAGGTGATTGCACTCAAGTCCTGCATCAGAGTCGGCCTGGTCTTAACCGCCGGATAGGTCCCGTTGCCCGTCTGATGGGGAAGAGGCCGGCAAGAGGCGCGGTACAACTGCATCAGGCCGCCATGCTTGGCCGGCTTGGGCTTCTTGAGCTTCGCGACAGGCCCGTGAGGATACTCGACGGCGGCATGGTTGCCATTCGACGTGCTGGTGCTCTTGTTGAAGCTCATGGTGGACGGCAGTGTATGTAGGTGGACCACCGGCCGGGTATCGAGGAGGGAAGGGGGAAAAGAGGGAGCCAGAGAGCAGCAGGGGAAATGTGCAGTTGGAAGAAGAAGAGGAAGAAAAAGAAGAAGAAGAAAGACGAGAGAGGAGCTGATGCAACCGGGGGCGTATCACCCGTCTTTTATCTATCATCCATCTCAGAAACACGACTAATGCCGTGTACTTCTTCCCCCTTCCCAGTTATGACAAGGTCACACATACATAAGATGAGCAGCATCAGCCCGCCTGATGGACGAATTGGACCTTATGGGGTAGACAGAGTAATATCCAGGCCCATTGAGCCAGTGAGAGGCCTTCGGACGCGTGAGGGCTCGGGCCGCGAGCTGGGGCTGGAGCAGGCCAAATCTTAGCCACGGCGCTCTGGGATCGACCCTTGGAAAGCTGTATCAAGGCGGCACCATAACGCTGGAGACGCGAGATAGACGAATAGCGAGGGACAGCGGCAGCTTGTCAAGCCGACGCACAGTGTGGCACCAACGCCTCTGCAGAAGCCGTGAAAAGCTGCGATGTGTCTGGCTCCATACGGCGTACAAGGGGCACAGGAGAGGCTGATTGATGCCACTTCGTGTATGGGAGCCACTCTCCCAAAGGCTCCCCCCCCTCACCTCTCAGCCGTGTTCAGTGGAGAGGGCTTGTATGTCATTGTAAGACATACATGAGGAGAGGACCGGGGATCATGACCGAATCGACTTTGCTCGGGCTGTAGGTGTCATGCAGAGGAAGAGGGACTCTCGGGGAGAAAAAAAGAGCATTGTCCTCTGTCCTCCTTTGTGTGTCGTCGGGTTACACTCACCGATAGGGAAGTTGACGGTGCCCTTGGCGAAGCAGCAGTCGAGTCTCGAGCCATCCCGCAACGCAAATGGAGCACTCTGTATTACGAGTATCCATCCGACAGGGTCCTCTTCCTCATCTTGCTTGCTACTCGAATAATACACCATCCATCAAGTGGGCTACTCCGCACGCTCCTCAGCTGGCAATGCCTGACACGTACTTGTTGCTTCAACCACTCGTAGTCGAATCGATGAGCGAGTCGTCATATCCTATGAATCGGTGGTTTGTCGATGCAGTCAATCCTTCGGCCCACCTCCATCTCAAGATTGGCGCCGTCAAGCTCGTCCGGCAAGGGTCAGCTCGGCATCATGGACAAGGATGAGGTCGGCCGTCCACCTGAGAATGCCGATTCCGCTAGGCTGGTGGCTGCGGATACGATACATAGTAGATACTCTTGGGGGAGGGGATCTTGTTTGCTTCGTCTGGAGCAGCTTTCATGATCCTTGGGGTATGTATACTGAGCCGACGTCAGAACGCCTCAGGTCAGTAACATTAACCAACCTCCGCAGAACCAGGTGGCTGGAGAGACCATCGTGATAGCCGCCCAAGATTGAAAGCTGTGAGACGAGAAAAGCTGGTCAAGACGCGCGCAGTTGTTTGCAACGAAATCGCGACAAGGGCTTCCCATGATTGGCCCTTTGTCTCTCCACGGCACACAGAAAGCCAAACGCCTCTCCTTCGACCTGCTGCTGCTGCCCCCCCTTGTCTGGCCCTGCTCAGGGTCGAGAGCTGCTCGCACGCTAACAAACCACCGCAAGCTGCTTCATGCGCTGTAACGAAAGCATGCAGATGGCTTCAAGCGCAAATCGGCCAATCCTAAGCCTGCGGCCCATGGAGATAAGCGGGCGGACGAGTCGAGTCTGCCGTCCGTCTTGCGTATGGTACAGTAGTAAACCCCCCGGTCTGCGCTTTGGCTAACATGACTGTCTAAGACATGCATATATGAAATAGGCGCCAGACTCGCTTTGCCAGCAGATCACTTACTACTCTAAATGACAGACACAGCAGGAAAGTTGCCGTCCGTCGGTCAGGATTGGTTCCCGTCCCTCTCTTTTTCTTTCTTTCTTTTTATTAACCGGATCCCCACTGTGATGCCAGGACTTGGCTTGGAGAAAGGAGGATTGGGCATAGTATCATTTGAGAGGCGTTGCTCGATGCCAGCTGAAAACTGGTGATGCTACGCCTAATACGGTCGAGATGCTTTGCCCTTGCTGCTGCTGAGGAGGGACCCTCGTATGCACTGCACGAAAATGCGATGCTACACTACTCGTATGTTGATGCTAATGTTTTGGCAGTACTTGGAAGGAACAGTGCTTTCAAGTATATATTCGTATCTTCACAACGTTGTACAATGTGCTTGTAGTCTTGGACGTAAGTGTAATACACAAGGTAGCAGGTAGTGGTAGGATTGGACAAGACGCGGAGCCATGCAACCAGACCCTTACCCTGCATGAGCCAGCTTGTTGGATGCACAGACAGGCCATCACAACTGAGACCATCTAACCAGAGTAGTAATACATCCCTCGTCATGGAGTATTTGCAATAGGAAATTCGGGAGAGAAGGCTAGGGGGGCCAAATCGACCATCGGAAATCCCAGAGGCGGAAGCTAAAAGGATCGTGAGATGATCGGGGGCGAATGCCATTACCCGTACATTCACAGAGGAGTCAATGCCGCACGCAAGTCATCATTGTAATGTCGAGTCGGGATAACAGCTCACCGTCCACAACGAACATCGTCATACCATGTTTTGTTGGACAACCTTAGGGTGCGAGTCATCGTAAGTGTGTTGACATGCAGCCTCCGCCTCTTACCTTGTGTTCGCGACTGGCTGCATCGAATTTGGTCTGCTCTCGTCACGAGCAATACTTTCAGAACTTGACTATTCTCTCATTCAAATTCGTAGGTAGGTACTTGAGCTACTATGATGCTACTTTGAGCCTATTCATAGTACGGAGGAGTGTGTTTCTGCCATAGCCTCATCGACACTCCCAGGACTTGCGATTCTGTTCGCAAGACCAACCTCAAGTTCAGTCGAATTGTAATTAATTTGCAGCCCACATATCTTGGCAAGCCAGAAACCAGCGTCATCAGTCATACATACGTTTCTCAATAAATCTCGGTGAGATCCCGGTGTCTCTGTCCATGTTCGCATCAAAGTTCGAATAGTGAGCGCTGAATGAAGTAAAAAGCCGCCTGGAATGACTACGATCGCATAGCTCAAAGGCTTCTGACGCGTCTTTGCATGAAAAAATGCGTCGCCTGACGCGCTGCATGAGCATCATCGGCCGAGGGTTGCTCAGCTTGACCCTTGGCCTACGTCCTGCATGTGCTCCCGCGTGTTGTAGATGTCGTAGTATCAGTCTTTCAAAACACTAGTAAGTGTAGTTCGATGCTGGGATTTCCGCAGATGTCATCAATATCTGATAACAGGCGGATTGTGCTCTTGGTCAAGAGCTGCGGTTGCGAGGTATTGGCGTCCTAGATCAGAGGGGTCAAGAGATGTGTCATCTCATCCGTAGGTCAACAACCTGCAGAGGCATCTTATCGCTCTCGTACACGTGCCCGTCCGGATGGTATGCCTCTCGATAGAGGTTGTCGATGGAATGCTGATGGAAAGTCTCTGTGCGACTACAGTTGAGGATGTGGTCCAACCCTGGAGGATGGGTGAGTCGAAAGATGCCGTGCCTGGACCAGAATCAGTCAGTCAACCAGTCAGGATGGATAGTGTCAGGCCGGGTGGTTCTCTCCACTTACTCGTTGTATCTCGGCGCACAGACAATGGCAATACTTTCAGGCATCATGACTTGGTATCCCGCATGCGTGTGGAGATCGCGAGAACTCATAAAGCACGTCTGCGTCGGGTGCGTGTGGATCCAGCCCAGCATCAACAGATCTTCACTCATACAGTAATCAAACAGGGCGCTCTCGTTCTCCGTTTCGCACGTGTCGGGAGTAGATTTCTGATCTGGGATGAGGAGACAGCGAACAAAGAGGGCGTTGTTAATGGGCGTGCCGCAAAGAACACCACACGTCTCTAACCCAGCCGCCGTGTTCTTTGCAGCAATCTCGAGGAATCTTGCGCGTAGACTGCTGGGAACGAATATCGACCGGATTGGGTCGCCATTCTCAAGGTAGCCTCCAGGCTTGAAGGCGAGACGCTCCTTCTTGGGCTGAGGCGTTTCCACGGAGTATTTAGGCGGCAAAGGAGGCTGAGCGATATCACCTATCGGCTTTGGAGCAGCATCTGCCTGTTGATAGCCGTCGAGCTGAGTCTTGCGAGGCACTTGGGGCGGCAGAATCGCCTTTGGGATATCGTATCTATCCTCTTTCAGCGAGGGAGGGAGGTCAAAACGCTCCTTGGGTGGTCTAGCAGGTTGGGCCTCTCTCGGTGACGAGTAGTGGCTCTGTTCGTATTCGATGGGCCTCGGTTTAGAGAGGGAAGGGTAGTGGTAGTTAGTCGTGGTCACGGGCGGCGTCTCATCGTAACCAGAGAGTGCTGCGTCGATTTCCCTGCGCTCCTGCGCCATGTCGAGGGTCCGGCGTGTTGCCTCCATTTGCCTCCGCAGATCGCCATCGTCGAACTGTGCTGCTCTATTGTCTGTGTATCGCCTCTCTTCGTTGCCATGATGTTTTGATATCCGCGTTTCCAAGGCACTGCCGTGCTTGCTCGTGCGCCTATCTCGCTCTCGCCGGCTCAACTCTTTCTGTGCTAGGTCTACTGCGAGATCCTGGTGCTCTGCCGCGTCCAGGATTCTCGCCCTTCCACTGAGGCTGGGATCCTGAGCTGCAAAGCTAGCATAGCTCGAGGATGCCTGCTTCTTGTAGCGCTCGGCGGCAGACGGCGCTGTGCGTTCCCATTCCCTGTATGCATTCTCGATTTCGGGTTTCAGCTGCTCGAGGCTTTCGATGACGCGATCGATGCGCTTCGACAACAGCTTGTATGCCCTCTTGTTCTCAGGATCTTTGAACTGGGGATGGGTCGGCAGGTATTTGAGGACCAGGACGGAGTGTCGATAGAGCATCTTGTAGGCTCGCCCATAGTCGCCATCTGATAGAGCAAAGGATGCCTTTGCATCGCGTCAGCGCGTGAGTCGATACAGTAAGGAGCAAGGAATGTGGCCATACCTCCTGATAGAGCGTATCCGCGGTGCGTATCCAGTGCTTCATGGCAATGTTGACGTTGAACACAAAGTTCTCGGCCTGAGCCACGAGCTCCTTAATGCTCTGCGGCCGGCTCGGCGTCATACTTGGACGAGCCTCCATGGTTGCGACGAAGATGGTCCTCGAGATAGATACCAGAGGCGTCTTCTCTGCAAATCCTGGGCTTTCTAGAGGCACCGACTGTTCATGATCGTGAGCATCGATGCAGAACCGGGGAGGAAAAGAGCTGCCTAGCAGGCAGAAGGATAATGCTGGTTGCTGCTTGTACTCGTATGGAAGTTGCTGGTAGGTAAGCTTGGATGGAATATGAACTAAGCAAGATTGCCTGGTCATGTCAGGCCCCTCCAAGAACAATCAATATGGCGGGGCAGAACCGCTAGCGAGCTGGGGGAATGACAACAAGGTTTAGTTGCATGTCCGGGCTAGGGAGATATAACAGGTACACGTATGTTCCGAGCGAATGCCAAAAGGGGGGCGATTACAAGCAAGTGATTTCCACTGCAGATAAGGTACCTCACCTCTGCGGACAGTAAGGTACTTATCATTGAGCTCTCTGGCGAGCTCGAGATTTGGGTGATGAATGGATTGGGCGTAATGCTCAGGTAGCTTTGTGATTGATCTACAAGGACATTCGCTTGTCTATTGTCCGCCAACAGCCGCCTGCGCTCCCGCTTGGATCTGGATAATCTCCGTCTTCTTCTTCTCAATGTTGGCCTGAGTCTCCTTGATCTGTCCCTCCAGTCGTGTGCTAAGATATGAGACCTGTTAGCTATGAAGACGGGAGGCAAGTGGTTTGATCACTGACATTTCGCTTCCAATAAAGTCCAGTCGGCCCTTGACGGTGCTCTCCGCCTCAAACTTTTCCTGCTTCAGCAGGACAGGTCCTACCAGCTTGTAGATCGTCTCATCCTCGCCAATGTTTTCAAATTCCTTTGAGAAGTGTCAGCTCTCATGTGCCCTGGGCCAGTCTGTAAATAGGGGCTGGGACGCAATGCCGACCTTTTGCACTCCCAGATTCTCCTGTCGCTGGCCCTCCAGCTTTTGGCGGGAAGCCACTGTGTTTTGGAGATCTGGTAGCAGTGAGAATCAGTATCTATCTCATCATGAGATGGCGGAGAAGGGGGGGTAAAATTGGCCGCAGCAAGAGCGACTTCATCTCAAGTTACATGTACTCACCCTGCTGAAGTTTTTGAAACTCCTCGGAAAGAGATTGCAGCTTGGCCTGGACCTCGGCCATTCTTAATATTCAAGGTTTTTCTCTTCTGCTTCTTGAATTCTCTTATGAGCTGCCTGCTTGGTCCAACGACAATATCAGCCTAATCTTGCTTGACTGAGCCAGGGCAGTGCTAGAGTCAACTGGAACTCAACCGGTGACGCCCCGCTACCTAAAGTCTCAGCAAACTGCAGCCCCGTTACAGAGATAAAAATGTTACCCCGCCAGCGGTCAGTAGCGCAGGTACGAGTCCATGTTTTGGTTCTGCCTGTGTGATCCGTTGATAGGTATCGAGTTCCTGTTTATGGCATCATCTCGCCCAGCTGCTATTCCGCCCTCGATCTCTAGGTGACCAGCTCAGCTCGACCGACGGCTCGATCGATTTCACGCGGACGACCTACAAGGGACAGACGGCCTCTGTCGTCTCTTCGGCGCTTGAGTTACCCCGAGACCAAAGCTGGTGGTGCCTTGGGCCTTGTCTTCTCGTCGTCTCTGTCGCATCATCAGACGCATACCATACCAAGACAACAACAGACGAGACTACGAGACAGAAACAGCCGTCATGTCCGTCAACTTCCGAGATCGGGCCATCGCCGAGGTCCAAAAGGCCATTGCCGCGGACAACGACAAGGAATACCAAAAGGCCTTTGATCTGTACATGTCATCGATGGAGCTGTGGGTCAAGGCCCTCAAGTGGGAGAAGAACAAGGCCATCAAGGCCACCATGCAGGAGAAGATGGCCACGTACCTCGACCGAGCCGAGAAGCTGAAGCAGTTCCTGCAGGCCGAGAGCGACGGCAACGCCACCGGCGGCAAGACGCCCATGGGAGCCAATGGGTCCAGCGCGGGCGGCAAGGCGAAGCCGGCGGCAGAGGACGAGGACAACAAGAAGCTCCGTAACGCGCTGTCGGGAGCCATCCTGCAGGAGCGGCCAAACGTGCGGTGGGAGGACATTGCTGGCTTGGAGGGCGCCAAGGAGACGCTGAAGGAGGCCGTCGTGCTGCCCATCAAGTTCCCGAACCTGTTCCAAGGCAAGCGACAGGCGTGGAAGGGCATCCTGCTGTACGGCCCCCCGGGAACCGGAAAGAGTTACTTGGCCAAGGCCGTGGCTACGGAAGCAAACAGCACGTTTTTCAGTATTAGCAGTTCGGATCTGGTGAGCAAATGGATGGGTGAGAGTGAACGGTGAGTGTTCTCTGCATAAAGACCACATATCGCGGTCACATGCGTCTGTGCTGGTGCTAACTGCCATCAGGCTCGTCAAGCTCCTGTTCTCCATGGCCAGAGAGAACAAGCCGTCTGTCATCTTCATTGACGAGATCGATGCTCTTTGCGGCCCCCGAGGCGAGGGTGAATCTGAAGCTTCTCGACGCATCAAGACAGAAATCCTAGTGCAGATGGATGGCGTTGGCAACGACAGCAAAGGCATCCTCGTACTAGGGGCCACCAACATTCCCTGGCAGCTAGATGCGGCTATTCGCCGTCGTTTCCAGAGACGTGTTCACATCGGCCTGCCTGACGCCAACGGGCGAGCGCGCATGTTCAAGCTGGCCATTGGAGACACGGACACTGCTCTGAAACCGAGTGACTACAACACTCTGGCAGCACTGTCAGATGGTTTCTCAGGCAGTGATATCAGCAACGTTGTTCAGAGCGCTCTGATGCGGCCTGTTCGGAAAATTCTCCAAGCGACTCATTTCAAGCCAGTACGTTTCCAAACCCTACTGATGATATACCCACTCTGGTGAGCTCGCTGATGCTAATGGTATCTACCTAGGTGATGAAAAATGGCAAGAGAATGTTGACGCCCTGCTCCCCTGGAGACCCGGAAAAGATTGAGATGACGTACGACGATGTCAAGCCAGACGAACTGCTGGCTCCAGACGTGACCCTCCAAGACTTTGAGATAGCTCTGGCCGACTCACATCCAACAGTGTCAAAGGACGACATTGCGAAGCAGGTCGAGTGGACAAACGAGTTTGGAAGCGAAGGGGCTTAGGCAACGGGCGTGTCTTGGTCGGAGAGGGAGTATATGGCACAGCGGCGCTTTGAGGAGTTAGAGGGGCATCTAGGCACTCTTTGCACATAAATGTTGGTTTGGGAAACGTCATGCGTCTGTCTTGCTAGAATCGGAAAAAAACGAAGCTGTTTATATTCGATTCACACACTCTTGTCGTTTCTGTCTTACGGCTGATACATAGTGAAAGCACGGCTTTACATGCGGTTGATTTGAGCCGAGAATGATTTCGTCGATAGTCGATAAAATAGCACAAGCAAGGCACATGACCTTATGCAGAAGATAGCAAAGTATCGGCCGTGTGGTGATGTCAAGAACTGCCCAGGGTGTGCAAGGCTGAGAGAGATGCTGAGCCAGCGGAAATTGCGGACCATCAGCGGCGAGTGTGGAAAAATTCGGTGAGAGTCCCCGCCACACCGAGCCTCACCTGGAATTCTCTATGGTTTCAATCTTTTCCCAGCTACATCCAAAACCCTTCTCATCTTCAGCACAACATCTTCTTTTTTATCAGCGTTATTCTGATGCTCTTCTCCCACATGTCGTCTTGCTATTTACATGGACGCACAACTGTGGCGAGGCTGTTCCGCCGGCCCTCGGCACCAACATGTGCTCGATCGGTGGCAACCACAGCAAAGACGGTTGAGATGCTGAAAGCGACGAGTCCCGTCGCCGAGCAGCTTCTCCAGACGGGCATCTGGAATCGCAGAGGCGGCAAGAGAGCGAGTAAAGCCCTCAAGGCTGTGGAGCCTCACAGGGTGAATATTGTGAGCGAAGGGCTTTGCGGTATGCATCTTGTTGTTTCTCGCTTCAGCTACAGATTGAAAGGATCTTCATGTTGAGCATATATGTGTGGATCGTACGACTGACGCCCTGAGCCTCACCTAGATGATATCATTAAATACATGGGCGCTTCATTAGAGCGTCATCGAGGATGCGATCTGGTAGATCTGAATCCCGGCGTAGGCCTATGGAGTCGTAAACTGCACGACTTTCTAGAGCCGCGGAACCACATCATGATGGACCTTGACGCCCAGCTATACAGCCCGTTTCTCAAGGACCTCACCTCCAAGAAGAATGTTCAGCTGATACCCAAGTCGGGTATCATATGGAAGGACCTGGTTGAGATGATCCAGACGAAGCTTTCTCACCAAGAAGTGCTCGCCGACAAAGAAAAAGAGCCTAGACGCAACGACACGCTGCTGGTCACGGCCAATCTGTCCACGTTCCCGAAGAAGGCCTTTCTCGGGTTCGACAGCATCAGCACCATGGTCATCTACCAGTTCATGTCCAGCATCAAGTCTTCTTCGTTATTCCAGAAATATGGCCTGGTGCGCATGCTCTTGTGGGTCAATGACGATGAGAAGCGCCGTCTCATTCCCAAGTCGATTAATCGTCGCAAGCGAGGCTCGTTCGAAGCCGAACTGGCGTGCGAATGGGTTCACGAAGTCGCGGGACACGAGCTGGAAGCCGAGAATCGACACACGCTGCGCGATGAATGGATCAACAAGGAATCCGGCCTCAATGTCCTAGCTAGGATGCAGGCAAAGGGTCTCGAGGTCCCCAAAGGACGAGAGTCCAAAACGTACAAGGACTCGCTACAATCAAAGCACCTCATGGGCCAGAAGCTGGCCGGCGTTCACGTGCCAGTGGTCGCACGGCCTTTCAAGAAGGAGCTGGAAGACCTGGAGAACGAGCTTGATGAGGAGGATCATGAAGGGCTGTTACCCGAACGACTAAAAGCACTTCGAAGCAGGGTAAGATACGAGGCCAACCACTATAACGTGTTCCTAGAGATGCTGCAAGAACACGAGAGGATATCTGCCCTGGCGACAACAGACCCAGTCGCATTCCAAGAGGCTAACGAGGCCTGGAACGAGCGAATCGACAACATGAAGAAGAACCAGCGAATGGAGTTCAACGTCCTGAGAGACAGCTACCATCTGTTCCGCCAAATGCCCCCAGCACTGCTCTGGGACCGACGAGAGTACGAGCCGCTGACGGCCATGCCGGAAGAATTCTTCCCCAACGCGCCGACGGCCCTCCTCGACCTCCAGCCCAAGGCGATGCACCACCTTCTGCGGCAGATTGGCCCCAACACCAACCACGCAGGCGACATATCGGACGTCATGCTGCGGTCCTGGTGGAACCAGACGATTCTGCCGGCGCACAAGGCGATGGATAGCCTGTGGCCCGGGTTTGGTGATTTGGTCTCAGAGGTGCCGAGTCTGCGAGACAGCCAGCGGGGAGGGACGCCGTTGACGGGGCATGGGTCGCTGAGCGCGAGGAGCATCAACGAGGGGCAGTGGATTGAGATGCTGGAGGCGTGGATGCGGTGGCCGTTTAAGCCCACGTATGGGCAGATGCTGGGGAGGATGTCCGAGGAGGATACTGATGGGGAGGAGGATGATACGAGACCCAATGCGATTGCAATGGCGCCTTGAAGGAGCTGTTAGAAGGCATAACGTTTTGTTGTACGATAAGGAATGACTGGAATAGATGGAAGGATTATACGGATATATGACAAGACTACTCATAGTTGGATCAAAGGAATAGCATGAACATCGCAAGCCACGGGCAACCTTCCAAAGAATTATTCAATTTGTCATTATTGCTATTGTACAATATTATTTCGTGAAATCATGGTATCGTTCCATTAGTTGGAGTACTTGGGGTCGACCTTGCTCCTAGATTCCGATGCTAGGTTAGTATATCTCTGCGAGGTTCTTCTCAAGGCTGGGAACTCGTGTCTGCTCACCCCGTCGCCGATTCGTACATGCCACGGCCGGTATCCGTAATCTTCTCCTGGGTATTGCGATCGATGTTGAAGCCGCCCTGCTTGGCGCCCATAGAAAAGGCTGCAACAGGAAAAGAAGATGTTAGCTTTTATGCTCACGCGACTGGTACGAGGGGAGCTCATAGTAAGAGCACAAGAAGAAGGTCGAATTGCTTACCCTTGTCGACATAGTCGTCCTTCTGGCCGCCTTGCTGGGGAGCGGCAGGGGCAGTTCCGTGGGTGCTCTGGTTGCCCTGGATGCCCGCCTCCTGGTTCTCGCCGGACTTGCCCATGGCCTTTTTGACGAAATCCATTGTGGTTGATTTTTATTTTTTCAAAAGATGCTGTGTGAGAATCGAGATATTGGCGTCGATTGTTTGTCTAATCTGAAATTGAGGAGCTAGATGAAGAGGAAGGATCTCGAGGTTCCCTTATATATCCCTTATTTCCCCTCCATCATCGGTGGCGTTAACCAGATAGCTTCATGCGGGATTCAATTGACGTCGTTGGCTGCCGCCAAAGGCTTGCAAGCCTGCAAGCTGGACTTGAGCTCATACCTAGCTGACGAAAGGCATTGATAACAATGGAAAAGCTAGCAGCTCCATCTCTTGTGCCTCATTCCATGCAAAAGCGGCATCAAATCAGAAGGGACGGCGCTGCCTTCCCGTACGTCATAGTTAATGCTCGAACAAGTTTACCCCATGTTTGACCCAGCCTGTGATACGAGTACGTCAAAGACACAATTCCAAAAATATCTTGGAAAGCACACAGTTTTGTTCGACTAGAACGGAAGCTTATTGGGAAAATCGGGGCTCCGGGAAATAGAAGGGAGATCGTTGCCGTTGGTGGTTTGCGGTTGTGATGCCGATCTTGCATCATAGCCTTGGCTTCGATCTCGATAATGGCTCTCCTGGCCAAGTTTCGACAGTTGTTGGGCTTGTGCGTATCCCCGAGAGGCATAATGAAGCTGATGTAATGATGGATGAAAGGAAAACAGACATTAATTGACATGAAAAGATGATGATCTTACCTACCTTATAGATATGTAGACAGACATACGATGCTATATCGTAGGTTGGCCACTTTGTGAAGCTCGTTGCATTCGTAGACCACACTGTGGGCGGCACATTACCTATTACTCTAATATCGACCCAGATTAGACCTATAGAAAAGACACATTGCCTCCCTCCCGTCCATTGCAATAGTTCTACCGCCAATATCATGTTGCCCAAACACAGACCAAATCCTCCAGCCAAGCAAAACAGAAACCAACGCCCCGCTCATAATGCATGTAAAACGTTACAATATCATCCAGTTGCCTGCAAAACCCTAGGACAGCGTTGCAACATGGCGTCAGCATGAAGACAAGCGCTATGCATTGCCTTCGTTTCCTCTCGTCAACACCAAATGATCGTCCTGCCATGGAGGTTGAAGCATAGACAGCTTGGCTTCAGTATGGGCAACCACGTTGCTCCAGCAGCCCAAAGCTTGCATCACTCGGCATTCATGTGATTCGCAGAAAGGAATGGGGACATCACATCATAACCCTCTCTTCGTCGCCTTTGTTCATCGTCCCTTTGCTCAATGGGCATTGATTGTCATGACCTGGCAAAAACCTGGTACGCCATAATCATGACCCAGAACAAAAAGATGGCGCCCGTCAGGGCCATGGCAAAGACCAGGTCCCAGCACTGGCAGATCATCTTCTGCTGCAGCCACGCCAGCGTCTCCTGGTTGCGGCCCCTGGGGTTCTGGTTGAAGATGTTGCGGTCGCAGGTGTCCTGGATCGAGCCGTTGGGCCCCCAGAGCTCGAGCGAGACGACGACGAGGCCCACGAGCCACATGACGAAGAGCATGAAGGCACCGATCATGACAATGGCCGGCAGCAGGCGGCGGCGGGCGATGAGCCAGAAGATGCCGAATATGAAGAGGATCGCGATGGCGCCGACGGTGATGTAGTATGGGAAATACCTGCAAAAGGGGGGGAGGCAAAAGCTGTCAGTTCATGTTTCAGAGCGGCTAGAGATTGGTTACAACATCACAAGGGCTCAATTGCTTACCAGGGAATGGGCAGCTCGAGCTGGTTCTGGATCTGGATAAAGCTTCCAAAAACACCAATGATGGTGCAGGCGCACAGCAGCATGACAAAGATCCAGAAGTTGAGCTGCAGAGGCGGCCAGTTGTAGGTGCGGATGTGCGTCGCCACGACCTTTCGCTCGTAGACGACCGAGGTGCCGCTCAGCATGGAGCGTGGGCCCGCCATCATGATTGAATGTTGGATGCTGATGCTCTTCTGACTCTTTCTCCCTCTCCTTCGTTCTCCCCCTTCGCCTCCTGCTTTGCTATTCGTGGGCCACTCGGAAGCTGACGCTCCCCAGACGCTGTCTACGCAAGTTCCCGGTATATCCAATCGGAATATGTAGTAATGTTTGTATATATATATATATATATATATATCGGTCGGTCTGTCGGTGGTCTGCGAGGCTTGTAAGGTAAGGGCGTGGTGGCCACCGAATTTGTCTCGGAATGCGATTCGAATGGTCAGTGGCTATTGCCTGTATGGATGATGTACGGTATATCGATTCGATGCTGGATAAAGTGTCGGTATATAACGGCCAGCTCGAGAGCGACAAAGACGGGCTTCCAGGGGTCACGCAGCTGACTGGATCTGTCGCCTCGTCGATTCCGATAGGTGACGATGCACGGCGGCGGAGCTACCGCTTTCTCCTCCTCGCCGCACTGCCTGTCGTTTGGATGATTCCAGCAGACCACCCGCGGTCTGGTCGACTGTCCCGTTCACCGGTCGTCTGATGTTCGTCTTGCCCTCTCCTCTCCGTAGTCGTTTCTCGTGCCCGTGCTCGTACCGGTACAAGAGAGGCAGCAAAGCAGCGCCGGAACAAGGCAGAATCGAGGCGATCACAAGCCCTACCCGCCGCCCTGTCAAATGCCGGGCTCGTCGGTGCTGGAGTACCCCCCCAGGCCGCAGGTCTAGAAGCCCTTGGCCTTCTTCTGCTGCAGCGTATCACTGGAAAGCGCCCAACCAGCTGCGGTGCATGAGCCCAAGCCCCCACTGGTGGGAGAAGCGTGTCGAGCACTGATTGATGAGCCTGGGTCGAGGAAAGTCGGTGCGAAGCAAGGCCTTTCAGGGCCCTCCCCTTGCATGTGCGTCAGCTGTCTGGAGGCGCGAACCAGGGGGGGGGGGGGGTTGTTGAGGAGGAGGACGAGGAGGACGAGGAGGAGGGGCGATGGTATTTCCTCTTTTCTCTCCCTCTCTCTCTCTCTCTTTCGTGTGTTTTCTTTGTACGTACAAGTAGGTAGGAATGGGTGCTTGTGAATTCTAAGGTTGGTATAAGGCTACCTGCACAGTACCGGTAACCGCCTGCTGCTTGTATTTCCAGCGAGAAACGGCTCAATACATATGCAACTGACGCGACAAGCTCATGTAGCTTCAAAGTGCGCGCGTCGCTCTAAACTGGAGCAGTTGATCGCTTGGAGGAAACAGACGCAGATGAAGAAGAGGGGCCATTGTTGGAGACTGCCGATAGAAGGCGGTATAGCTGCGCTTTTTCGAGGTGGCTGGCATCTTGCTGCTGTGGTTCGTGTTCCTCTTTTTTTTTTTTCTTTAGCAGTTTGAAAAATAGGATGGCTGGGGATGTGACAGTTGACAGCCTATTACTACCTATCCGTCACACAAAACAATCGTTACAGATGCCATTGGTTTCTGTCCGGCTTAGTTGAATAAGGAGCATCTTCTCTTGCTTTTCTGTGTGATTCTTTTGGCTCAATTGCCATTTCGATGCTGTCTTGCCTACGATGAAGCCACCTACTACCTAGGTGTGTACTCCGCAGAGACGTGAGGTTGACTCGAGCATCACCACCTTGACATGTCCAAGTAATAACCGCCACCATCCAAATATACATAAGCAACCCCCTCGTTGAGCCGCATAATCCCGTCACTCACCCTTTTCATCTCTCATCGTCTTTACCGCCTTGACCATACAGAATGTACCTATCTTATGTAGCATCACCGCCCTTATCACCCCATCCATCCACTCTTTTCGCTGTCAATGTATTACTCGTACTCTCACTTCCACGTCTTCTGCTGCTGCTTCAACCTGCCCCATATCTGTAGCGGAGAAGCGGGACCGTCGGAGCCATATGCAGACCTTCCGGGGGCTTTCGATTCCCGCCTCCGGGGCCTCCACCGCCTCTCAGTGCCGGTGAGTGGCCATTGGCGATGTTCTCACTGTATTACGTGAAACGGACCTTTGCGGATAGAGTTGCTCGTCGTGCAGGATGCATACATACTTGATGATACATGATCAGGCCATATATGTATATGACAGCTATAGCTACTCAGGTAGGAGCACGTACTGCATCTTGTGATCTCGGGCCGTGCCTCGGACTCATTCATACAGTTGCATACATCATCTAAGCTTCCAGTCTTGTTCCATGCATATCCAACAGCTCACCAGCTCATCATCTCCTCCCTAGGGCATCTTCTCCGCCACCATCCTACTCCCTGTCATCCTCGTGAAACACCAACGCTCGAACCTCAATGCTCTCCCTCGTCGGCGCATCCGCAGGCGAACTCGCGTCCGAAAACGCAGTATGCGGCACCCTCCTTGCTCTCCCATCCGTCTTGCTATCGAAGCACTTGATCAAAATCACCTCCTCCGGCGTCAAGCCAGACTTGTAGAACCACCTGTGGTTCTTGTTGTACCTCACGCTGAGCGTCTCTCCATTGCGCGTAGGGTAGATCAAGCCCACGGGCACGAGGTCTTCCTCGGCAACTGAGTCTGCCTCGGCAATGGCGAGGGGATCCCGCAGGATCTGCTTGATGGGACGCCAGACGTTGATGATCTCGACGCGGCCCTTGAGAAGTTCGTCAGCTTGCTCGGGGAGATGGTATGGCACGCGGGAGAGGGCCGCGGAGTAGGACTGGTCGATGTGCACGCGCTGGACTGGGCCGCGGCCGGTGTTGTCGTTGGCGTTTGTACGCCGGATAGTGTGGTCGAAGATGAAGATCTTGGATGCTCCGGTCCTAGACACGGATTGTCAGTATAAGTTGTCAAAGAAGAAGGCAGGGCGAGTGGGAGTATCGAGAGCCACTTACACGTCCTTGAGGAGCTGCTCCGTTTCCGGGTAATACACCGCCTTGATATGTTCATCGTCCAAAAAGTCCTTCTCGACCGAAGTATGGCGATGAATCTGGAAGCCGTTCTTGTCGAGCGTGTACTTGCTCTCTTCTCCCGCAACGTCCTTGATGGTCACCTGCTGCGCATCTACCGGCCGCTGCAGGAAGGTCTCGGGCCTTCCCACGTATGAAGGCTCTGGAGGAGAGCCATCTTCGTTGTCCTTGAAGTAATTGAGAACAGTCTCTACGTCGTGCTTGGGAACGCTCTTGTAGCCGGTTTGTTGGCCAAGCTGCGGCTGGAACTGGACGCCTTGGATGGAGCTGAAGTCAGAGCTGGGGATGGCACTCTGAACTGCTGCGGCTGCCATTGTGTCACTCTGTGAAGTTTATAAGTAACGGTTGATATCTAGTATTGTCTTTGGTTCACGATCTTGAAAAGAAGGGTATATGTGTATCATGCATGGGTCAGTATGGCACCAGGCAGTCTCCCGTCACTATATATATGTGTGTGTGTTGTTCGTCTTTTGCCTTTGCAAGAGATTCCCCGCGAGCACGCCATTTGCCGACCACCATTCACCAGGAGCGATTGCTAATCCACCGCACCGCTACCACTTACACCTCCAATCCAATAGAAGCGCAACGTCATTATCAGGAGTTGCCACGCCCCTTCCCCTCAGCTTGCTATTCCCGAGTAACTCGGATGATTTGAAATCCGTCTCTTTGAGATTCCGCGTTTGCTGCTGCTCGAAGGATCGATGCGGAGCGGAGTATGGCATCCGACATTATGAAAATGAATTCTTATGTGACAGCTCAGTTAGAGTTTGCGGAGTGACAGATGGACGGTCTGGAAATTACACGGCTCGGATATTGCGAGCTGACAGCTTGTAAGCCACAATCAACTCGCTTTATCATAGACCAGACGAGTTCATCAGGACAACTGACATGCGCCATTGAGTGCGGCTGCCCAAAGACTGAAACGAAGCCTTGGTAACTTGTGGTAGAGATTATATGTATAGATGCGGAAATATAAGGTAGTCGTTTGTAACATTCAACGCTATGCTGCAATAACAAACAGCTCTCGTCAAGATGAGGAGACAGCTTTCAGAGCCAAAAGAGCTCTGCTTATCAGGTAAAACTCAGAAATATGGAACCAATCGTCCTCTATAGCTGGAGATGAGAAGAGAATACAGAAGCCCTATCGTATGAAGATACGCTCAAGCCTGACTCAGTCATAAGTATGGACGACCCTCGTAATAGACGTCCCGTCGTCAAGCACTTCCGTCTTCTCTTCCAATGTGTAACCTCCCCATTTTGGCAGCACAACAGTCCAGACGTACCAATATAGTACGCCAGCCACAATCCTAAAGATAGCACACAAAGTTAGCCAATACTGCATGCAAATGGTCACTTGATGGAGAGAAATAACGTACGTTCCCATGCCCACCACCGCGTACGTGGCGTACCATAGCCCTCCGGAAGGCTTCTCTTTCGGTGGGAAGAAAGGGGCGGCAAGCAATGCGATACTGAGCAGAATTCTGAGTATGACAGCGGGCAGCCAGGCTTTATAAGGTCTTCGGATGTCTGGCCGCTTGAACCGTAGCCACACAAGGCCGACGCCCATGGCCAACGTAAAGACTTGGCCGGGATATCCCTCTACCTCGAGAATGAAGGAGTAAGACTCTGTCGTGGGCGGCAACACAATGACGAGAAACGAAGGTATGAAGTTGACGATGAGGCCTCCAAACGGCGAGTTGAAGGGCTTCGTCGAAGCGAGGATATCGGAAAACGGCAGAAAGCCTTGTCTGGCAATCTCCTGCTTCAGTCGTGCCTATCAGAACAATTTGTTAGTCTTCACATCGACTGGGGATGCATCTCTCTCCCTTGGTCTCTATGGAAAGTCCAGATGGTCATCTCACCATTGCAAATGCAACGACGAAAACGTTGCCCACTGCTGAAAGAGCCACGGCCAGCGGCAAGATCCTTCTGCCCACCTGCTCGCCAAACACGCGCTGGAAGAACAATGCCGCAATGAGCTCGCCGCTCCCCTTGATCTCGTCAATAGGGACGACAATAAAGTAGGCCACGTTAATGAGCGTGTACATGGCGCACGAAGTAATCAGGGCAGTTAGCGTCACAGACCGCAGAGTCCGCACGGGATCCTTGACCTCGTTGAGCACATTGCTCACGTTGTCCAGCCCTGCATATGCGTAAAAGACCTTGAACAGAGACGTCGATATGACGCCCCAGTTCCACACACTATCGTCCCATAGATGATCCCAGGACAGCGGGTTCTTTTGTTGCACAGAGGTATCCAGCGCTGGTTGAAAGACTACAACGTAGAGACCGGCAAAGATCATGAAGACGACGATGCCAACCTTGATCCAGCCAAGGAAGTCCTGTATCTTGACGCCTGCTTTGGGAGTCACTGCATGGATAGCTGTCACACCGACCAGGAGAGCCACCGCCAGTCCTTTCGCTGCGAAGGCGCTCGCGTCTTCCATGCCATATGCAAAGAGCACATAACGGCTGAAGATGACGCAGTTGCTGGCCGTGAAGCCGAGAAACACGGCGTTGATGGCAACCTGCGTCGTCGCAAAGAGTCGTGGATATCGATATGTGAACTCGAGATAGACCTTGACGCCTCCGGACCGCGGCAGCATGCAGCCGTACTCGAGAGACACGGCCAGTCCAGCGGCAGCAACAAGTGTGCCGACAATCCATAACAGCAGGGCCAGACCTGGACTGCCCACAGACTGAAGGATGGCTCCCGGCGTCGCGAAGATGCCGCTGCCGATGACTCGAGATATGACGAGGATGTATGCGCTCTGCCAGCTGAGTGTCCGGCCTAAGGTGGACGTCTCTGGCAGTACATCGTCCTCGACGGCCCGGGATGGGTGAACTTGGCCCGCGGCGTTTTCGGTCTCGCTCAGCGTCGCTATCGTGTCGTATTTGTTGTCGTCAGGCCCTACAAGCAAAGGCCCTGAAGAGTCTCGTAGCAGCGGCTGCTGCTCTCCATCGTCGGCACCAACACCATGGCCAGCCATGATGGACGCCTGTTAATGTTGTATCTTTCAGGGAAAGAGGTCGAGATAGTGAATCTCGAATATGTTCAGTAAATGGAGCTGGGGTATATATCACGAAAACAAAAGAGTAAACAAACTCTCTCCTCTCATAAGCTTCAAATCGGGCACAAAGACCGAGGCTTGCCACTACCCAACGGCCTGTTCGGGTCATCAACACGGCATTGCTACCCAGAGAGCCGTATCACATCACAACCTAGATAGCAGCAGTTATCAACAGGAGGGGGAGAGGGTTCAGGCGAGACAGACGCAAGCAAAGTAGCATCAGACAATAACATCAACGGCCTGCATATGACACACGGGCACACCAGGCACTTAGACGCACTGTCAAAACCGTCTTGAGTGCCTCGCCAGGGTCATTTCCGGAGATCCCATGCCCGTCAACGGCAGCATGACACGCACACAAGACGCGCCCTCGTCAGCGAAATCGTGGATTGCGCGATCCGCTGCGATTAATAAAGCTGCTGAGGCGGTCGGGATTCCATGGCGCGAGCATAACCGGCTCGCACGCCATCGCCCGCATTGCCGATGATAACGAAGGCCGGCATGTCATAGGCAGTGCTTATCATTCTGCCAACAATGGCGTATGGACAAAGGCATATTGGGCATGTGGGCGTAGGCTAGGAGTTGCTAGATCCATGAAAAGTTTATGATTACTGGATGAGAAACTGTCTTATATATTGGGTATGAATGAGCCACCCGGTCACTATATGTGCGACATCAAATAACAATGGGGCTTATAAGACAAAGCCTGGTTGCACTACATGTTGCTTGAACACACATCTTGCGCCATCCACGACTTCAATATGTAATTGCAATATATCTGAGAAATATCTATTCAACCATCAAGTCGCAGGTGACCTGCCGTGTATGCGTTTATTAGGCTAAACATTTTAACAATGTATTCCTCATACTCATGCAACACGACATGTCTCATGCCAGAACTCGACATGTTGATATAATCGAAGCAAAGGAATAACAGTATGCCTACAGCAGAATCCGTATGCTCAGGCGATCGATGCGATTGCCTCAAGCTCAACCTGAGTCGTTTGATATGATCTTTGATCGGCAATGACGGTCACTTCGGTCTTGGTGACATCTGCTGAAGCCAACCCACCCTAGACTCGAATAGAAGCTCTCTATAATGTCTATCATAGAATTGTAGACGGCCGAAGTCCATGACACATGTATAATAGCTTTCTCAGCATGTATCATCTAGCCTTTCACTGTTTTCTGACAAGGAATTCCTACCCTAGATAAAGAAGAGTGCTTCTTCACAGCCGGTGCAAAGCTCCCACCTCCTTGTTGATCTGAGTGGGCGGTGGGAGCGCAATATCTCTGCTATCCAGAGCTTATAGCTGAAAACGTAGCGAGAAGGGGAGTTCTGCGGCGTCCGTTCTTCTCAAGGCGTCGAGAAATCGTTCATCCCGGTAATATAGCCCTGCCAGCCTGACATCGTAGAGACGTATCGTACAAGGTCTGACACCAGAACAACAAATTCGATGACAGCTTCAAGACCGTCCAGATAGTGGCTGGTCTTATCTCCGGGTTTGTGCGACAAATCATTGTACTCCACAGAGAAGACTCTCTCTCCCTCGCTGGCATCCAAAGCCATCCAGTCCCAAGCTTGGGCCAGTCTTCCCAGAGCTATTCAGCATCGCTCAACTCAACAGACTGCTTGGAGATTTGACGGGGTGGTTAACAGACCGACTGAGAGCTCCGCGGCCTGGTTTGATCAACGCGTGGAGAGCGTAAACAACTCCATTGCCCAATTTCACTACTAGCAGCACGGGCGATCATGATATACGGGAAGTATTCGGTCAGAAAGAGTGACTTACGTTGACTATATACTTCAGTTTAGATTTGAGGTATTCACGTTTGCTTTTGCAGGTTCTTCTGCAACTTTTTCACTACCCAGCTTACAAGATATGTATACGTCTCTTTTGCTGCCAAGCGACACATGCAGTTGTTCGGACACTTCCAGACCACAAAGTCCGGTTCGTTTCCTGCCAAGTTACCGTTGGTACTTCTCCCATATTTTTCTAATGGTACATACAAAGACCTTGCTGAATACGTTAAGAAAAGACGTCGTGAAACTCCCACTGGTTTTGGACTATGGTGTAGTAGAGAAGATTGTAGGCATAATGCATCACCAAATCAAAGCCCGACTCAATTGCGGAGATTAATGAGGAGAAGCATATTGAGTTTATTTATAGGTCTTTATTGCAGCGATCCGTCTCCTTGGGCATAGTTCTGGATGTATAGCTGGTATGTCAGGCTGTTCCTCCCTTTGATACATGATACTCTGTTGTGGCTTACTTTTCTGGTGGCTTCCAAAGGCCAGGTTCTTCCTACAAATCATTCCTTATGACAATATCTAGCTTTGACACAGTAATAGTTCATTACAGACTCTACGGATAACCTCGCCGTCGTCCGTTACTGTGATCTAATTTCCCGGACCCGATGTGCTCCGGAAGTCCGGAGTTTTGGGCCGCTAGGAACATATCGCAGGAAGAACAACATCCTGGCTGATAGCTCCAAGATTTGTGCGGCGAATTGGACAGCCGATGAAGATTTCTTGGAACTTACATGGGTAGTGGATACTTTGTCGGAAACTTCTCAACGAAGTAAAGTGGAAGGTTACTTTCCACGGCGCTCGAGTTCTTCAAGTGTAGCCTGGGAGTGTCGCTCTCCAAGCGTACTGCTTTGCTTATGTGAACTCTCCGTCCCAGATTGCAGCACCCCAACAACTCTACTAATTATTATGGAAAAAAAAAACCTTTGTACGTTACTGGGCTGCACGCACTTGTAGTTGGTGAGGCAGGAAAATGCTGAAATGGGGTTCGCTCCGGTAGATTTTCAGAGCCATGTCGGCTTGCCGCCTCCACATGTCGCCGAGATAGTATCGTCTGAAGGACTGCAATGCCAAATGGAGAGATAACACATCGCTGGAGATTATGTTCAAACTTGACACTTCCAATAGTCTTCGTAGCCCGTGGGCATTTGGCGAACGTCGTAGGTTCATATGCTACACAAGGTATCGTGTGTCGAGTAAAACACGTTTAACTACACACAATTACCTTCGTTCTCAGTTCACTGTCTCTGCTTCTTCTACTATAGACAGCAGCAATCCATAGGATGTTGCTCTTATAAAGGTTCCTGGGCAAGTGAATTGAAGAATATGGCATTATACCCAACGCTCACTGAAGGCCATCACGTCGTAAACCTCTTCAATATACAATGTATAACGTCGCCTACTTTACGTGAAGTACACAGGCCTCTTCAAGACATTGAAGCTTTCTACCTGAATGAGTATCACATGTGGTGCTCTTTCAATGTCTGCATTTCGGATTCAGCCTCCTCGCTGGTATCATCCAAATATGTTACCATCTCAACAAACAGCTGTATCCACATGTCAGATCAGGTTGCTTCGATTGGTAAGATGCCCTTAATACACGCTCAATCACAACCAATTCATGATGCGACGATATCCGCATTGAAGGAACCTTGAACTGCAGTGATAAAGAACAAGAATTCCCCTTCCAGGCCTTCCAGGGTAGCTCGTGGCACCTTCGCCCCGATCCGCAGACCGCCGATCTCCCGAGCGATCGGACAACAGTGAGATCGGGGCCGAAAACGAAGGACGAGGCCCTTGTTGGGCCGACAAGATCCATCTTGATGCTGGAATCCACAACCGCCCAGCTAGTTGGTGACCGGGATAACAAACAAGTGAGGCTTCCTCATGGAGCTTGTAGAACCACACCCTCTCCATCGAGACTGTTCCTGTTCCTTGATTCTCGATGGGTTCCCGGTCCAGGTGACCCAGTTTCTCTCAGCTCCTGTTCAGGGCTAACGCTTTGACGTCAAGCTTGAGCCTATCATTCATGTCTGAAATCAAGGAATAGGAAAACCGAAAAGTCTAGAATGCCCTTCTCCCTTGCATTGGCACTCGCAGTTAACTTCCCTCCACGCCCCCCATTAACGACCTTGTGAAAAGTTACCTTATACCTAGCAATTTATAGCTTGGATGACCATTATCTGTATTAAAGAAATGTGGCTTGAATCTGAAACTGGTCGGGTCAGTCCGTGTCCACCAATGGGTAAACTGTTGACGACTTCTCTTCGAGTTCACTTATAGCGGTGAACTCTCATCATCCTTGATCCTTGAAACTCGCATACACCTGCCTTTCTGGACCATGATCTCGACCAACATTGATGGAATGGATGAATTGGAGCCACGTAGGAGGCTGAGATAGTAGCTCAGCTCTTGAATGCAATGCCCATGTTGCCGCATGGCAACTCCACGCGTTTTCTTGTCTCTTCTCGCCGCCGATTCCTCCTGGTATTATGAACATTGGCTCGTGGAAAGAGAGGCAATGGTTTCTGTGTCCCAGATAGCTAGTCGGACTTTTGTAAAGTACAACATAGGCACATAACAAAGCATATGGCTCAATAGATCCTGATGATGTATCTCTTCTCGTGAAGACACAAGATATAGATTGAAGTGAACGTATTCACGCTCTCCAACGACACACCCGTCCGCGAACCGGCCCTCCAGATTACCACCATCCGTCCCAACAAGTAGGGGCGTATGCATAAACCCTAGCCTTGTCTCCTCGGTGGACCATGGGACCTATTGCTCCGGCATGAAGCCACTCCGGGCTCCCTATCCTCACGCTCGGTACCGCCATCACGCCAGTCTGACTGCGAGGCTGCACCCGAGATTATGCGGCTGCAGCGGATGAAAGGATTGGGGATAGGCCCGGCCGTTATGCAGTATAATGCCCCGAATGACGTCCTGTTCAGCTGGCCTGGACAACCTGGACCCCACGATATGTGATGTATCACTTCGTTTCGCTCGAGCTTCGTGCCGACTGCATGTTCTGACGTTGCGTTCCGGTGGGTGATTGGAGGAGCAGGGGCATGGGTTCTCATGTGAGTATGGAAGGGCCAGACCACTCAACGCTACATGTGATCTCCCAAGAGCGGCATATAGCTTGCAAGCATGGCAAGCCACCATCTGTAGGAGTGTTGGTTGCAGCAATAGTCTCAAAGCCGTGAGATGACGGGATGGGTTGGGGTGAGATTATGAACGGGAAAAGAGGCAGTATTGCTGAACCTATACTGAGGACTACACAGCTACGAGCTATGCCGTAAAGCAAGTGCTTGCATACATATATCGTCATGTTAAGAGAACTGATCACATATGGATGTATAGAGATGACACCACAGCCTGGCCAGTCACAATCTTACCCATGACCATCCCAGTTACCCTTCGGTAGTATTGTAAAGTATATCAACTACTGCAAATAGTCTAAGCATGACCAAGCTCCAATTGATTCCTCGCTCGCTTGGCTATTCGATATGTCCAGCTTGGGGGCTTTCTCTGGCTTGGCAGACTCGTTGAATCTTGTTCTCTCGCCTATTCTCTCAGCTCGTCCTTGTGTTTCACCACATCCTCTCTGTTCCCGCGGATGCACGGCTATGCTATGCACACGCATCCGAGAGCCACATAAGACGCGCATTGCCCTTTATGTCCGTAGGTAGTTCGTATACACTTATAATCCCCTCGTCACAGTACATCCTGAGCAAGGGGGTTACATCTTTCCTCCCCTTTGCAGTCGCTGCCTTTCTTCCCCCCCCCGCGCTCGTTGCCACCCCAGAACACCGTACAGTACAGTAGTCATACAAGGCTCGTCTGTACCGTTCGTCCCCCAGTCTCCCCTCCCATGCAATTTACTTGAAGTAGATTGCCCCAATGCACCGGGGGGAGGCATTCTGTCACAAAGAATAACAGCTACGTCAGTAACGTCTTTTACCGAAATGACCAATGACACTACCCATAGCATCGGAGCTGTCTCCGTTGGTCATATCTGTTCAGGGTTCTCTGGGATGTCAACATCCATGTACGTCACCTTTATCGAGGCTGAGGTGTTGGGATGCTGCCCAGGATAGCCTTGTCTTTTACGCGCACACACAACTCCCAACAAGGGAGTGCTCGGGTAAGCAAGCACTTTGTCTCGTACAGTCCTGCGTGACGTTGATCATCTCGTCTTGTTGGATGGAAAACCGGTCACCTGGGAGAGCAAGACCCTTCAAAACCCACTTGATCACCGTCAACTTAACACCCTCCACAACGAGCCTCACAACCGGCTTATATCGTACAGCCCATGCAGCACGCATCCACGCCCTGTCAGCCTTGTCGTCCTTGGGCAGCGTCAGGCACCAGCTCAGAGCCTCGATCATTCCAAACAAAGCAAAAAATAGCCCCCAAAAATGAAGGGGGTAAAACCAAACTTGACTCTGGACAGGCAATATCTGCGCATGGGCGTCGGAATTCCATGTCTTAGAGACACACAAGGAAAAAGCAAAAACCACCTGAACGGGACTACACAGGGCCCCTGCTCCCACCGCAAGACGCTATGCAGACTGTGGCATGCTATTCGTGATATACCTAGGTAGGCACAGGTTAGCGGTCGATATGGTTACATTCTACCTCCTTCAGCTTTTGCCGGCAACCTCCCATTTCCTCATTGGGAATCACTCACTCCCCTCAACGCAGAGAAACACCCTCCCCTACTTACAGCGAATACAACCAGCAGTATCAACGGGTCCATACTTGTCTCACATTTTCATAAAGTTAGCAGCATCTAAGCCTAGGGTCTCTTCCCACCAACATGAACTCCTTTGACCAAGACACGCCCGCGCTCCCATGAATGCAAGGGAAGTCCTGGCAATGGGCCATCATTATGCGGTTGGCTGCAAGTCTGCCTTCACCTTACTCCGTCTGTCGAGCTTCTAGCCAATCTTGGCTCGCGATCAGCACCGTAATTGGACTCCGCGGTGGCCAGGTCTCACTGCCCACCCCAGTCAAAGGGGGGGTGTTGATAACGGGGATAGCTATACCGAAAGGAGACTACCTTGACTGCCTCCAGATTTGGGAGGGGGAAATATCAGGAAGACAATGGACGCCTTTTCTCCCAGAGGTTGCATTTGAGCGCGCCTTCAAGCGGCCGTCAAGGCAGTCCACCTCTCCTTTTCGTTTGCTTTTGAATAACGACACACCTGCTCGGAGAAAACAGCCTTGGCAGAATCCGTATGATGGGTGTCACAAGAAGGGAAGAGGATAAGGGACCAGAAAAGAGGCCATTGGTACTGATGATGGCGAGGCTCGTTAGGCGATGGACGTACGAGGAGAGGTAAGCACCCATCCATGCACCAATTGCGGTTGCATTGCAAAAAGATATCCGTTCCTTGATCTGTGACAACCCTGTGTTTTCCCGCCATCGTTGGCTTTCTCTTGGTGCGGCTGAATGTCTTTCTCTCATGCGGCTTGTATCACTGTGCATCACCAGGTTTCCCTGGCGCTGTAAGTGCTGCTGCTCGCTGTGTCTAACCCGTTCCCGAACCTTCTCAGACACGAGTATCCGCTGTCTGTGCAGAGAATTGTTGAAACGACCATCACGAGATGGGCGGCGGTGATAAAAGATATATGTTCAAGGGAGTTCACTAGAGTTGAAGAGGAATAAGAAACGCTGAAGCGTTGGGGGGATGATCATCCATGTCAGTTTCAGATTCAAAATGGCAATTGTCGCAAGTAGGCAGAAGCTCTTCTTTTCAAAAAAAGAGAGACAAGATGAGGAGAAATACCAATAACATAACCAGAAACAACAATATGAATGAATACAATGCCCGTATAAACCCTCACCCAAACCCTGCGCTAAACATACCATACCAATTCTTCAGCATCTCGCCCATTTTTTTTTCTTGGTTCTGTCGGCAGGCTGCATCTACCCCCCTGCCGTTCATCCCCTGCCGTTTCCAACATGAATATGATCCGGACTGCATACGAAGTGCCAAGTAAAAGTACTGCCCTCGTACGTTGCTTGCCTTGTGCTGCCTTATTAGACAGCTCCCACCTATGAAAGCCATTGCTGTAAATCCCCGACAATCTGATAGGTTGGGTTGGCGGAGTGGCCATCACCGCCATTCTTATCCCACGCCCATCGGTCTGCATAGTCTGCACCAAGCAGGCCGTGGAGCATGTCAACAATGTAGTCGCCAATCACCGGCAGAAACTTCCAGCCGTGAAACGAGCCACCCGTGGCCACGTACAGACCTTGAGAGCGAGGATGCGGCGTAATGAGGAAGTCATGGGTCGGTGTAGAGGCGTCCCTGGAAAGTTCATGTAAGTGCACATCCTCTTGAGAGTGAGGAATATGTTAAGGGCTTACCAGCAGATTCGATATGACTCAATAGGGATGTTTTCAACCTCCTTGCCATGCAGGCCATTGAGCGTCTTCCTTGCACACTGCTTGAAGAAGGGAACAAATTCTGGGCCCGTCCAGGTGTTGTGATCTGAGGCCTCGGGCGTCATGGACATCTTCTCACCAGTGACGGGATTATCGACATAGTTGGTGAAGCACATGTCGCAGTTGAACTTGATGGTCCCGTCTTTGAGGATCGACATGCCCTCGCCTGCAGTTTCGTAGCGTCGTCAGCGTCTGCTTTCTGCTATCGTACGAGTACTCATAGCTGAAGGAAGGGGATCCCAGATATTCCATCCTGGGAAGTGGGGAGGGGTGTAAGGTCAGCAGGGGGGGGGGAGGGGGGGGGGGGGGGAGGGCAGAACAGGCCGTCGGGACATCAGACGCTATCCGATACTACAACGTACCTTTGACCTCGGGGAGGCAATTCTTGAGCACGGGAATGCAGGCAAACCTGTCCTTCTGCTCGCCGTGCAGCTTGGAGTAGAAGCTAATGGCGCCCGTGGCCACGAGACGGTCACCGATGTGGAGCTCCTTGTTCCGGGGGGCACTCTGGGCCAGGAGAGAGGCAGTCCTAGCGCCGGTGCAGAGCAGGATCTTGTCGGCTCGCAGGGTCTCGCCGTTGGTGAGCTTGACGCCCACGCACCGGCCGTCAGCGCCGAGATCGAGCGACTTGACCTCGCCAACCACGTACTCAGCGCCCAGGTCGACGGCGGCTTGCATGACGGCCTGCAACGCCTTGTCTGCCTCTGCATACCCCACAGTGGGGTTGTACAGGATCTTCTCCAAGCTGCCAAAGTTGGCCGTGGCATAGACCCCGTTCCAGCGTTTCCGCACCTCGTCCACGGGGAGGAACTGTGTCTCGTTGGCAACACCAACGGCCCTGTACGAGGCGATGCTCTTCTCGCCAAAGTCCGAGGCGTCGGCCCTGAGCATGCCCACTTCGTGGTACCAGGGGCTGTACAGCTTGTCGGCACGCCACATGGGCATGGCCTTGATGAGCATCCGCATGTAGAGCTTGTCTGGGTAGTCGTCTCGAACGATCTTGTTGATGTCGTGGGAGGCGGCCCTGGGGTTGGGGAAGGGGGCCGTGTCAATGATGGTGACCTTGAACCCTCCCCTTCTGGCCAGACTCAAAGCCGTTGCGGCGCCGAAGTTACCAGCACCGACAATCAGAACTGACGGCATGTCACTCTGGATGGAAGAAGTCGAAGAAACGGGCGACGCTGGCTCGGTGTCTGGTGCCTGTCCTGGTGATGGGGGAGATGACATTGGTCTCGAAACTGGGGACATTGGGTCTGTGACAATGTGCATGTTGGATAGCAAATAGTTCCTGTATCGTGTCTTATGTGCCTACACCAACAAGCAAAGAAGTCTTGTGGTTGATAGGCCAGCAGAAGGAAGGGAGAAAGGGACGAAGGGAAGAAGTGTGTATCTTCGCTTCTGCTTGTATGTTTCGTCGCAAGGAGAAGTCCGGAAGAGCACCCAGATATAGAATCGATTATATGAGATATGAGACGTTCAAAGATGATCTTGGGTTGCTGATGTATCAAGACTCCGGCAAGAGGGGGGATGGGCTGAACTTTATACTCAAGAGTCTCTCAACAGGTTGGCTAGTGAAGAAGCTTGATGTAAGTGCACGCCCTCGGAACGACGTCAGTACGCATGACGCGGGAGAAAAAAGAAAGGAAGCAGGAAAAGTAAAAAAAGAAAATAATGGATAATAATGATAATAATAATAATAATAATAATAATGGTAATAATATGCGCTCCAAAGTACCTAGGTAGTAAAAAAAAGAAAAGGGGGCGCTCAACACGGGAATCCTCTAGCAGCTCGTGGGCAGAACAAGCATGTAATTCCATGCGCACACATGCCGACAAGACCCTGGCCGGTCAAGTACATACATGAGAGATCCATGCCCGTCACATCACGTCCTGAAGTCAGCTGGCCAGAGCCCAACGAAATCGGGGACTCTGAGAGGTCGATTGACGTGTCAAGCCAAGGAATCCTAGATTGGGAAGAAAAGAGAAAAAGGTCGTCTGTATGCTGTGGCTCTCACGCTGGCTGCCTTCCCACCCCCTCCTATTGCTGGAGTTGCTGTAGGGAGACGGGCCGCTGCGATACGGTGCAAAGAGACACGACAAGGGGGGGAACAAACCAGGTCGGGGAGACATCCAAAGAGATACAGCATATGTGAAAAGGGAAGAGACAGATGTCGTACGACAAAACGTACGAGGCCGCACAGAACGGGGGCGGTTGTGCGAGCCCATGCCATGGCAATGCGTGGGAAACGCCGTCTCTGTATCCCCAAGCCCAAGCCTGCTGGACGATGGAGATGGCTCCGTGCTAGCGACTGGTGCTGTGGCTCTTCAGCAGATCGAGAAAACAGAATCAGGGGACAAGGGACCCAAGCACAAGCACAAGCACAAGCACAAGCACGAGCACAAGTACAAGGACAAGGGCAAGGCAATGGACTGAACAAGGGCCGCTCCGGCTGGCGGATGCGGGAACCCCAGCTGCATCGGCGGCGGCACTGAGAGACGAGAAAAGAGGACCAGAGGCGTCGCGATGATGCTAAGGCTGTCAGTTGGGGGGCCCCTCTGGGAGGGGGGTGCGGTTAGGCCCTGTGTAACGCGATCCGCGCGGACGTGCAGAGAGAGATGAGCCTCACGGAGAAAAGACGAGCATTGACCGTGGCGTCGTGGAAACGAGAGCGGGATTTCGAGTGATATGAATGGAGGTGGAAGAGAGAAGACAATCAAAGGGAGGAGAGGAGAGGAAACAATAAGGTAGGTAGGAAGGTAGGAAGGAGGGAAGGGTTCATCCTTCAACACCAGCATTGCCCAAGGAGGTACCTGGCACTTGATGCCGGTGGACAATGTTGTGTACCCAAGGTACCTAATGGAGCTGCTGGTGCTACTACCCTAGGTAAGGTAGTCTGGTAGCCTACCAAGTACCAGGTCAGCACACTACTCGGTACCAGGTTGGTAGATGATTATTTCCGCCTTGGGTGTAAGTGCGCAGCTATACTACACTTCGGCAAAGGACGCAAAGCTACCTATCCTCGAAGAGTCTCGTCATGTGAGGTCGATCAGCAAATGAGGGCTGGTCGATGCGTCTATCCGATTCTTTGCTGGAGGCTCGGGACTGTGAGGCATTCGAAGATCTCACGGGTCTCGAGGCCTCTGCTGTACTAGGTAGGCCGGCACCCGGTGGAAGTTGCAGGAAATAGTACCTGAAGAGTATGTACACACACGCCAACGGCAATGCCTCTGTAAGGCACCAGACCATTCGATGACAGCGGCCAAGGCGCTCTGCTGATAGGCCCTGGAGCCGGATTCCTCTACTGCACATGCATCCGGTGCCTTTTTTCTATGAGGTCCATGGTACCAGACAGCACGTGTCAGGTATGTAGGTATGTAGGTATGTGCCTAAGGTACCTTGCCTTATATCTTGCCGTAACAACTGATATCCACGGAGGAATCAAAGGCTCTCTGCATGCATTTGATATCGACGTCTCTCCCGCTCCGGCTACGCAGCAAACAGGCCCATGCTCTGCTCATCGTCTGTCTGATCCATGACGCATCTCGTTCCCAATTGGCACCATTCTGATTTCCGCTTCTTCTTTTCTTCCCTCGCGAGCCTCAAGAAGCACGCCTTTTCCATGACTGCTGACTGATGTGTTGAGGTCCCTTATCGATTGTCGCCTGTCGCGGCTGCGCTGGTTGATCCCTCAGGCATCCAGTCGCACTACCCCCAATTCCACATTTGTTAGCTCAGAGCATCACCGCCCTGGCGTCACCTCAGACAACAACAAACTCCAAGCTCACCTCACGGCTCCATGTTTTCTCTCTTCTCTCCGCCGCCTTTCGACTCGCCCCCTCCGCTCTTTTCTCCACGCCCTCTCTCTCTGCTCCCTCTCTTCTCGCTCCCTGTTCTCTCTTTTGCCAGGCCCAAACGATCGCCCTAATGCTAGCCGCAGAGCATCGGACCCGTCCTTGGTGCCAGCTTGCCAGCCAGCATCCCCTCTCTTCCAGGGGTCTGTCGCTATCCGCTCGCTCTTGTTTGCCTTGAAGCTCCACCTGTGGCATGCATATTCGTACCGCCACCGCGCTGCGGGTACGGCTGATTAGTGTAGCAGGCCGGCAGGGCATGGCTTGCCCCAGGTGCGTGTGTGCCTGCAACTGCATGTGTGGGATGGTCCGCCATGGCATGGCATGTCATGGACATGGCTTGGCTTGGCCTGGTCTGGCAGTCGGCTGGCATTTCATCAACCAACAGGTACGTGCTGGCTGCAGCTGCAGGTCGAGGGCGGAGGTGTTTCTCGTACTGTATGTGCGACGTGTGCTGTCTTCTGCGTGGCCGACAAGACGTGGGACCATGATGTGGCTCTCCAAAGCCGTTGCCCCTCCCTCCACCATCAGCAACAAGCAGCAGGGGAAGATTAGCACGGCCATGCATCCAGTCCTCGAGTTGTCGCAGAGCTCATGTTGGCTGCCGTGCCTGAGACGCAGCCGACCATGGCGAAGCCCGCCAAAGAGCGCCACTCGCTAGTCTTGAGCTGCTGGTCCCTTAGCTCCCTCTGTCGCCTGTCAATGCAGAAACGGCCGTCGTCGGCTTGGACTGACTGCATCCAACCAACAAGCTCGTGGCTGACTGGCCGGCTATGGTATGCAGGCTGCTGTGCTGTGCTCAAAATGCCCTTGAAAGTCGTACAAGGCAATGGTTGAGAGGTGGTTTCTGACCAAGTGACGATAGCAACGAGCCATCACGACGCCGGTGCGATTTCATTCCTCTCGGCCTCGCTCTCGGCATCCCAAGGGTCGTCGCCGGCGCTCTAGTCCCGCACCGTTGAGGAACCACGTGCCACGACCCTCTCACGAAGTTGACAATTGCACTCGTCTGGTGACAAGTACTGTGCTGTACTCGTACGCGCGCAACCTGCTGGTGAGCACGCTTCGAGATGGCGGTGTGCTTAGGTTTCGACACCCGTCATAGAGAAGCCATGGAGGTGTGGTAATATCGAGGCGACAACTTCGTCCGGGGGGTTCTTCGACCGAGACAAGTGGATTCGCTGCAGAACCCGCAGCGAAGAGTCGCGCCCTACACCTGAGGTCATCCCGATTCGAGTAGAGTGCCACGATAGTGACGAGAGGCATCCAGACTCTCGACAATTCGCTCTGCTCGACTTCGGCTGGTGCTTCTTTGGTTCTTAGTGTCGGCCATTCGATCTCAACCTGCATCATGACGCCATGTTTCCTCGTCAAAAAGTCAAAAAGTCCCGACACTCTGGATGTGGCATGTCGCCTACAGGTTGTTGATGCTGACCCCGTGCGTTCGGCTGGCGAGCCTCGTCGCCAGTGTCTGGCTGCCTGTGCAGGCTTACCCATTGTCAAATCGCCATACACTGGTCTCCCGGCTTCGGAGTCTCGGCGTCATCTCGTGGAGCAAGAGGCTCTTTCCACGGCTCCCTCCGACCGTTTGCCATTGCCTGTTGGCTTTCTCCCTGTGATTCTTCCACTCTTCCCGGCCTTCTTGGGGCTGAACCCCTCCATCCGGTCTATTTCACGTGGTCGTCTGTTCAATAGGCGTCGACCGATGCTCCGTGGTGGCATGCTGTGCTGCTGTACTATTTTCGATCGATCATTAGCTGTTTAATTGCAACAAATAAGCGGCTTCTTGAACAGTCGAGACTCTGGGGCAATGAGGGAACGCCACTACAGTATGTAGCTGGAGTCGGAAACCAACACATCCTCCGATGCATTATCTAATCCTGACCAGCCGCCTTTTTCATCACTCACAAACTCATACTCACACGCGTGGTCTATTGGTCTCTTTTCTCGATGCCACTGGACGGGATTGGCGGCCAATGTCCTGGTCTCACCACCTTCGCCTCCAATACGCTGCGTCGGGTTAAGCAGGGCAACAATGAGGTTCTCGATCAACTCGCTCGTTTTCAATTTTGGCTTATTCCTTCCGGTCCAAGCCAGTCAGGAGGTCCGCTTCTCTTTCACTTGCTTCGAACGATAGGAGCACAGGAGACTCGAAGGTGGTCGCGATCTGCTTTCAGATTGTGACCACTCGGTTTGGCAGCTGAAGCTCGGAGGGAATGCAGAGGATCGCTAGTCATGATGATTCTGATTTCGCCAGGGAACACTCCGTACTACCTACTAGTATCAGACTTGCAAACCCGGAGCTGGTCATGGGGCGCCTGCTCTACTAGGGAACCCTCAGCTCCTCAGGAAAGCCCATGTCTCGTGAATCACATTCTGAGGTGGAGGACTTGAGTGGGCCAAGTCCGAGAGTTCGGCCATGCTCCCCCCACGCCATCTGCCGCTTGTTATCGACTCCGACGGGCATTGAGGTCCTGGGCAAAGCGCATTCGGCCTGTGATGGAGTAACGAGAGGCTCGAGTTCTCGTCTTCGTACCTGTACATCACGCTCGCGCTTGCACATTCGCACAAGATCCACACAGCTCGCAGGGCCTGCTGTCATTGCGCATGCACCATTTGCGTCTGGTGGCCGATACTGCTGCTCCCATTTGCTGGATAGGGCTGGCGTCATTCACCGGTCAGCGTCTTTTAGATTGACCGGTCAAGGGAAAGATCCGTTGCCAAACCCAAGGATTCATGCAGAGCGCAACGTGCAGCACCGCGTGACCTTGCTCACATTTTCGCAACCGCCGAACTAGATTACGAGGCGCTGGTTTCGACACACAAGTGGGCGCCTGCGGTGACATTGAACATTGGTCGCACCCTTGGCCACAAGTATGTACAAGACGAAGAGGGGGAATCAGCGCCGCGGGAGTCGTCCTTTCGGCGCTTTGCCTCCGCAAGGACCTTGACGAGACAAGCGGATTTGGGAAGTCAACCGAAGCCTCCATGTCAGGGTTGGGCACGGGTTGGGATGCGGGTTGGGATACGATTGCATACAGCCTGCCGTCCGGCACTCTATCCATTACACGTTGTTTCCTTTTTCCCCCCTCTTCTGAAGATGTTCTCTCCGTATGAGGCTTAGGGCAGAGGAGAAGCCTGCTCGAGATGTGCAGGCAGACAAGCTGCCCTCACTTGGAAGCCATCATTGAGAAGCGAGGCGGGCAAGCTGACATCAGTCCATCGGGCACCATGGAGGTTGAAGCCCAACGAACGAGTAATTATCCCGCCAAGCAACGCTGGAATCAGTTGAAACACCCTGGCCAGCGCAACCACACCTTGGACGGCCAACGCCCCCAATGGCCGAGCAGGGTCACAGTTCGGGTCCGACCGACGCGAAATCTGCCTCAACTGCATTTCCAGGTCCAAGGCCGAAAGAGAGCGAGGGCAAGGATATCATTCCGGATCCTCTAGGGATCAAGTCAACCTTTTCCTTCGGAACGATGACCCACTGTCAGCAGTCATGGCAGATCCCAGAGTTCAGCTCTCTGGGATGTTGGAAACACTGGCATGGGTATGTGCCGCCCCTCGAATTAAATCAACCGCCCGCTATCTTGCCCTTTGTTTGCTTTTTCCTATGCCCGTGTGTGATTTCATTAGTCCCAATAGTTCCATCTGCTTGTCCGACACCGTATACATCGTCATCATGTCCTCGTATATTCCAGCCACTCAGAGCGAGCTTCGTTTCCCGTCGCTTGATATCAACAGAGCAAAGTCAAGAGCGCTACCCACAAGTTGAAATGTATAAAAAGCAAAAAAAGAAAGCTAACCCTGCCTGCTCTCTCAGGCCAAACCAAGGGAACCAACCACCAGGTTCTGGTAGCGCAAAAGACAAAGTTAGTGTGTATGGGGGGGGGGGGGGAAGCAGGATGGGTACCGTGACATCGGGTGCCAGGAGACGGACAGTGATGGACCGATCCACCCAGTGGGATGGCGTCGAGACTAGACAAGGCGCGGACTCGGGGACAGCCGCTGGCGTGGAGACGGCATCTTGGCCAGCCTCACCGACTCGTTTGCGACTCCGCTTGGGCTAGCGGATTGCTCGTTTGGCGCCTGTCGCTGCTCTTCCTCTTCCTGTCGGGCATGATCCTCTGGGAGGCGTCGCGTTTGTTGCTGTTGTTGGGACGCACTTTGAGACCGATCGACCGGATTGACCTCGTTCCGAAGCCCAAGTGAAGACCGGCAGCGAATCGTCTTGCCCATCACATGTGAACCGTTCCGCTGGCAGATCCCTGCACATTCATTTCCCCCCTCTTCCCTCCTTCCTTCGCCCGATGTTTCCTTACCACCCGATGCCCTCCATGGAAGTGGAAGTGAGGGTTGGTGCTGGTGCTGGGACATTGTACTCATACCTGTCTATGCGTTGGGCGTTTATGAGCCTTGCCAGATGAGTTGGGGCAAGGAAAAAGGATTTGTTCTCTTACTCACGTCATGAAGTAATGCTTGACGGTGGCCTTGTGGCGCTCCAACCCGTCACGACGCGCGAATCGGCGCTTCTTGGGAGGATTCGGACAGCCAGGCACGTCACACCGCCAAGGCTTGCGATGTTTGTTACAATGTTGCCTGCATGATGGAAATTTAGCAAACCTGCTTGCCGAAAGCACATGGCGCACATCCTTCTTCCAATCTGTCTTCGACGGCGGGCCCTTTTCGCCCCCTCAGGGGCTAGTGGTCAGACGAGGTAGGGAGAACCTGGGGACAGGCAAGCAACGGGACGCAGTTGGACGGCTCGTCGCCATGCGCTGGATGGGGAATGATGACTACATACGCAAAAGATGAGTTACGGTCGAAGAGTACCAGGTTTCCCTGCTTGTCGACCCCGCCCTTGTCGCAGTGATGGCCCCGGGGGCAGTAGTATTTTCCTTTGCCTCGTTGCTTTAGGGCCTTCATGTTGATACCCGCAAACTGGTTTTCATCCGAGTAGTCGTCCGAGTCATCCTGCTCGATCGGGGTTGCCGCGGTCGGCGTTGCGTCTGATGCCGGCGTTGCTACGGATATCGGGGATTCTGCTGCTGGCGGCGTTGCTGCCGATTCAGACGTCGCTGCCGATACCGATGCTGCTGCTATTACCGCTGTCGCCGGCGGTGGTATTGTCACCATGGGCGTCGAAGTCAGCAATGGCTTTGCTGCGGTTTCCCCCCTCACTGCAGCCTTTGATAACGGTGGCTTTGCGGGAGTCGGTGGCTGTCTCGGCGCTGCGTTGTTGGATGGCGCCGCTCCCGCGCAATCTGCGCCGTCTGATAGGATAGGCGGCAATAAGAGCGACGAAGCCGGCGGTAAGAGCGGCAGTGGCGGCAGCGGCGGATGTGGCGTCGAGGCCAGTCGTTCACGGGGCGCTGCGGCAGCATCGGGAAGCTGCTTGCGACGTTTGGGTGCGTGCGAGAGCTCATCGGGCTCATCTGGCACAGTCTGAGGCTCAGACGTTGTCACCGGTGAGGTCACCGATGGGGCCACGGATGGGGAGCCGTCGTGTGACGCAGGAGACGCTCGTGAGCAAGGCGGGCTCGGCCTCCTGTGGCCTCTAATCCTCCAGACGGCCTGAACATCCCGCGAGTACTTCTCCGCCAGATCGCGCATCTGGCTGCATGTCATGACCATTATGTGGTTAGTCTTGTTCTGCATGAAACCTTTCAGGCTGACAAAAAAAAAAATCGAGAACCGAGGGTCAAGAAGAGGTGGAAGGGACATATGGGCGCATACCGAAGACGGCTCAGCGTGACGTCCATTGACACAGACGCAGACAGATCTGCAACCCGCGTATCTGCCTTGGACTTTTGTAAGATTTGAAGCGTGACAAGGTCGATGTGAGGTCCTTGTATAAGGCTTTGGATAAGACAAGACCATATCATTGCGGTCCGGGCCAGGTAGTCACCCATCTCGGTCACCAACGCCGCGACATCTTGTTGTGCTGCCGGGCATGACTCTGACGGCGACGGGTCTGAGGAAGAGAAAGCAACGCCAGTGGCTTCCTGGACTCTAAGAGCAGCTTGCTCAAGGTGTGTTAGGACCAGGCTTTCCAAAGCCTCGGTGACAGGCGACGCAGCGAGCCCGGCGGCGAAGACATTTGTGGCTCTAGGCGGCGGCATAGTGTGAGCTGGCACTATTACAGGACTTTTTCCAGCGTCTGGATAAGAAACGGCGGCGGCTCTAGCCTGGGTTATACTCGGCACTCTGGCGACGGGAGCGGACGGTCTAGTTGCCGGGACGGGGTTTCTCTCTTTTCTTGTTTCTCTCTCGTCCCGAGGCCCTCCCCTATCAGGCCATGAGGCTGATGTGAAACCTATCCTCCTCCCCGATCCCCAAATCTAGCGTTGACGACGATTGATTGAGCCGATCGGTTGCTCACAAATCGCCCCGCTTCCAGCTGGCAGAGACTTACTTCACTCGCCAACAGTCCTGCCCGTATACTCTGGAAGCAGTACCACTTTGACGGACAGCAACTGGCAGTGGGATTCAAACGGGATAGGAGATGGCTGAGTCTTGGAGCAAACAGCCTCGCCACGGTTGGTCGAGTGGGTCGCAACCAAAGGGATGGAACGAGAAGCAGCAGCAGCAGCAGCAGCAGCAGCAGCAGAATTCAGCCAGTCTCGTGGTGACTGACGACCCTGTGACGGCTGAGACAGGGAAGTGAACTAATAAGGGAACAGAAAGCCGCGGTGAGTCTTCGAGGTCCAGGCCAAGTGGGCAAAACGGCCGTCGTGCGTGTCCTTTTTTAGTGAACGCTTCAGCAGTCCCACTGAGCAAGTGAGGCTCTCCCAATATGGGAGGGGGGGATGGGGAGGATGAATAATCACGGGGCGATGGGGTCTCCCATGTCTGTCTCTCTTGTTTTGGGGCGGGCTTGCGACGGGGAGCGATCAGGGGCCTTGATTCGGCTGAAATTAGTGGCCACTGCGGTGCTGATATGCTTATGATTGGCGCGACGATGGCCACCCTGCCTTGGGAGGGCGGGCAAAGGATCGCGAGGCCAATCGACTGGGGTTGTGCTACCCACCCGACTCCGCAGCGAGTGAGTCTGCGAGAGGAAAACAGGGAAAGAGGAGGAGAGTGAGGAGTGAGAAGAAGGAGGCGGGAGATGCCCGTACTGGAGATAAGACTGGATACCAGACGACGAAAAGCGAGGTTGAAGAGACCCAGCAATTAGACGGAAACAGAGACGTATAAGACCAGGAACAGCAGAAGGCCCAAGGGGGCTAGAAGAGAGATCCGGGATGCCAGAAGCCGTAGACGGCTGTGCGACGGGATCAAGCTTCACGGCGTCACAGACGGACAAGCGCCCCTTTTGAGCCTGGAGAGAAGGCAAAGCAACGGGATGGACGCCTTGGGTCGGTTCTTCGGCCAAGTTCACGTCGCCTGAGAGGCTTGGCCCGCGCTGGAACTGGACCGCCGATTGGCTGCGACGGCTGAGGCCACAAGGAGAGGGACGGACGAGAGAAGAGACAACAACATCGGCAGTACCTCGCGCCTTGTACTTGCATCGTATTACAACCTTGCCTCGACAGAGCATCACACGGCATCACACGGCTTCAACTGCACCTGCTACGAGTACTACGCAATACGTACGGGCGAGCAGGTACTGTACTGCAACTGTATTCTGCACGTTGCAGATTAGAGCTGCCGTGAGCTGGCCACGCTAAGGCAGCGAAAGCCTCGACCCCTGCACACCGGTATGCGAGCCGTGCCTCCATGTGCGTTTGGCCACGGCTGGATTGGCTGCTCGTCGATCATCTGGAGCCCTCCAGAAGCACCAGCTGCAGCAAGCAAATCCCTTCCTCGCAGGGTCCCCTCTCAGAGGCGCAGTCTCGATGCATCGTCCCCACTCGGTGAGGCAGGCCCCCCTGGCCCCGATCACGAGCACCCTGGTCGGGCAGCGCGATCGTGAGGCTCCAGAAGGCACCATGCCGCCGGAAGCATCACGTTGGTGCAGAAACCGGGGCTTTGTACTGTACATGGGCCCCCAAGCAAAAGAGATTATGGCCATCTCCAGTTCCAAGGGCCGGGTCATGCCCATGCTGGCACCCTCTTTGGGGAGACGCTCTGCATCTAGGCGTAACAGAGTTGACGACCGAAAAACAAATACGTCGAATAAGATGAACGCCGCTGAACTTGCGAAGTATTGCTGTCCCTCCTCTCGGATACATAAAGGATTCAGCGACGAGTTCACGCGTTGCCCCGGGGGCCCGACACTCGAGATTCTGCCCTCGAACTGGAACCACAAAAGTACAGCTACCGCCTGCCCGGATTGCGAGTAACGCCCGCTCTCGTATGACCAGTAGTGATATCGCGACGCTTCACACGGCGTTCTTCCAATCTGCTAATTGCTCGTTGCTCGACCACGTACCTATTCTTTATTAGCCCTGGATCCCTCTGGGTCCTCTTATGCGGCTATTCTCCCAAGCGGAGCTTCGTGGGTAAGTGCCAGTCTTCTCTCGTACCAGTTGATGCCGACACGGGGTCCTTGGTGTCTTGTCCAGTGGATTCTAGCTCCTCTCCGTCGGCTGTCCCCTTTATCTCTGGGCTCTGTGCTCCCCTCACGAGAGAGAAAAGAGAGAATACGTGTGCGACTCTGCGAGGGAGAAAAAGTTTTCTTCTCTTCTTGTCCTCCTCCGCCGTCCCGGGCTCCCTTGTTCTCTCTTCTCTCCCCTCTTCTCCTCTCCCCTCTTTCCTCTTCGCCACTCCCAACTTTTCCCTCTTGTTGCCTCCTCTCGGCAGATCAGGTCAGACCCCAGATCAACGCGGCTGGCTCGGATCCAGAGCTCAAGCTGGCCGCTGCAGATTTCTCCTGAGCCCCTCACGCGTTGTTTTCTCTTTTCTCGTCTTACCCCTACCCACCCCCAAGCCGAGCAAGCATCAGGCCGCCACCCCTCGGCCGATTCTGTACTCCATTCCATATTGGACGAACCGCTCTGCTGGTACGAGTGCCGTATCGTATCTGATCTCTGGCGCCTTAGTCTCACCGCTAGGTATTGCGCTGTCGAGTCAGTCCCTGTGTATTAATTGTGTCGAAAGCTCTCCCGAGCTGCACGCACTTAATCCGCTGCCACTATACACGCACGCCGCCTGGTACGTGTCCAACCTGCTTACCTACCTACCGTCGCCCAATGCCCAGTGTTAGGTGCACCCGCCCTGCCTAAGATACTGTCTGCAGGCAGCGTCTCAGACCTGCCCTCTCCCTATCCACTGCCCTGAGGTGCTCTGCCGATGACCAGCCTCAGACTCCCTCCAGGCACTGTTGTCTTGATGCTCGGATCTCACTGCATGCCTCGCTGTGGAGGTCGGAGCTCTGGGCACCTTTGCCGAATATTCCCCCCCTCAGACCCCCCCCTCACCCCACACACACGCGAGGTCTCATACACGATTTCACCCACTTACACAAGACAACATGCCGTGAAGGTCACCCTGCTCACTCTTTGCAAGCCAACGACAGCAGGGAATCCTTGATCGCTAGAAGTCCAGGGATCCTTCTGGATTGACTCAGCTGGTCCCGTTTGTGGATGAAACAGCCGCTTCTGCTCATCTTGCAATTAGCTGGAACAGCACGTCGTCTACTCGAGAGACCACTGCCGGCCGGTAATTGGCGTGCGGTTCGGCTCTATATCCGTGCATGGTCCACTGCCTGCCAGCGCCTGTTCAGGCTCAGTGACACCCACACCCCGGCCCGTGTGTGCATGTGTGCGCGTGTTACTGTCCCGCCGCCTGTGAGCCCACCGTTGCCGAGCCTGGCGTGAATCTGCTTGACCGAGGCGCTCCAGATCCTCGTTGCCACGCGACGCTGGCCTCATTCGCTTCGTCTAAGCGCCTGGCTCGACTCGCACAGATGGGAGATTCGCTGGATCAAGGGCGTCCGGCCAAGCGCATCAAGCTGGCGCCACACCCGCAGCCCTCGCATCCGCACTCGGTCTCCTATTCCCACCCTCACCATCAGCAGCGGCTGATTCGGCCTGCGCCGTCCAATACGCCCGTCGTCCCTGCAGCGGCGGCGGCGGCTGTGGCTCACACTTGGGTCCACGTCCTCCCTCCGCCCCGTGGCGGCCGCCGGGTTCGACGCCGGGTCCGCAGTCGCGGGGGCCGCGCCGCTCCCAGCTCCGAGACACGCCGGCCAGAGGCGGGCCTTGAGCCAGGCTCGTCTCCGGCCTCGACCGCGTCTACGTCTACGTCCTCGCTCACCTCATCATCGACGCTGCCATGGCCACCCCCTGAGCCAGCCCCGACAATGGCAGCGGCAGTAGAAACGACAATGGAGACGGCACTGATGTCTCTGGATGCTGCAGGTAAGTGAGCTTCGGGCAAATGCCGCATTACATGCATCGTCTGTCACATGTTCTCCAGCGTGGAGTTTCACCCTGCCCTGTCTTACTTGCCTAAGCACGGGCCTGGCCCTGTTGCTGTCTCTCACAATCCGGCGCTTTCCTCTTCGTGGAAATTTTGTGTCCAGCAGAAGGAGAAAGGAACACGAGACTGCTGCGCGTCACTCCCTTCCCCTCAAAAGGCACAGTCTTGGACAGGGTTACACTTGACTGCCATTCCATCATTTCATCCATCCTGCTATTCATCCTGCCCAGTCGTGCAACTTGAGCTCGCCTCGTCTTATCATCCTCTGTGCTTGCACTCAGAACTCACTCATACTTGCGGACTTTGTGTCCAGGCCACAGCCAGCTCGTGGAACACAAGACACGTTTTTATGCTTCAACGTAGAAGAGTGGCTAACGACGAATGCAGCACCGCTGGCCACGGAGATTGATCTCACCCAGTCAGATCACGAGACTTTGAGCAATTCAGTCTCGCCTGAACAACAACCCGGTTCGCCACAGGTGGATTTGGTCGCCGTCACTAATCCCGATCGTATCCTGCCATCTGACACTGAACATATACACCGCCGCCACAAGACTCAAGTTCAGTCTAGAACTACATCGCATGGATTTGTCAGTCCGTTCAAGGACTGCATAGCAACATTCGGGAAGCAGGCCGCCCCTCGATTCCCCCGCCCCAGGGATGGCAGAGTCAATTCGTACATCAAATTCAACTGGCCGTCGCGGAGACCGCAGGACGGTCGGTCTTCTTCCGTGTCAGCTGCCGCGCGGCCCGGTGATGCCGGCGAAGAGGACGAAGTAGAGGAGATCGTCAGACCTTCAACTCAGTCATCCTCGACGTTGGCAAATTCCAGTCGCCATCCGAATGACTACGCAAACCAAGCGTCTCACGAAATCACTTCGCGATCGTCCAACCCGCTGAAGCGATCCGAGCGCTCATGGTCCTTCTCGGACACCTCATCGCCCCCTGCGCTATCAGGATACACTGCCACATCTCCCTACGCTCGTCCATGGAGCCATGGCTGGGGTAGTAGCCACTCCTCCATGAGTTCTCCCCAGATGTTACCGACGCATTTTGGGCTGGTTTCCAGAATGGATAAGATGGATAGAAAGCTTTGGTCATTCTGTACGTTTGAAAAATCCCCAACCGCTCGCCAAACATTGCACATCTCTCCTGCTCTTTCCGTCACCATTTCATACATGAATACATGGTATAATGTCGCTATTCAGAGTGCGCGTCCTAACTTTTGACACAGATATCGGGAATTGGTGCCCCGGCCGGAGCGTTCTGGGCAAAACAAACCTGTGGCTGCAAGACTTTGCTGCCATGGAGGGAAGCGAGGGAGTCTTGTGCGCGATACAAAGCCTCGCCGGCATTTACGTGTATGATTATCAGCCGATGGAAGAGATCAGTAGGCGGATCAATCATCGATTTGCCCTGGCCGAGGCCCGTCTGAGTCACCTGTTGTCCAGGGCAGATCTCAGTGTTGACGAAGCCAGCGAGCTGATCACGATTGCCTCTATCCTATCTATGCAAGATGTAAGTGGCCTTTTCAGCCGCATCTTGGACACCACCAGTCGAACGCTTGCCAAACCACTGACTCGCCCCTGTTTGTAGATTGTCCTGACTGAGCGCCGTCGTAAACGGCCTTATACTCCGCGGTGGCTCGAGGGATTCAAGCAAAGCGAATACTTCCTTGAGACCATTGACGAAGGGTCCCGGTTTTGGTCAAAGTCCAACGTCCAGCTCTCCTCTCTTCGCATCTCCCAGTCCATCATTGTCGGCAGGGCCGTCGTTCTTTCGCAGCTCATGGCCACGCTACCTCACCCATCGACCTTTGATCCCGAGAGGGAAGCTGCTCGCTTTGGCTGGCTTCTCTACGGTAACATGCAGGATATGTATGAGATCCACGGCGGATGCGGCTTTTCAAAGAAACTGCTTCACTCCTTCAGCCAGATTACATACTGCTCCGCGCGGCTCTATCAGGATCCCGAGAGCTCCGTCATTCCGCTCACTGCAAAGTTCCTGCTGTCGGAGCTGCTGGACATGAGGCAATGGAGTAGTGCGCCCAATTCAAACCCCTGGGATGTTGCCAAGACCCAGCCGCAAACTATTGAAATGGTCCGCGCCGCTCAGGAGGGCTATGTCATTGACAGCGCAAGCTCCATGACAGAGGTGACTGCTGAAGCTTGGAGAATTGCAGCCATTGTCTACTTGCAGTGCCGTGCTTTGAGGTAAGATGCACCAAGTACCACTATACAAGTTCCAACATACTGACACTTCCTTTATAGAATCCCTCGGAATCACCCCGAGGTGTTGGCCAACCTCAATGATCTTGCCAAATGCATCAACATCATGCCCACCTCTGGCTACAACTTCACCGCCCAAGCCCCTCTTTTCCCGGTTTTCCTTCTCGGAATGCTGGCTACCGTCCCTGAGCACGTTGCCGTTGCTCAGAACTGGTTCGAAAGGGTCACCAGTACGCCAGTCAGAAGTGTACGTCTTTACCCCATGTTACTCTGGATTACTCTTGCCATACAATATACTGACTGAAGCTGTTCCGCAGAGTGTGCCTCCTCTCTATGACGCTTTGAAGCGCATTTGGATGTGGATTGATACAGAGCCCACCTTGAGGCCGCCAGTCAACGGAAGGCTAGATGAGGAAGTCGGAAAACGGCTTCCATGGTGGGAACATCTCGTTCAACGCGTTCAAGAAAATGAGATGGAGATCCTGTGCCTGACCTGAAACCAGCAATGATATTACTTGCTTTCCTCAAAGCGAAAAACCCTAACTGATGGATCCCATTCACAATTCCACTCTAGCCCGGATGATGCCCCCTTTCCCCGTCTTCCCCGCAAAGCCCAAGATTACGGCGCAAGCAATGAAGAAGAATAGCAGAACCAACGACGACGTTCCAGAGCATAACAGCTGGCCTATTACAAGATTAGCCCTGATACGGCGCTATCTCCATCATCTTTTTGGTCCAACTCCCCCTTCGTTTTGAGAAGATACTGCCCTGGAAAGAATATGCCTGTTAGCGAGGAAGCAGTCGAAAGGGACGAAACAAGGCGTCGCGGCATCCGACTTACGAAACTCGGAGTTGGGTGCTTGCCAGACACTGATCACACTCAGTCCCGCCTTATGGCACATGAGTCGAACGCTCTCCTCCCCGTACTTGTGAGAGTCGAACCAGTCTAGCTCTTCGCCCTTCTTGAACGTCCGGCCAAGCTTGTGGATGGTGACGTCCTTGTTGGCGCGAAAGAAGAATCGGTGCCGAGTCGTTGGCTTGTCTTCGAGCTGCGCCATGAAGTCCCAGTCTTGCTCCCGGAACCAGTCCTCCCCAATCGCCTTGTTCACCTGTTCAAAACCGTGGAGGAAGAACTTCCGGTACAGATCGTCTCGCGAGTGGTAGGCTGCCCAGATCTTGTCCCTGTCCTGGGGCAGTAGGTGGCCGTCCATTCCCACCAAGAGGAGATCGTTGGGCCGGAGCGCTTTGGCCCAGTACTTGAGGTGGTTCAGGGCTTCGGGCCAGGGGTCGTTGCAAAGCACGGAGCCCAAGGAGAGAAACAGCCTCTGGCTCTTGATGCCCTGGACATACGTCATTCCGTCCTGGAATGTCCCCCACAAACCTGCGCAGGTTACCTTGGCATCCGGTGCCGCATGCTTGTCGAGCAAGTAGCCCACGCTATGCTCCAAGGATGCTTTCGAGATGTCGAGGGCCAAGTAGGTGGCCTCTAGCTGCGCCTGTTCGAAACACGCCAACAGATGCTCTACCTTGCGGGTGTCACTGGATCATCACGTACAACTGTTAGCTCTCTCTGGCAAAGGCTCTTTGAGGGTTTTCTCGTCAGACCTACCCAACCCCCAGATCGATCAAGGTTGCTCCAGGCTGGAGTCGCTTCGCAAGCTCGCTTCCGTGGGCATCGAAGAGCGCGATCTCGTCGTGCGTCTGATAGAATTCAGGCGTGAAGATTATCTCGTTCCATATGGGCAGTCCGACGTCGGTATACAGAAGCTCGTCTGGAAGCGTTGGCTTTGCATTGGGGCCATAGACGGCAGTGAGAACCCTCGAAAGCCTCTCTCCAATGTCCTCATGCATTCGGCTTCCGCCAATGTCCAGCACATCGCCATGTCCAGGGATCTGGTGCTGCGAGGCCATGCTGCGCGGCTGATACGTGGCGAATATGGACAATCTGGATCTGGGAGATGATATGGAAGTGCAGTGTCTCTCACTGCGGCCTGACGCCTGGCTCTGGATCAACAGTCGTTATGCTGGGATGACGACGACCCTTATATACCGAGGCTACGACAGCAGAAGCTCGACGATGCGTTGGCCGCTGATGTGATTCAATGCAGTACTCTGCTGCGTGAATGGATGAGGATGGGAGAGCAGAATCGGAAACAATGTTTCAATCAGAGATGAAGAATACGCAAGGGGGGCCAACTCTGCACGTCAGGTATAGAGATCCAGTCTGCCCATCTCCTATCCCATCGCGCGGAAGACAGAGCGAGCAGTGATAGAGCTGCTCTGCGGCGATACTCGCCCGCGCTTGATTTTTCCTGTCGCACGCCGCATGCTGCACACCCTACATCCACCCACCGGCCTGCCAGGTCTCCGTGTGCGCGCATAGGTACATGCGTGCTTAGCCAGGACGGCCACAATAGGATAGGGTGCTGTCAAGGATAACCTGGGAAGACGACAGCCTCGAAGCCTACAAACAGTTGGTACGAGTGCACGGCATCGCAGCAAACGACGGCAGCCAGCCGGAGGGCTCTGAGAACCCCTCCGAGTCCACCTGCGGTGATGAGGCGAACATTAGGGTCCCGGCCGGGGTATGCCCGGATGGGGTTGGCCTCACATTAGCCCGCCTGCAAATGGAGGACAGGGGGGTGTGCCACTGCACCCAAAGCCCCTGTCAGAACGAGCCACCGCTATAAGGATCATAGAAGGGGTGGGAGGGGGACGCTACCAGGCTCCAGGACTGCATTGGAGGGGGACGTCTTACTTCGTACTTGTAGTATATGATGCCGCTGTGCTGCACCAGGATGGAGACTGTCGCATCGCCCATTGACTCCATCTCCTGCGGCTTCGGTCCATCATCGACGGGGAGAGAAGAGGAAAGAAGAGGAGACACTCACGGAGCCACGTCCGAGGCAGTCGCATTGGTTTCTCGAGGCGATTATCGAGCTTTCAAATGTCTGCACCGCCGCAAGTCCGCCAGCGCATACATGCAATCGCAAAGCGTACCTCCATCACCGCTCGACACCGAAGGATCCCTCGACTAAGGGGAATTGTGAAGAGCGTCGGACACCCCCATTGTTGCGCCACCACGTGTCGCTACCATGCGAAGCACTTGTGAGCATCTGCGGGCATACGTGTGTAAACGAGGCACAGCTTCATGTTGCGATGTCGTCGCTGCTGGTCATGGATAAATAAATCAGGCTGGCTTATGCAGGCGGCCTTGTGTGTCGTCGTTTCCTCCCAGGGAGCATGGATGTCCTAAGCGGAGATCGAGAGATGGTGGCTTGGAGGCGTCCTCGTCTTCGGCGCGGGCCGAGTGAAGGCTAGTATCTAGTATTACTATATCCGTTACAATTCACGATCATGTCTAACACCCTTGTGATACGCTGCTCGCACATACCTTGAGCTATCCAATGGTGGCGATGAGCAGCCGCCTCCCTGCACATGTCGCTTCGAGTTCCCTGACTGGCCGCCGCAGACGAGAGACTTCGTCCCCTTCAACTTGGACAGACGGTGATGCAGAACATTCCGTTTGACGCCCAGCTTCTCAGACCCGCTCTGTACGCTCGGAATCCAGGACGCGACTCTTCGTCCTTGGACAAGCAGCTCCTCGAGTGGAGCAGCTAATCTGGATGCGAATCAGTCTGAAATGCGCAAAAGGGTGGCGTGGGCTAGTCGAAACGCTCGATTGGGCATACGGCCCGAGTGGGAAGATGTGGACGGCGGGAGTTCGTGACGGCCAGCTCGATCTCGATCTCGACTTCTCCTGGCCCAGAACATCGCTAGGCCGCGTATAAGACGGCATGTGAGAAGTCCATATTGCGGCCAGCCCTGCAGGCAATTACTACCACCTGCAGCCGCCGTGCCAGCAGGTATGAAGTACGACTACAACTACTCAGTTTCAGTATCAACTCGAGCATACCAGCGCTTGCTGCGTGACGTACCAGGACATCTGCCAATGGACCATAACAACCCCTGAAGACCCATCCTTCCACACACAGAGAGTCATCAGTACTCCTAGTACTAGGCGCTTTGTACGAAGGACGGAGGAGAACAGCCGGAGTCATGCTCGCCAGTTGCTGTCCGTAGCGATTGAATGGATAAGGCTCGATCCACCACTTTGGTTCCGGCTCGTTCAGCACACCCCACGGCCCCTGCATCGTTGCAATCTTGCGCGTGCCTCAGCATGGGGTAGCAACGGGGGTTGTGATGGATATGGCTGTTAGTACTGTGAGGAGGATCTCCATACTAGCAGTCTTCCTATTGCATGGGGTTTCGCTGACAGGCACTCCGCACACAAGACCGCCGAAAGCCGTTCAATACGAGTACATTTGTGTACAAGCAGAAACAGATGCTCGTGCGAGTCGTGCAGCCGTTGCTCCAAGGCACTGTGGCTGTCCTTTTTGGCTGCTGTGTCGCCTGTCATGGTCGTACTCTGATCTAGGGAGAGCACGCGGAAGCGCTTTTCTCATCCGGTCGAATGCTACGTCACACACGGCCGGCCGGAAGCATATACGAAGACGGACGAGCCTTCGTGGGGGCTGTCTGCGATTTCAGGTCGTACCAGATTCCTACATTTTCGCCCGAATCCGACCATCGATCGTGACACAAGTATCGACCCAAGCGACCTGAAGCGCGGTGGCTGCGATGCCGGCAGTTTTTGGCTGTGGGGTTACATCAAGCTGGGACCCTTATTTGGACTGCATACCTACTCGTACAGGTATACTTGGCTGTAGGAGGTATAGTAGAGACGACCTTCCATGTGGGACGATGCCATTTTGATATGGCCTTGAACCGAATATAGCAACTGTATAAGCAGTTCAGCCAGACCATTCGCACGTACTACCCAGTTTTTCGGAACGACAACAGCTTGCCGGCACAAGTGGCTTTGCTCGTACCTTCTGACTGTTGACTCAACTTCATGTCTCTGCCTGTCAATGTCGCAAGCACAAGTACGAGTGACCCCGTCTGAAGAAACATAACGGCTAGCGCTGAGCAGGGTGATGAGGTTATCCCTCTTTGAACCCCGAGTCCCATTAGCCCATGTGACGAGTAGCAAAGGTCGCGGTGGAGTCCGCGCTTGCAATGGCAGACGAATATGACAGATGATCATCCGGTGTGAAGTCAGTACCGAAGCTCGTCACAGCATGCAGAAGCATCAGCTCTGGAGCCATCAGTGTAATGCTACACCAACTCATGCGGCTCATAACTGAGCAGGCCTGCGAGGTACGACCATGCTCCGTACGAAGTATTCGGCGGCCTGTCTGGCCAATAGGCGCCGGAGGTCCGTCAGGAGGGTGTCAGGCTGTCCTCCGTTCTCCGTGTGGGAAACCCCTTGCGGCATCCAGCCAGGTCAACCGCACCAGCAATACTTGGTACCTGTCATTGCAAGCTTTGATGCTCAGCGCTGACTGCATAATGACCTGAGAACAGACTGGCAGCTCCGAATAGGGGCAGATTGCTGCTGGTCAGTATATGCAGCTAGTATCTGGAAGCACGGAGCAGCTTTCCGGGGCATGTCGGGGAGCCCTGGCAATCGAGATGTGTCTGGCTCTGAGTCAGTCAACTACTCACTTGAACAGCAGCTGACTTGTTTTCCTGTACATGCATACAAGTAGCCGTGTCTGGAGGCAAACCGTGCTCACGAAACCTTAGCTGTGAGCGGGTTGCGAGTAACCTACCCAGGGTCAAGAGGTTTGCCGCCTTCCGCGAACACAACAGCCTGCTGTATGCTTCGTACTTCGTACTTCAGACTGTTACAGTTTCCAGGGGCCAGAACGGAACAGAACGAGCCGGCGGGAAACGGCATGCTATGGCTCTCGCAATTGGCCGCCTGGCCCCTGTTGAGACTCCCAAAAGGCATTGCTGTACGAAGTACGAAACTCGGGCTCGCACCCTGCTTGCCAAGCAGTCGAGCTGCTGTCGTGCTTACTCCGTATTGATCTCTTGTCGCTTTGTATCTCGAATCGACGGTACCTAGAGGACGCGAAAGGGTGTGGTGCTCGATGATGTGACTGGGCGCTCCAGCTTGGTGGCTGGTTCCATCGCCGAGGCTTTCGAGTCTGTGGGAACACTCCACCAAGATTTTCACATGGCATGGTCACCGTCCGCAGCGCCAGCAGGATGCCCTTGTTGGTCGATTTGCCGTTGTGATCCCGGCCGAATTGGTCGAAGAAGCACGGCGAGAAGACGAGGAACAGGAGCTGGAGCTGGAGCTTCCAGCAGTCTCGCCGGCACGTGCCCACGTACTTGCCATCAGCTACGGAACGCTCCTGCTCACGTTGGAGGCTCTACCGAGCAAGAACGTGAGAATGAGTGTCCAGCACACCTGCCTCGCATAAAGCTGTCAATCCTTCCACCGGTTTCTATGGATCCTTTGGGCTGTGCCTGCCTCCAAAGTTCTCAACCACAGCAGGAGGTGAGTCGGTACCCCACTGACACGCGACTGCCAGAGCGCCCGCTGAGGACGTGGAAGTACAGGCGTCGAGTACGGCACTCGGGGAACTTGTACCTGCACCATTCAAGGCTCTGGGAAGCCGATGTATCTCACAACCGCCCGTGTGACAGCTCATGGCGTCTCTACCTCTCGACTGCGTACCTTCCCAGGCCCGGATACTTGTGCAGCACGAGTAACTGCCGAGTCCTCCCTCCTGTCGTCATCATCACGATTGTCACAGTCGTTGTTCGACTTCTCCTCCTTATCTTCCTCGCCTGCTTCGTGCAAATCTCCTACTGCCTTGCTGTTTCATCGCCAAACACTTGCGTGCCCCTGACCAACAACGGTTCAGCCGTCTCGAGGTGATGCTTGTGCCAGCTTCTCCTATCGCCAACCGCCGTCGCCCTTTGCTCGACCTCCAGCTCGCTTTGTGTCTTCCGGACAAGTACTGCCGTCTGAATCGACCTCATCCTAGTGCAAATGAGCAACAGAATGGCCATCACCGACCCACATGAGCGACGTTGCGGCAAGTACACGTCAGATCCGCATGTGCATTCAGCGGCCGGGCGCGGAATTAACAAGATCGCCAAATGGCTCGCAGTCGTTGATGGGCGACGGCTGCCATCAGTTCCGTACAGACACTGCTTCTGACACTCGGTCTCCAGGGATGTCCCACCTCGCGCTCTCGGGCCACCTAAACGGGTCTGCTCGCAACTCCTCTTTGTGTATGGAGCTACTTCGTACCTTACGGGCATGACCCTGTTCCAAGCGCAAGC